ATATCTCGTGTATTACGTTACCGGTTGTTGTTTCATATATTTCATAATAAAAGGGTTTTAGATGCTTATTTGGAATCTGAGCTACATGACGTTTAATATTTGCTTATTTATTGTTATATGAAGCTGTATTGAATTGAAATAGTGCGAAAGAAAAAACTTTTGTAAGTATGCTATTGACCCCAACTGCTTTGCGTCATTCGTTCATCCAGACCGGATCTAGACGTAATATTATACTTTTTTATTACTCATCTCCTGGCCGATAAAATACAAAGGTCACGGAGACAAGACGAGACAGCCATATTGTTTTTACTTTATGATTCGCTGTTTTATATAAATGTTGTATTATGCACAAGTTGTACATATAAAAAAAATATAAGTAATTAACTTCTACGAAGTTGACTGATAGAGAATGCTATAAGCATTTGGTATGCTTTCAATACCACTTTTCGTTGGACAATAATTTTGTTAAATAAAGATAATTCGCCTACAACATAATATTTCAAATTATTATTACCCCCATTGTTGAAGTACGACGAGGACGGGCCATAACCGAATATTATAACCCACGTGGGCTCAGTGCGGATGAGCGGGTATCTGCGACTACACGTGCACGAGATTGAGGTGGTATTAAACTTTGGGTCACTAAATTCATCAATCATCCCCTCATGCGGTCACTAATGGCATGCGTAACAGAATCGTGCAAAGACACGCATGTGATCCCACATCGAACAATGTAAAACGCCTGTTACAACTACAGAATCAAATTCCTGAACATACAACGTCTAAACGTCTACCGAGTAAATCCCAACTGATACACTTTTAAACCAAGTTGCGATTTAAAAAAAAAGTCACAAGACACCAGCCAACGTGCCAGAGTGAAATGTAACACGTCACATCAGCTGCTAACTTGTAATAAGAAGATTGCAAAAAAACGACAACTAACGGCTCATATTAAATAGTAGGGCAACCACGATACGGAAAAAAATGTGGACAAATATTATTTTGGATTAAACCTTCATTGCATTTTCTGTCTTAATATTATTACGCAAAACTGCGAATAAATATTATTTTAATTTGTTGAAAGTCGTCGAACATACCCTCATATAGCATATATTCAAGACTCATAAATGAAAGTATGTAGATGAATAATAGAGTTTTTAATATGGAGACAAATTTACTATATAAATATATAATTTACATAACAATTAAAAAGTACCTAGTATGATAATTTCACAGGAAATCCAAAGTTAGGACCGTCTATTGGTGTTTCATATCTATATATATGGAAAGATATATATGGAGCTCGGCGGTCACAACTGCGGCACGATCGCTTCGCTCGCTCGACGTATTTTTTATTTCCAACGTAACGTATTCTTTTGCTATGCTAGACGATTTTATGCGAAATTCAGTCGTGCCAATTAATAACATTGCCAATCGACAACCTCCGTAGCAGAATATTATCACTGGTTTGGATGTTGTGGTACCTTTATTGTCTCATATACTCCATAATACGAGGACTTTACCTATTCTTGTTAGAATCTGAGCAATGTGTGATGTTTCCAATATACAAACCATCCGTTAATCAATAATTATGTATTTATATGCCTTATTCGTTTCAAGAAGCTTACGTGGTCAAATGAATATTGTTTTGGACCAACAATATTCATTTATTATTTACTTTCTACTTAGTCTCTCCTAAATCATTTTACGTAATAAAGGCTGGTAAAAGTCATATTCTACAAATGATACATTTGTTTTGGATCAAATAAAGAATTACCTATTGCTATTAAGAATACAAAAGAGTAAAAATTGTATAATAAGATCTCATTTTCTTGAAATTAATAAAACGATATCCGAAGTTACAAGGAAACGACACCATTCCCAGGAAAATACTGGTTTTATGCAGGTAATAATGAATAAAACTGGATTTTTCCACTTAATTGTATGCTCAGCTACTTTTAGCGAGGAAATGTCAACGTTGCAGTTTGCAAGTAAATGTTTACTATAAATGTTTTCGTCGAATAAAATGATTATTTTACTGGGTTATAATCCTTTAAACATTTTAAATTCTACTTAAACACACTAAGGTTCAAAATCAATCAAAGTAAATTAAAGTGTTCTCTGAATTGCAAGAAATTTGATAAACCGAAGCAAGAATAATAACGACGAATTACTTGGGCTCAAACTATTTTTCTAACTTTTTTCATCCGAGAATCGAACCCTTAGCTTCGGAAACATATTCTTTAAGTTATCCAGCAGGGCACAAACTTAAAAAGAAAACGTTACGAAATAATTACTATACCAATATTTATTTTTTATTCTACACTTCCAAACATCATAATTCATAAAAACGTCTCTCAAAAATATCAAAAACCACGTGACTGGCCTTACGATCACATAAATATATTAAAAATTTCGTACATATTAGCGTATTAGCAAGCAAGTTTGAGGCGTGGTCGGTTCTTGTAATAAAACCTGAGGTCCACGTCTTGGCTGATGCAATAGGGTGAGTTTCTTGCGTGATGCTTGTTTATCCTTTGCAATATCGCTTGATACTTTGGAAAACAACATCTAAGACATAACGATAAAAGGTTGATAATCCCATGCATTCATTGCTCTCAACCATTACATATTTCATAAAACAACTTTCGAATGTTCTCGATAAATTTAAATAAATTTATAAAAATGTATTACACTTTACTACTAATTAAGTAATACATAGGCAATATAATTACCTAATTATAAATATAGTTATGTGAATATTTAATATCAAGGTATTTCACTTCAAATTTTACATTTAAAACTACCGTTAAGTTTGATTTATTAATCATATTACTACAAATTGTTATTATTGAATCTAGACATTCATTTATTCTTCAAACAATTATTACTCGTCTTACAAGTGCACTCCCTTTGACCAACAAGCTTAATGCTTATAATTAACTTCATAATCTGTCGCATTTCCGTAACACATTTCAAATCTTATTTGATGGAATTTAGGAACAAAATCGTTAGTAGATAATTTTCTATTTGTAGTAACCTGTTGTACTGCTCTATGTATGTATAAATAACATATAATATTATATATTTATTTCTTAACTTCCCATTACTTCGTTCGTCATATATAAACAGGTTTAATCTGATCCAAAAGGCGGGCGTCGGATGGTTGCAATTCCATTATCATGATGATTTATGTTCGAGAGCTATTCACATTTCGTAACTGTATGCAGTTGTTATAATACTATAAATCTAAATACCTACATTTATTTTTATATAAAAGAAGAGATGCCGTAAATATATATGAGTGCATGTTTTATGAGTGAACACTTCTACTTTTATTATAACTTTAAAATATAAACCATACAGCACTGCGAAATGAAAACCATTTCAAACACAACTGATTAATACGAGATATTTTATAAGTTTACCCGGGACTGGTGTATTGTTTAATAATTTTTCTTGTTGATATTTCATTAAGACATTTATCAATATAGCATTGTTGTCGTTGCAAAATTTACTTTCATAAATTTAATATTTACATCTTGACATGATTTATGATTTCATTTTAATGAATTGAGATGGTCACACTACTTTAAGGTAAGCAAGGTCAAATAAAACTAGTTTTTTTCGCCAATAACTATTCATATATTCATTGATTAGCATATTCATAAAAATACGTGTCCAAACCATTGGAATTAGTTCAGAAATTAAATGCGATCTGTTTGACATTGTACATGGAGCAACATACCAGGTTATCACTAAATATCAGATTTTCCAAGTGATTTTGAACTTAATTGACAGTGAGTTTAAAAGTTATCTGGTGTACAGCAGGATGAGCAAATAACACCGCAAGTGTATATAATAAAAAATATATATAGCATGTACATGCGTCAAGCTTTAGACTTAAATAGTTAATTGTGTTATTATTATTATTTATTTCAGATTAACTAATAGAGTTATGCAGAGCGATTCCGTAAAAGACCTGAATTTGAATTCACTTAACCTTGAATTGGTATTAACGTTTCGTGGCATAAGTGAAGTGAGTTTCGAAATGACAGGGATAAAATATCAGAGTCACGTATGAACCAATCAATCTATTTTTGTACAAAAAAATTGAATCAATTAAATTTCTACACTAATATAAGTTAAGCGGATTCGCTTTTCTGTATTGCATAAAGCTACCACAAAGCATGGCATATTTTAACAACATCAATTATAACCCTTATATGTAAGGAAAATGCTTTAAGCTTACCCTGCCGCCTGGCGAACGATAAGGTTATGTGGAACTCCCCTTGTGGGACCATCCAGCAGGTATTCGCTCAATGGACTTATAGAAGCCTACCCTCACATGGGAGGATTTAATTTAAAAGTATTAAATAGTTTGTTGAAATTGAAATAATTAAAGTAAGTGTGAATTAAAAATAAGGTTTAATGCGAGACATATATTTAAAATGCTGCTGTGCTGTGCTACGGTATTTTATATTAGCAAGTATCACGAAATAAACTAAAAAAATATTTTTACCTTCAAAATATTTAAACTTATTTCAATTAAATACTTTAAATTGTATAATAGGTGTACATAAACAGACGATATAGTTCATAAAAACTTTTATGTATACTTAAATATTAATATATATTTCGTACCGGAATTTGTGGTCACCCTAATGTAAATTGCATAGGTCAACGTAAGCCTTATCACATCGAAATAAAGTTACAAAACGTTCGGGTCATAAAATTTTGTGATTGCTATGACTAATTTTATCTCTTCCGGTGGTTTCGTGGTTATCAAATATAACTATTAAATAATTTTCGGGACCAAATTGTAGTAGATTATTTAACTACTTACTCATTCCGTAAGTGTTATTAATATTATTATAAAGAGGTTCTAACTTTGTTTCTTTGTAGATGGCAAAACTTCGGAAATACTTGAATTAAAAAAAATATTTCACTTACCTTTTATTCTTTAATAATTAGAAATAGGATATTCTATGTGTACTCACGTGCTTGATGTTATAATGCAGGATACTCTCGATGTAAGTAGGCAACTGATTGACGACGGTGAAGTAGCCGAAGACGGAAGCGCCGTGGGTAATGATGATGGCCCAAACAGGAGCGGAGAGGAGCATGCTACGCCACGGCACCGGCATATGCTACAAATGATACAACGACGTCAATAAAAAAAACCAGTGTCTTTATAAATTCCTTAGTATTGTAGTCTTAAGCACATTAGTAGACATGATTTATGTAAATGTCATTACTTATGATAAAAAGCTGGTAAGTTTCTTTCGCTTGTTCTTCTTGTCAGCTAAAAGACGTCTGGAACAAGTGGTAGGGGAAAAATTTTTTTTGGACGATTCAAAAGTGCTTGTAATAGCCTACTTGAATAAAGATATTTTCATTTCATTTCATTTCAGTAATTGTAAAAAAACATTCTGCCGCCATCATATTTTTATTCATCCTAAAGGTATGCTATAAGTATTAAGTCCGCTTTTGTACCACTTATTCGCTGGACAATTAAATTTGGTAAAATTAATAAATAAGATAGCTAATAACAATAATAGCATTATTAACAGAACAAAATCTTGTTCTGTTTTGGAACAAAATATCTTTGTATTGCAAGTTTTATTATGAGTTATTATTTAATACACTTTTTTATTTATAGTTATTCAATATATATTGCCTTGTTCTTGATTGAGACTAGTAGAATTAAATTATTTTATTAATTAATGTTGAAAGACATTGTATGTAAAAATTGCCAAGATTTTTATTTTCAAGTATAGCTTTTTGGTTATAAAAATAAGGTAATTATACTGTAATATAACTGAATAAAGACATATAAGTTTACCGAGTCGCTCAATATATAACAATATTTTATTATATATTATAACTGTTCAAAATGGAGAAGACTAATAATACTATAAGACATCGTTTGGGCAATGTAGGTAATGTCCTTATCAAAATGTCAAGAGATGCGCCCGAGAAATTGCGCAACAGTACTCGTGGACCGGACTGTCCACGTCGCATAATAAATAGGGTTGGCTGCTGTTTGTTTTTGCTTATACCTCTATAATATTATATTAGACAACATGAAGTTAATTGCTGAATTCCCAAATTAAATAACTAAAGCACTCGGGAAATCAAAAAACGAAGAGGTAACAGAACACCCAGACCAGAGACAACTTAGGATAGTTTATTTTCAACATTAACCTGACCGGTAATCAAACCCGGGACCTAACAGATGGCGACAACTTTAAACTGGTTCGCAAGTCACTCGCCCACAGAGGTCATCTTCGAAAATTAAGCGTTTAGGTTTTAAATTAAGCGTGACAGGAAGTCTCGTGGTTTGTAAAATAAACCAAATTTTAGAGATGTTAGTTTCAGAGCGCTGGTACCTTTCCGTTTTTTATTTTGATCATAAAAAAATATATTATTACATTTTTCCAATTCAATTGTGAATATTGTCTATTGATGCTTCTTTGATTTTTTCAGTATTCTCATACAAAAGATGTAACCCTACCCAATGAACACGCGTTTCTTATATAAGTAGGGTAACAACCCTACCTAGTCATTATATGACATGTATGCAATTCAAAAGAATTTTAGCAACGTCGTCGTCGTCAAGGTGAACGGTGCGCTGCTGCCGGCAGTAAAATAAATACATTTGAATACTTTATCGAACTATTGAGATGAAGGTTACAATATAAAGCCTGGCTGGCGATTGTTAAATAAATTAAACCTATAGATACTGCAACTTTTTATTTGAGTTTATTATATCAGCGTTCATTTCTATTAAGCTGCTAATGACCCTTTTAGAACCACAGAACCAGTTTTATTGTATTTACTACAAATTTTTATTAATACCGTCAAAGATAATAACACTTATGAGGTTAATTCTGCATCGATAAAATAACTTTATTTAACTAAATAAATCTCTTAATGAAAACTGTGTCCCTGGCACTCTGAGATGGTGCCAGGGAACCCATCTCAGAGTGCCAGGGACTAAGTAGATTTTATAGCATTTTTCATTAGGAATATTTTTCGGTATAGCATTGTGAATGCAAATTTTATCAAATACAATAAATTAAACTCACTAAAACGATATTTTGGGTTAAGAGCGAGTCGTAAGACTCTGCTCTTGGTGGTATTATTAGTAGGTATAAATACAGAGTAAGACAAAGTCTTTCATTTTTTATAAATGTTGGATGTTAGATCTAATGTATAATTGATGGCTGTAGCAAACGACAACGGTTTAAACAAACTATACTTTATAATACTAATTTATTTTCTACATCCACTGCTAAAATTACTAACTAAAACACTTCTAGCTCTTCAAACACGATAATTTTACATTTGATGATCTTTTACGTATATGTAAATAAAATAACAATGAAATACATATATACGAGTATTCTAAATCATATTCATTTGAAGAAACGTGTTAAGCAAAAGGTTAAAATTAGTTATTGCATAACTGTAATATGAATATGTCAATTTTGTTTTTTTTTTTCATAAATATAAGATAAAAGTGTTTCTATATGAGTCGTTGATTCAATCTCATTTAATAAAGGTGTGGACTGATTTCGATACACGATGTTGACAAAATAAAAGTGCAACACTAAAGAGTTTTTCAACAATTTGCTGAGAAATTATTATATTTTATCAATTTTGCATTCATAATGCTGTACTGGACAATATTCTTAATAAAAAAATGTTTAAAAAAAATCCACTTTACATTTCTTTCGCTATGACTGAAAATACTGAATGAAAATACGCTCTGACATAGATCTTCGCTGTATGTTATATGTGTAAGATATTATGTTCAATATTTTTCAGATCACTCACCCCTTTAGAGTTGTCCTCCTGTGGCAACGCTTTCATGAGATAGTTCCTCTCTGTCTCGGAGATGCGTGGGTGCTGTGCAGGAGTATCGTACACAACGGCGAACCAGGCCACCGACCACATCACACCGATTATACCTGCAAGGGAATTGATACTTTAGCCGGTAGAATTGAAGTTTAAGTCAATGAATCGTCAATATGTGGTAGAATAACAGGATGCCTAGTGACTTTCGTGGAACTGTTAGTCAACTGAATGAAAATAAAAGCATAATTAGGCGAATTGAAGCTCTGATAAATAAAATTTAAAGATTGGATATGCGTGTTGATAGCATATTTAAGTACAGTTCCATCGACAAGGGCGTAATTTGCAAAGAAACTATCAAGATTATTGCCGTAAATGTCATTCATTACACATTATTTCGAAAGTTTTATTTTTAGCTTTTCAATGGTCAATCTGTCTTTCATAATTTATAAATCATAAAAATAATTGTACCGTCATAAAATTATCCGGGAATCCGATTTTTAATGGTGTCCGTACAGAAACAAAAACGGCGCGACATCATAGGTTTCAATTAATACCACACCTAAAGGAAACCCGGAATTGGGTTTTAGAAAAAGGTAAAGAAAGTAGAATGAAGTTTTTATTTCAAATACTGTAAACTTTTGAATGCGATATTATTATTACAATATGCAAAAACATGTTTAAATACCACAGTACTCCTGCCACCATTTACTACATTACTAATGCACGCATTAATTTACATTCTAGTTATGCTAATCATACGCTAAAGAACACAGACGGTAGATGTTCAGTCACATAGCTTATTTCCGCTCATCAACCTGCTATTCATCTGGATAACAAAAAAAATGACAATATGTCATTCAAAAAAAAAAGACAATAAGCCAAACGTTGAAATTTTACAGATCCATCATCATCTTTCATTCATTTCATTTTCATTTTACATGTAGAAATTAATTAATTTACTTGACATTGGCAGAATTGTGCGAAATGCGCAGATAAGCCATTAATAAGAGAAGAAGAAGTTTCAATTTCATTCAACGGAAAAATAAATTATCCTTACGGTATGTATCTACTATTTAATAAAATTGAAAATAAGGAAAACCGACGCAAAAGGTAAAAGGCTATAAATATTAACAATATGTTGAATGCGCTACTTAGTAACATTTCTTTTTTATTTTATATACATTTTTATACAATTAAAGTAACAGAAAAATGTTAAGAATTTCGACAGTGTCATATTCTAGATTTTTATGTCTAAATATAATAAGATTGATATTTTTTTATCAATCCTTACAATTTTCTTTTTATATATATAAATACCATAAATATCTCGTTTCATGATATATATACTCCGAAATTACTAAAGCGATTTTATATTTAATTCGGTCTAAGAATATTATCTCTATGAACAGATATTATTGTATATTTATTAAAATAGCTTGTTGCGCAGTTTCATATTTGTGCTTTTATACTTGCTAATAATATAAAATACGCGAGTCACTACTGAGTGGAAGCGGAAATGGGTTTTTCACACAGAACAATATTATATATCTTACAAAGTCTTAATACTATTGTTTGCAAACAACTTGCTGCAGATTAATTATGAATATAATTGGTCTTGCGTATTACAGTCAAATACTGCACAAGTAACTCATACCGTATTTTGAATTATATTTCAGTACACGACGAAATCTAGAAGCGCAGTATAGTATCGCGCAGCTGAGATGAATAATAACGTTGCTTTTAAATAAATAAAAACATAACTCAAAACTGGCCAAAATTTGCTTTTATTAAAACAATAAATGCATATAATATAATAGGATTCCGGCGCATGCATACATTTGTAATTAAGAGGACGATTTTGATAGGTGCTTTTGTGAAATAAAAAATGATGAGCGACTCTAGCTACATTTTTTTGTAAAAGTAATTTTGGCAATTTTAATTTGAGACCATTTTGTTTATTGCCTCCACAGTTGGAGCACAGATTTTCCCTACAGGGAACCAAAGAGGAAGAACGGGACATAACCCACCAGTGCGGATTGGCAAATGCGGATGGAGAAATAGTTTCTCATATTATTATTATGTGGATGCATAAAACAACCGGTTAGAAGTCCAAACTGATTAAATCATATCACACACATTGGAGGCGCCAACATTGTTTCTCACGAGTGTGTTAGTATAGACACGTATCGTTACGAGTGTATTCAAGAAATTTTTTGAGACGATTGTGTTTGTTCATCACCTTTGATCTCATGCATTCTGCATGGAATATGTATGAATTGATAACTGTTGACAATACGCATTGCTTGCTGAATTAAATTGTCAAGCACTTCAAGTGTAATTCCTTTACTTAATGAAAATAATAAAAATAAGGTAGCTCAGTGGCGTAGTGGATAAGCGCCGCGGCCCGCGATCGTAGTCGTTAAGCAACTTTCGCAAGGGTCGGTCACGGGATGGGTGACCAAAAAATTATTATCTCTAAAATTATTAATGTTTCCGAGGCTAGCAAACGACAATTAAACGCATTTTATTTCCGTATGATTTTCAGTGCATTCAGTGGTAACTTTAAATAATTACTATTTTGCACACTTACTAGGTGCCATGCAACCGGGAAAACTGTACCCTGACTATCAATATATTTAGTAACATAGATTTACCTAGGATTGATGATAAGATGGTATAAACGTAATTTCTAATCAATCAAAAAATTAAATAAACTTTACCAGAATTAATCCTGATTGAGTAGTTGTCTAAATGCAATTACTATTCAGGATTACTATTACCCAACACATTCTAAAGTTTCGTGTAAGATATGTCTGACCTTTATTAGTCTTATTCACTCACCAGTGAAGTAGAATGCCGACTCCCACCCGAAGTGTGCGATCAGAAAACCACAGATCGGCATGGTGATCGCCGCGCCCAATGATGATGCTGGAAACATATAATAAGATCAGGACACCTTTCCTTAAAAAAAGAGACGAATTAACTAATCAGTCAAGGACACAGCCGATAGAGTGCAATCTACTACGATTACTGTCTGTCCTAATCCCCGGCTTCGGTTGCAAAGTGATTCATATTATATTTCTACATTTATAAAAAAAAAAATATTATGAGAAAAAATCTAATAAGTGTGACTTTTACAGCTAACTTTGTTGATTATTTTCGTTTTTCCTTGTCTGCTATAATATAATGGACTGTCTCATTTTTAATAGTTTATTAGATCTTTACTCATTTTCTTAGGCAACAATCAATTTAAAATTATCTTCTTACTTCAACAACACTAGGTTTCCTGGTTCAGTTCAAATAAAATTGAATTACATGATTAATATTATAAATGTGAAAGTTTCTTTGGATGTTTGTCCGTCAATCACGCCGAAACTAATGAATAGATATTGATGAAATTAGGTATATAGATAGGGTATTAGCCGACTTAGATAATAGGACTTATTATCCCACTAAACATTTCCCAAGGGACCACGCGGGCGAAACCACTGGCGAAAGCTAGTACATAATACAATTGAATCAGCGTCGTATGCAGAGCGTTTATATTAATAAATATTTATTATCTTTTCTGAATTGTAATGAAAAACCACTTAGTTTAGATACCTGAATATTATTCGACTTTTGCTTTCGCTATGGTAAAACGGTTTGTAATGTGTACATATAATTCTATTTGCGCATTAATAAGGAAAAAGAACGAGGTAAATACTAAAAAGACTATTCTGGTTTAGTTATACTTTTACGTAAGTTTTGTAAGTCGTATTGTTATATATTACTGTTTTTTTTTTTTTTAATTTAAATTTTGTATTAATTTATTGATATTTTACAAAGAATAAAATATATTTTTTACTATTTTTATTCAACATGACATATAATCATTATCATATTGTCATCCATATCTTCTAATACAAGTGATTTTTTATCGTTTTTATATAAACTGGAAAAGTATATAAAACAATCCATACAATGAATTTGTGGATCTCTAGAGATACAACACCACTGCATTGACGTCAGCCACATTACAAAGTTACAATCACACATCACTAACCCATTATTATGCAAAAAAACATAGTTCTATTGTATTTTAAATCACTACCGTATAGAGAATTACTTCTAAGGTAACGATGATAATATAAAAACAAAAGAAAACTACGTGGGACTAACACCCACTTTTAAAAATGTCTATGAAAATTGTCATTAGTTTAAAACATTATCGATACTAATTATTAAATTAAGAAAATTTAGCTTAAAGTCATCATTAAACCTTATTTTGTCTAGGACTTTATGCAACTAAATGTGTGAGTGTATGAAGAACAAAAGATTTGTATGACTAACGATTTATTACATATATAAATTGATCCCAATATTAACTGGGATATTACATTTTTCAGAGGAAACACTGGGTTTTGTCATGTTATTTTTATATATGTCGTGGCGACATTGTAGAATTGAACTATTTATAATGCGGCCGGCCATTTCATGAAACATATCGTAAAATAGTTACATTAGTCTCGGTAAGAGGCGCTACATGACGTATTTTAATTTGTAGGTTATACTACAAATTAAATTAAATAGGGTGACTAAGCTACGGAAAACAATTACTTGGATTAAGTTCAGTGAAATAATAGTGGGAGTGTAGTGCGAAGGTGAGGCCGCAAAGGCTTTTATGGATATGTCGCAAGATAATGATAAAGACAGGATTTTGAAATATATTGGAGGATATAAAAGCTTCTGAGATATGAACTGAACTAAATTCCCTTCTATAATTCATTACTGTAGGGCACATGATAGGTTAGAAATTCAAGACGATCGTGAAGAGTATTTAACTTCGAGGTTATTTCATTCAGACCACAGAAACATAACGCTATCATATAAACTATTTCAACATATAATTAAATTTCTTTTTTGGACACCCTACATTAATTATATGATCAAACGTGGATAATCATATCATTAAACATTGACGCTTAAACGATACGATAAATTTTAGGTGGCCGTTTCATGAAATACAAGAATTTAATAGAATGGTTGTATTTCAGCCAATTCAATGGCGGCCGGTGCATAAAATGATCAATTCTACGATATGGCCACGACATATATTTATTTAAGCTTTATTGCGCAAATTAAAATGCACAAATGGCGGACTTAACATGGGGCATTCTCAACCAATTAACCGGAGAGTTGTAGCAAAGGTACCGCAATCTCTGAGATCTCGGGTTCATTTTCCGGTCGAATAAATCTAAAAAAAACAAACTTTTCTACATCGTCTCCGGTTTTGTTTTGTTTTTTTTTTCATATTTTTATATTAATAGTTTAATATTTATAATCATTTTTATTTTAATATTAGTAAACGAACTATTGGTATATTAACAAACTTCGATTAATCAACCTCCGGGTACAGTAGGGATATCATATGTAACAACGTGTAAATTACTCAAGTTTTTTTCTTATATAAATAATATTTGTTGTTAAGTTAGTAAAAAATAAGAAACATGAAATTTATTTATAATTAATAACAGTCAGAATATAATTTGTGCAGTGATTACGAAACAACAATTCAAATCAACTTCAGTAGTACAATCAAATACTTAGGTCATAATAAATCATTACAATGAAATGTTATTCTAACTATAACAAAATATTATCTGTGCTATAAATGACCTGAAAACATTTCCTGACGTCATCGATTAGATCAAACGAAACAGTTGAACGAAACAAAAATAATCACCCAGTATGCTTTATTTATAGGGGTGCGGATGGACTATTTTCTTAACGTGCGGGCAAACGTAGCCAAGTTCAAAGCAACAACAGACACATTTTTGCGAAATCATTTCGGAAAAAATATTTTTTATATAATCGCCGCGGCTCGTGATCGTTATTGTTAAGCAACTTTCGCAAGGGTCGGTCACGGGATGGGTGACCAAAAAATTATTAACTCGAGCTACTTCGTGCTTCGGGAGGCACGTTAAACTGTTGGTCCCGGCTGCATTTGCAGTCGTTAATACCCTCCAATCCGCATTGGGCCAGCGTGGAGGGTCATGGCCGATTCTCCTTAACCATCCACAAGGAAGGCCTGAGCCCCTGAAGTTGGCACGTAAAACAGGCTGATAATGATGATTATTTAATAATAAAATTTTAATTTATTGAAATAATTTTGGAACATTTAAAAAACAAATTTAAGAAAATCTGTTTAGTGTGTAAAAACATCTACACAGCAAAGTAGCTATCAAAATTGGTAATAATTGGATGTTACACAATTTGAAAACCCTAGATGTTGTAAGCAAAATATAGTACGACAATAATTTTGTTTCACGTTTGACAACCCTAAGGAGAGCGGACTCATTTATAGGAAATTTACTAGCGCGTTTCAGGTCAACGCATTCGTATGACGTAAAGTGACCATTATACACAAACATTACCTATAACGTATGTTGTGCACCTATATGTATAAAATTAAGACACATCCGAGATGGATGTGTCTTAATTTAAGGCATTTGCTATATTTACTAAAAAAATCAAGTTCACCCTTAACAAATTCACTTAATCATCTAATAATAAAAAGGGCTTATTTAAAATTAAAATCTTTCATGCATTATGTATGCATGAAAGATTTTAAATAAGCCGCACTCCATAATAAGCAGCACTCCATAATACGACCAATCATTATGTTCTTATTATACAACAGTATTCGTATAAGTGCCTCAATGTCTAATTTAATTACCACAACGATGCCAGCGCATACGGTTACCATGTTAATGATAATTTAAGGAAATATCATAGTGCAAAGTTTAATGGTTTTCCTCAAAACCACCTAGACCTAATTTGCGAAAGGACGTTCAATGAAAGGGCGAATTTTACGATTTCATGGTGACATGACCAATTTGACCTTCAAACAGGTCAAGTGATTTTAAACGACCTATAAGACCTCTGCAGCAAACTGTTTTACAATATTTCTATATTTTTTGAAGTTTTTTTGAAAAGCAAGGTCTACTAAGTATAAAAAATTTTGATCTCAGTTTAGATATCCAGAGCCATAATAATAAAAACATAACAATGTAGGTAGATAGCAAGATGTCTATTCTTTTTATGCTTTCTGGAAATATATGTTTCAAAGAGGCCATTATGATACTGTGAATACTTGCAAGATATACTTAAATTAATAATACATTACTAATATTCCTGTTAACCTTCCAAATTAGCAGTTTTTTTTTCTCTAACGTTCTTAATCATGTATTAATAAAAGCCATTATATACAGATTAATAATCACAATATATTCCTTTTTTATTTATATTTACATCACCTAATAAGTTGCAAGTAACATTCTCGAAAGTGAAAGTGTATACGTTAACATCACAATGTCCTATCAAATTATAACATATACTGCTGTATAGTAGACCTTATGTGTTGGTGTTAAAATATAGGGAATTGAGTACAAGACGATGAACTTTCGATCCCGCAATTTATATGCAAGTAGTGGGACCCGTTCCATTCATCGATAATCAGTAGGTAACACGCGGCAATAGCACAGGGTGACAATGAATTACGTATTTCACATCCAAGGTAAAAAAGTTACCTCATTATTTTGTTAACACACTACCAATAGGTAATTTACTTTGGAAGTATTATATGAATGAACATATTATTTATTTAAATAAAGTTGAGAAAAGCATTTTTAAATCGTCCCGACTGACTACCCATTCAAGACTTCTTTTGTTTGACAAGAATGGAACAAGAAAGTTATCAACTCTTAACAAACAATATTGGGTATTATTCACGTTCACCCTCTTCCGTACGTTTTTGTTTGATCCTAGGGGTTTTATTCCAAGGGATAATATAATTTTAGGACTGTAATATAGAAAATGCCGGTTCGTTTAACCTCCTTTTTAACTTAAAAAAAGAAGGTTCTCGGTTTGACCTGTATGTATGTATTTTTGTGCGCGATTATCTCGCGTTTGGTTGAACCGTTTTAAATGCGGTTTTCAGCATAGTATTTGTCAAACTTAGGAGAAGGTTTTATTAACTAATAATGGAGATTCGCGAGCAAGGTTTTGACACGGTTTTCAGAAAAGTATTTTACTATAAGAATCAAGGACAATGCTTGAAGATGCATGAGGAGAGAAGAGTTTTTATGACGTACTTTTGCCAAAAAGGATCTACTCGAATAAGAAGTTTTAAATGATTAAAGAAGTTTTAAAGACACCCTAACACTTAATGATGACTTAAACTATAATGTCACAATACTGTGAACTAAAACCTACTGATTAAAATACATTAAGCTATTGTTCCAAGAAAAGTTATAAACTAGATAACTTTACAAGACCGAATATAAGATTAATGATAATAAAAATATTCTTGAAGTACCTTATCTCTGTTGTTCTTTCTTTTGAAATGTTAATTCTATAATATCGAATATTATGGAAAACGAAGTCTTTGTAATGCTCAATGATTTGTGAGACATTATTTATCTGACACATGTTGTTTATTTTATTTGATTAGCTTCACTTGAATAAAATATGTTAGCATAGAATCTTATTACAAAGAAATCTGTGTTTCAGAACTTGAAACGATAATTAAAGACCGTATTAATGGTTATTGTAAGCAACAGATTTATAAATAATGGATTCATAATTTATTGACGAGTACGTATATTATACCAGATAATTCTAAATGATTCTTAAGGGAAAACAGGATTTGTTTTTTCATCTTTATCATCTATGCCATTGTGTTTTCAGTAATAATACAATATCTTGTGTTGTAAAACTCGTCTGAGTAGTTACACTTTTTATCACTTTCCGGTTCCGCCATCCATTATTCAAGCTTAGAATCAATATTAAATGGTGCTAGCACTTTTTGCATGACTATTGAAAAGTTTTGTATAATCCCAGAATTGTAAAAAAAAACGCATCGTGATATACACTCGCGAGTCCATTAGTCCCGCGCAAAAATAACACTACCTAATTTCTCAGAAGTGGTCCACCGCAGTGCATAGCAACCGTTGCGCAAGGTTAAAACGCGCGGTCAAGTATTAACAGCCAATCATGGGACGCTACCGCCGTGACGTCAGCGACCACGCCTGCGCGCGCCTCTGCGCCGCCATTATTATCGCTTTCATGCACTGTGAAACTACGCAACGTTACGTTGGTAGCGATAACAATTGAACTGTTTATGAACAAGCCCCCTTGACGTCGAAATATGATTGTGGAATTAGACAGCAAGAAGATAATGAAAGTCAAGGATAGGCTCCTTGAAATTATTGCTTGGCTTGACCTATTTAATTGGCAATTTGCAATAGATCTACGTCACACGTATTTTGCACGATCTTGTTTGTGTTTATCGTTTGTTTCAATTTGCTCCTATTAAAGTATAAATAAAAAATCCATTATTGTCAATTATCCATGATCCATTATTTGCACGCCATTAAAAGTGGCAGATTACACTAAAACACTGAAGGTATTTCAAGATCTTTAAACTTGTGTTCTGCAAATTAACGATTTATTTGAAGGAATGTAATAATTAATGAAATTGTTACTCTAAAGTACTTACCCATCATGTTAGACATGAATTTGGACCTATCCATGGGCGGTATCCACTTCGAAGCCATGGGAAGGATTGCAGGCCATGTAGCCCCTAACATGAACCCGAGGACTACTCTGACAGCTACTGCCCATCCAAAGCCCAATGAAGCTGCAGCCGGAGTAAAGAGAGTGAGGAAACTAGCCAGCAAAGTGCTATAGCCAAACACTCGCCTGTTAAAGAAAAAATAATAAATGAAATCTCTAATGCAACAAAAATATATATTTTTTGTCGATTAACTTCGATTTTTTATTATTTGATGAACATTTAATATGTCATGGCTAATATTAAAAAACTTATCCCTAGGTACTTGTAGCGATAAATGGAAAAAAACATCCAAGTATCCCAACCAGTGCTAAGCATGACTATCCCTATATATCTCACTGCGGCAATGAGATATACAGGGACAGAGGATGACAAATCTCACGTCCAAAACTATTTTTAATTAATTACTCACAAACCATTACAATCATAGTAAGTGATCCGACTTCAAAGTGACTCACATATTTATAAATTTTCCCTATAACGATAGTGTTTAATTACAAGAAGCAATATTTGTGTATTTTAGAATTCTAGAGGCAACTAGAGCAACTATGTATTTACATATGTAGTTTTTCATTTTTAATCACAACTTATTTGGAGGTTAATTCTTTATAGAGAAAACCAATTGAACACGCCTTTTTACCTTGCTTCTCAAAGGTAAAAGATTCAAAGCAAAATGATGCGGTGACTAGAGAGAGCGTAAATTGTATATGTAATTTTGGCTGAATATCAGAGACATACAATATGTATATGTTCAGAAAGGATTAATTCATATACGCAGTTTAAACGATGGCATGTGAAGAATTCACGCGACCACCTCGCCCACGTTGTCCGTCGTCACAAAAACGTACACGCAAACATTTTCACAAACGATTGCAGACATTTCTTGCGTGCGATAAGACTTCGCGATTCAGCTCCCCGGCTTGTGCGCCGAGAATGTTCCACATGAATCATCTTTAGACAATGTAACACGATACTTCATTTTTTTTTCCATCTACTAATAAATGCATAATGTTTTTATCGCCACTTTTCAACAACTAATATGTTTATGAATCGAAGCATTATGTAAATGAAAATATCTACTTAAAGAATTGTAGAAGATTTATTGAGAATGCCAAAATTTTCATTCTAATAAAGAATATGCCTAACCTTATAAATATTTTTTTCATATCTATGTAATAAACGAAATACATAAACTTTTATGTTGTCATCATAAATCATAATTAAGTATAACAGCTATAATTGCAAAATGAAATTTATCATCAATTAGTCAAGCATCAATTTATTTAACAAGCCTATTACAACTATGCCATTCATAGTTACGAGAATAATTATCTTAGTTTAAATCGATGGCAAGGACCAAAAGTAAGCAATGAGACTCGTTGACTCGTCATGATCTTTATATTGAGATCTAGAAAGTTCGAGGCAGACTTGTCATTAAACCACCAAACAAAATGTACCAAACTGATTGAACTGCTCAATAATATAATAATGACATAACAATAATAATACACATTTGTTATAAAATAATTATTTCGGGAGCGTTATTGCAGGACTTTTTATAAAACCAACGACATGACAGTAATAAAGATACTCATAAAATACGCATTGCTCGGACATTTTTTTAATGTTCATGTAACAAAAATCAAATAATGGGGAATAGGAATTCAACTGCCGCCGGCTGACTGAGCATTTTTACTTTGCGGAACTGCGGTCGATCACCTAAAGATGTATCGAAAGGATTTTACAGCAATTCAACCATTTTGGTTTTATTTTATTAAGTATATAATCCACCAACTACTCTTTAGCGATTCGCGATCGTTTGAGACATTCGATAAAACTCGGAGTAAACTAAAAATAAATAACGATGAGTCATAAAGGTTTTCGCCAAGGCAGATGGTGGCCTATAAAGATTAATTCGTATTCGCCGGGACAATGTATAGGGATTATATTATTTGGAGGTGAAGACCACATTAAAACCTTTGATATCAATAAATTTACAAATAAAAAAGATAGTTTGATTGTTCAGAATATCTATGACCAACTTAATAACACGCCCAACTTACCTAGCGCCAATGATTTCTGCGAGGCGACCGCCTGGAAGTTCTGTTAGGACGTATCCCCAGAAGAAAGAACCTAGAAGATGGTTCTTCTGTTTCGTGTCCCAGTGATAACGGGTCTGTTGGATATGTTCTGGATGCTGTAAGAAGAATAGAGTTTCAAATTGAAGGTAGCTAAAACGAATATCGAAATCATTACTTTAATTCCTCGTTTATTAGAATAATATAATATTACTTAAGACCATAACAAGTTCAATTTATAGTGAAACATCCAAGTGGCCTTATTTTTTTAGCATACATGATATGAAGGAAATTGGGTAACCTCTGTCACGTTCAAGGTATCGTGAGTTGCGTTGACTACTGCAGTGACATTGTTCTTGTCGTCGTATATCATTTCCACAATAGCGATGGTGAGGTTCACTCGTAGAGCATAATTGAGCATAAAACCCAGTAACACCATTATATTCAGTACTTGGACACATGTTAAACAACCTGAAACAATAAAAAGTGGCATGAATATCCAATAACGTACTATGGATAATAATCTTGATCTGTCTGGGATAAACTTAGAAATAGGACAGAGCCAGTTAAATATGTTAAGGTAACACCCTTTGCGCCACAATTATAAGTAAATGCGCCATAATTATGAGTAAACATGGACGTACTTTATGGTGGAAAAATATCATAGTCAAGGAAGTGTACTTTTTAAAATTAGTTCCGACAGACTTAAGCGGGCTTCCGCACTATGCATTACGTACGCATTGCGTTGTAAATTATATAATAGAACATTTTATTATAACGCTATATTATAAGATCGGTATTATATATAGTATCAACTAACCACACGTTACCGCAAATCAGCTATCTATCTAACTTGGTGATATAGTGATATTTTCAATTAATATTAAAACTATAACAGCTATAAATACACAGGTGTGACGTAAATATCAATAATATTAAAATAAAAATACGAGAAAATCCCAAATGACTTATAAACAACATAATTGTGAATCTGTCGGTATTTAATATAGGAGGATCCTGTAGTATAAGTACATAAAGCATATATTTGTAAATACAATCGACAGCACCTCTTTTCCCTATAAAAGGTAAAAAAAAAACTTCAATTTATTTAACATTAATATATTAAAGTTCACGAATCACTGAATATTTTTGTTAAGTACATTTGTTTAGTAAGTAAATTGGACCAGTTATGGTGGTCACCCTACCGGTTTTACAACGAAATATTTCTCACACGCAATTCACATGTTTGATAGTTTACCCTTGTTATTGTAATGCGACCATTGATGAGACTTTTCATCGACAAAGTTGTTGATGGTTTTGCTAGTGTCACACAGCCCGGTAGAATATAATATAATACGTGCATAAATATAAACGATTTTAAATTATATTTTTGTCTAAGCATTTGTTTGTGATGTAATGAACAAAAATAAATTACTTATGCAATATTTGTTCACGCAATGATTATTTCATTACATAATATCAACACGTTTCACACATTTAAAATTACATAGTCGTAAAATTGTTTAAAAAAAATGAATAATTTAAAGAAAAACAATAAACCCGACTGCGTAAAAACGAATTAAAAAAAATAAATGAACAAATTAACTAAAATAAAAACAAAAAAGAAAGAAACTCACGGTCGGGGCCCATTGAAATTTTACCTGTCTTTGTTTTTCTTTAAATTATTTATTTTTATTTTATACTTTTTAGTTACGATTCGTTGACTTCGTTATAAGATGGTAAATTTCGAAATCTAATAATTTCATTGAGGGAATAATATCGTTTTTTAAACAACTTTAAACCGTTATATATGCTAAACTATTTGTTAAACTGAAAAATGATAAAAGGAACCTAAAGATAATTTTAAAATACCCATTCAACGATACCCCACTTGACATAGTCCATCGATCATATTTTGACAATATGGCGTCTGGTTGTCGGTGTGGTGAATTTTGATTACTGTCGTGTCTTTAGTGACACTCGCAAGGTTGACACGAATCGATTGACGTAAGAATCATCAAATCGGCTTACGCATTTGGACTCTAGAACGCCACATAGAAACAAACATACATAGACTGATAAACACATTACCCTCCCTTGCGTCGCGCAGTCGGGTAAAAAGTAATCATTTTAGCGAGTTAGTTATCAAAGTTCATGCTTCTAAAATGTTTCTGTTTCCACTAAATACTATACATAATGTCAATATTTTTGATGAGCAAATTAGGTCATAGCCAGAATAATACCTTCGTTGTTTCAGATTTCTAATACAAGAGTTCTAGCTACTTAACTTAGCACCAGACAAATAAAAAAAAACTTAAAAAAATTATAAAACCGATAAAAAAAGATAATTATATGGGAAGTGAAAAGTAAGCAACGTGTGATGAAAAGTGTAAACAATGTCGGTATTGTTTTCATAAGCAGTCAAACATTATTCAAAAGACGTAGGTAACATCATTTTTTACTCCATCATGTTGACGTCATCATTGCTTAGAAAATGTAAAAAAATTGGCATCATTTCATGCGGTGATCTATAAATAAAAAAGCGAATCTGTTTTGCGTGAACTTTCGGAAGTATTCACTGTCTTTTCTTTTTTAAAAATGGATAGACTAGAAAATCTGCTCAGAATTCCTTCCAAAGAAAGAGAGGAACTCATCACAATGAAATATATTTTTTATCAAAAACTATCAAGAAATTATTCTTTGATTGTACTACGTAGTACAATCCTTTCATGGAACGTTAAAAATAAAGTAGATTCCTACTTCTGATTAATCCCATAAAGTATGCAATGTTCAGTCACCCAGACTTTTCCAAGGCTTTTTATAAAACTAATTACGATTGCTTTTTTAATTGTTTACTCTAACTATGTGCAGCATCGTGAATGCTTTGCGACGCCAAAGCTGTATGCAAATTTATTGTAACAAAAATTGATGTTGAGGTTCATATCTTGTACCCGTTATCCAAATTCTTGAGAGTACGCTCGGGTTCACTTCTCAGACCTTACCTTTGCTTTTTATTATAATAATTAAGCGTTTCATCGACGATACAAACTTAGCTTGTCCCTTACATACGAACGTATGTAAAATTATTTGTAACCAATGAGCAACAGAAATATTTTTATTACCTCGAAAACAGTCACAAACAAAGAAAAATTCTAAACTCAGGTGTATTGCTCCATTGACTATTTTTAAAAAGCAAATATATTTAGTTTTGCTGTTTACTGTTTATTGTCGGACTTCTGAAAATATCATACATTAACTATTACGAATATTTTATTCGAACTCATCAAATCAAAATGAAAACATTAATAAGTAATGCTATAGTAAAAGCAAGGCTTGTGACAGACTTTTATAATAAATAAGCCTTGGTTATCCAGCCTTGCAGTTATTATGAGAAAAAATATAGGTACACAAAAACAAAAGACAACCGTGTCACGGTCGGTTTACGAACCGAGATGTGTCATTACAAACTACCAACACCCACTCGTGTTGCATATTATATTGATTCAAGCGACTTCGATATATTTTATCAGTAGAACAGGTTTCTTTAGGTGAAACACCTATATTGCGTTTTAAATGTCTTCTTCGATTCACTTCAATGAACGGTATTAAAGATTGTAGGATAGCCATATTTTCTGAACCTGAGCGTATCGTCGCACTGTTGTCCCCTCGCATTTAGTAAATTTTTTGCAATACAATTACTTTCGCTATTGTTTAACAACCGATATTTAATAGAAACTGTTAATCAAAATATTATTAATAGTTCGAATGATTGGTTAGAGAACATTATAAATTAATATAAAATTAATGAAATCCTATCGCGACATTAGTCCGCACACAGAACACAGAGTCCGCATGTGCGACTACGCTTTCATGAGGAAATTACATCTATCTTGTGGTTAGTAAATAGAAATACTTAAAAAGAATACAAACTGTGGAACATATCGAATCTTTTTTGATAGTTAAAAAGCTTTATACTAATTTATACTTCATAGGTTTTTAAAAAGATTGATTTTTATTTACTATGAATTTCTTCAATCCCACTAAGTCAAGCAATATTTTGAGTTAATCCATGAAAGATGACACACACATACATCGTACACCAGTAATAAGATAAACAAATTTATATTTGTAGAATGAACGGTACTAAATATGCAGTGTAAATGCATGTGCCAACATTGGTGTCCGGTGGCACTCCCTCCGCTCGGTAACTGCTCATAAGGAAGATGTCCATCCCGTTAGACGTTGGCATTGGTAATTAGCTAGTAACTACCACGTTATCGGCACTAAATATTCAAAGAGATCTAAACACCGAGGAATAAGACTCGATGTGCATTGAAAACAAAAGTGGCATTGATCACGATCTATCCGAACATGTAGACCGCTAGACGGTATTGTTTACTTACATCAAAGAAATATGCAAATGTACCGGTAAACATGATATTTATGGCAGTGTAAAAAAAACATGAACTTTAACTTATAAAGATAGGATTGTGAAAACCAATAAAATACATTCTTAATTAAATGCAGTTAACGAACTTAAAAAGAGTCAAATGTATTTATGCTTTTTTTTTTTATTTCGCAAATCTGATCCGAATTGCATTTAAAGAAAAATAAAGACAATTCGTAACCATAGATTTCGAAACAGTTCGTCACTCACGAAAATATCCAACGGAATTCGTAAGAGTTTGTCATCTTAGTGATGCAGACTTAACGCGTTGCAAATTTGCTGGTAAGTGTAGTAAAAAGTATTATTATCCCTCGGGGTAAGTATTGATTACTTAACTTATGTAGTTTAAGATCTCGATCTTAAATGTACACTCGTTGAGTTGAATATATAACTATTGTATTTGTATAATAAGTTGCATTGTATAAGGCGCACTGCCACCTTGATTTGGTGTGAGGCCTGCCCCGCATTGCCATATATCAACAAGATTGTTTATTCATTCCATTTTAATAACCACCCATGTGACCCTTATTATAGTCATACTCCACGCATTCACAATAATAAAAAACAAAACTTGGATATTTATATCAGAAAATTATTTATAAATCATGAGCACGATGTAATTACGCAGTATTTTGTAGTAGGTTTTAAATAAACTAATTTTGAGCTGTAACAAACGCCGGCGTCACTCCGTTTACAATAAAACATAAAATTTTAGATATTTTTTCAACTATTCCATTGCTCTCTTTCCAAATCTGTAACTTAACAACAAAATAGGTCCAAGAAAATTTAATTTCCAATGATGCTTCACACAAAAACAACACTGCAATTGTCTGGTTCCTATAACGAGACGTCTTTATGGCCAGTGGGTGTTCCACACTTTCTCTGCAATGTTCTATCAGTTAGGTGAAAATAATAGGACGCCAAACGGCAGTCATAAACTATATAGACTGTTTATGCGTGGGAATTACTAGGTGCGTCTGTTTCCCTTCACCTATCTGTGTTGTCATTACCGTTTCAAAACGTTATTATTTGTTGATATACAACCTCTTGCCTTTATTTTTCTAAGCCGTTAACAGCTATGGTTATATTTAAAATAGATGCAGAGTTTTTATTCATTAATTATAAATACTACTTTAAATGCAGACTATCACTAAAATATGCTAAACATAATCTAGAATGAAAATTCTGTCGATTTTATTTTTTTATTTGCTCTCTTTACATTTGAGAGACTGAATCGAATACTCAGTGATCTATGGCTAACAAAGTTAACAAAAACACTGTCATTGTATTAGTGCAAAAAAATAATTACTTTTGTTTAAAAAGTTTTCATTGATTTAGTTACTACCTATGTAGGTAATTGATTTTTTAACTAACTTTTTTTCAATTTAGTTTTATGTCAGTGTGAAAACAATAATATTTGTGCTAAAACAATTATTTGAAATTTCATTGAATATTTCACGATTGATTTTAATGAAACAGATTATAGAAATAACAGAGTTTATTTTGACGATATAGCAAATGGCAGTATGCCAAAGACACAAGATGAGCACCCACGTACTAGACATAGAACGAGAGACACGTCACCGTCACTGGTGAAGTTCTATTCGCACGCTCGAGTCTTATATTTAGGGTAGCCATCTTTAAAAGCCGTACATTAGAAAAAGGAACTCGCCGAGATTTGTTTTTAACATAAAACAGGACATTATATTAAATGCCCCGGTGATATCGCACAGAAAGAAAAAACCAGTCATGTGCGTCGTACTCGCGGAGAAAGGGCTTCGTGCCATTAGGTATATATACAAAAAAACGCAAAAAACATGGATTTCAGTCTGTTTTGTTATAGCGGCAATACGAATACATCATCTGTGTAAATTTCAACTATCTAACTAAAACGATTTATCAGATACTACTTTTTCGCAACAGCTTAAATGCCGATCAAGTAAATATGAACTATACAATTCTCTTACACAAGAAAATGTTATGTAATCAAAGTAATTTGAAGTTAACGTTTCAATGTAATCAGTAATAAATATTTCTCGCACTGACGCTTCCTTGTAAAGGTCGATTGACAAAGAGATTTTTATGAGTCTATGAACACTTTAATGTAGTTAAGTCACGTACAATATAGATAGACAACTTATTGTTAATGCAATCAGCAAATTACACCAATTATAGGTATAATTACCATTTTTAATCAAACATAGGTATTGGCAATTATATTGCGTAACTTCACACCCGTGCCTTAAAACTTAATATGCGATGACAATATTATTACTCGCTCTCAAAAATTTACTGATAATAAAACAGTTTGTTATCATAGGTTATCTGAAAAAATCAATTTTCATTTTCAGTTCAGCTATTCATTAAGTGTTTATGTTTATAAATGTTGCGGTAAATGTCATAAATTCGAAATTGTTATCATTAATTTCAATTTTAAATGATAAATCAATAATTTAACCTTAGCATAAACAAATGTAATCAATATCCGAAAATAACGTGCTGTAACTGTTCAATCGAGCACCGGATTCAAGTTTGGAAGAAGAAGGTGCACAACTGCTTTTAGCACTGCAGTTGTTAGAGTGCTACTAAGAAAAGTAATCAGCAAGGAGCTATTCAGAGAAATTATCGACCAATCCGTTGGGTTAACCAGAAGAAAAAAAAATAGAACAGTGATCATTATCAATAACCTCATCGTATCTTTAAAAATGCATACGAAATCGAATGTTGTTTTAATTTATTACTGTAATTACGAATTTTAATTAATTACGAATTTTTAATAAAATCTAGTGATTTTTAATAATAACAGGTAATTAATCCTACTTATAATTTTCATTAGTCAAGTTTATCGTAGCATATAATATTGTTAATAAAAATTTTCATTCAACGACCGGATATCCTTTGACTAAACTATTCATCATCATCAATGATTCATAAATATTTAGTAGTGCCACTGCATACAGGCATGTTATACATTTAAATACATAATATGTAACGAGCAGACGGATCGCACAGGGAAAACCCGGGGTTAACGCGCCGCCCAATAAAAACTATTTACTACTCAAATCTAATCATTTCCTCTAAGCTTAGTGCAAAAACAGTGAAGCAAATAATTTTCAACTGCACAAATAAACCATAAAGTCACGCTTGTACCTCCGGCAACTTACCTGCAAAGTTTCTTGGAAAAGACTTCTCCGTTTTGGCCATAGCACTCGCCTCGGAATGAATTAAGGTTCTGGAAAAAAGAAAAAAACACGCATAAGCCTCATTCGATCTATAGCAGAACGTTAAGCGGATGCTTGCAAAAAAATATCACGGTAACCTCAAACTGTTACACTGTTTGTGCAGTGCGATTTGACAACTGCGTATTTGATTTGGCATGTTCATTATCAACTGTCGATGTGACCTCCAAATTAGCGTCAGTTACATGCTAATAGACTTTTTGCTGAACTCAAAACTACGACGGGCTCACCTGCGTCACCCGCAAATCGAATCTGAAATTAATTTGTCGGTGTCGCGGATCACTGCACTGGACAGTGGACAAGCGACCGAGAAAGTGACATCAGTAATTTTAACAACTGACCGACCGAATGCTTCTAACGATTCGAATTCAATATAGATATCATAATTGGAAGGTTCAAATAACAGTTCTATGCCGTGAAAGCGTATTCATCCTGACAGACGCACCTTGTATTTTTTTCGATGAATTTTTAATTAATCCGTCAGCTTTGTGAAATACCCGTTATGCAGTACGTCGAGACAATTTGCGATCGTTTGGCGCCAGCTGGTAACGGGTCATGACGACTTTTAAGGCCTCGTGGAATAAATACTTTATAACCTGTATAATGATTGAGAGCTAACGAATCGTAAACCCGGCCATTAACACTTTCCCTAGTCCTGAATGTAAGAAAGTTGAAACCAAACTGTAGAAGGACTGATAACTTTAACCAATCTTAAATCTCTTTTTGTTGACTGAACTAAAAATGAAGTTGTTCTAGAAATGGAGTTCTAGAATTCAACCGTATCAAGGTTGAATTAATGTCTTAAATTGTACAAAAAAGCTTCAGAAAAATACGACAGTATAATTGAAATAATAATTATTATAACTAAGGTTTTAAATGAGTTAATACGTCAATTTTTTGTTCGTTGCGATGGGTGTGGCTGTTCACGTAACACACCATGATATTTTGCCAAATAACATTGCGGATTTCAGTCGATCTATTTCAGTGGCTCAAATCAAGGTCAGAAATTACGTCACTCACGTCATGTCATTAGTAGAGAACGATTTCTAAAATCTCACTTAAGTATCGACCGATACCGTGATAAGGTTCTAAGTGCAATTTTAACTTGTAGAACCGACTAAGGAAAACAAAACTATTTCGTACAGAGGGATTCAATAAAAAAATAAATAAGCAGGACCAATTTTTGCCAAGTGACGTAAAAAGTTTTTTTTTTAATATATTTCTTATTTAGATATGAATAATATCATGTTTATGTCTTTATTAACAGGTTCGTGTTTAATTAATACGTGAAAAACAAACTGTAGATATATCGGCAAGTTTGTCATGAATCTCCTGGTTCAGTTGGAATATCATATAGCAACGTCTTTAAAAACGTCTACTTTTTAACAGCTTCAAAATCGAAAACGAGGTGGTTATATCTTCGAGGACGATGTATACCTGGTCGATTTTCAAAATTTTGAATTTTATCGAAATCGAACAGTAGTTTTCTTTTACAACAAAACAAAATACGCTTTTCATCATATCACCTCAATATTTAGATGATATAAACATTTAGAATCAGAAAGGATTTTTTCTATGTTGTGATGAGATGTTTTTACGAAAGTAGGTATATTCATTGATTTCTACTTGAATTCTGAACCATTTCTATCAAACTAGCTGTCTCCCCGCGACTTCACCTGCGTAAATTATATATCCTATGTTCTCCGCGTATTATGTAGCTTCCCGTAGATGAAAGACTCATAAATCGGACAATAGCTTCAGAGCCTGTCCAATGGTAACAAACAAACAAGCAATCAAATATTTTTTCTGTATAATATGAGTATAGTATATCTGGCACCGACCTCAAAGAAATTATCTGTGTATCCACTTTTTGTGTTTCGACTTTATTGAAGATAAAAATTTATGGTATTATTTATTTCTTTTCATTCGTTTCTCTTTACTACGATTTTATTGAAGTCGGTTTAATTTTTTTTTATGTTTTTATTTTTTTAATAATTTAATTTTTTTTACACTTTTATTTAACTTGCCCTTACCGTATATTACTTCGCAAATCTTAAAACCTCAAATTTAACCCACTTCCCAATGACCGATAGATTTAAAATTTTGCATAGAAAAAAAGTAACAAGTGCTTGAAAAATTCGTCAGTCCTGTTAGGTCCTGGGTAGCTCAGCGGTTAGAGCAGTCGCCTGGATTTCGAAAGGTCATGGGTTCGAGTCCCATCTCAGAATGCCAGGGACAAAGTGGATTTTTAGGCATTTTAAGAATGGACATGTAAATTAGATGATAATGCAATATTATGTTATCAGTAAGCTGATATGATGATGAAGTCGGAAGGTGGTCATAGGTACATAGCGGTGAAACGACGCAACTGCACCGTGTTTGGGCTCTTTAGATCCGTTTTTATAAGTATTGTGACAAATATTAAATATAAAATTAAAAATGAATAATATTAAAAGTTAAAAATTATAAAATAAGAATGAAAAAAGTTTTTATAAACAAGCTTTTATTTATGCGCACTAAAACGTAAAAACTAAATAGTAAAAAATAAAAACATAATACGCAAAATTTTCTCTAACAGTAATTCACTTCAAAAACTTGTAGCGCGTAAAATTATGTATATTTCCTCGTCTCCCATTTCATAAGCGGTACAAACTTTTAAAGTCAAACAGCCAGTTGCACTAACGTCCATTAAAATTGACATTAGTCTAAAGCGATATTACCCATATAAATTTGATATTCATTACAGCTTAAAGGCGTCATTAAACTTAATTGACGTCTGTACAACTGAACGAATGACTGTTAGAGAAAATTTTACGTATTATATTTTAATTTTTTACTTTTTATAAATACTTCTTTCTCCTCATCTCTAATACTAATGCGTAAAAAAAGACGTGAATATATGATTCATCTTAACGTCCGTAATAGTACAGAACTTATTTTACGATTACTATAGATGACTATAGGCGACGACCAAGATGGGATTTTGAAAAATTCATCCATCCCCTAGTCTATGCTTATCGGCGGCTTTCCTAAGGCGGTTCATTATGTTCATGAAAATTCTATTAATATTATACCTACTTACATATTATATTAACCACGTACAGAAAACCTCCGTATGTGATAGTTTTCTCGTTCCTGGAGACTTTTTTATTTTATCCAAAAATTTCGAAGTAACAGCAGATGAAGCCCAATGAAAACAAATCAAAAAGCAATAAATTCAAATAAGACGGCACATCGTGACAAACGTTTGCTGTCACAAGTTCTGTTTTTTCCTTCGTGTCGTAAGAATATTATTGTCATCGACACTTATAAGAAAAAAGCGAATCGGTAGTGTATTTTTTATAACAACTTCCTGAACGCTTCCGCTAATGAATGAATACCTATAAAGAAACTCGTCCAACTTCAGTCAAAGTAAAGATGAAAAGGTATCTACATTACATTGCAAATTATTAGAACTGTAACTAGGGCATATTAGGTTTATGCGGGTGACTAAACTGTTCCATATTAGTACCGAGTGTGTATCTATTGTATTGGCATTATTAACTTAGAGAACTACAATTTTAAAAATCAAGTAAGTTTTGAAATAGTTTGGATCTGTTATATCAGTTTAAAAACCTGTGCTATAATTAAATGTAATAACCAAACCAAAGATTGTAATACGTATTTGGTAGGAATTAGGATTGCTATGATTAGGGCTGCCCTCCGTCCGAGTTTTTCCCGGATTTGTCGTAGTTTTGTGTACGTCCGGGAAGTTGAACGTACTGTCCGGTTTAAAATTTAACGTGCTACTGTCACGCAATGTCTGACGATACAACAGTCAGTGTTTTTTTCGTTTCCGAATATTTTTTTTTATGATGCGAAATCTCAGTCTTCCCATTACTATAATAAAACAATTTTCTTAAGTTATCTATTGCAATGATAGGCACAAATGTGTAGGTATTGCCAAATAAAAAAATGCAAAGCCATGTGCGAACATTGAATGGACTACGAAATGATATTATGCTAATTACATTCAGTAACCGCTTCCTGCATTGTCCACCTTCATCATTCCATGTAGTTATTGAATAGATTTATCTTTCTAATGTGACATCATGAGGATATAAACGTAGCAATTACTAAATGTATTTTTCTTTATCACAATTACCTTACAAAATATCGTATTAAAATTGATTAATTACAATACTATCTTTATTTTTATTTGAAAAACAAGGACCTGAAACCTAGATTTTAATAGATGGAAAACCATGAAAACTTTGCTAGTTGTCTGTTAGTGCATTATAATCGGACGTCTCATAACAACAGCGCGCACAAAGGAGTTAGGTATAACTTCTTAGCATATAATGGAGCCCTCTTTTTCTGATTTATCAAACAAGAGATACTACGATATATTTAAAAACTTATCTGAATACAAAACTGACATCAATTCATAATATCTAGTTAACAGCCCCATGAAGTTTTAGGAGACAAATATAATTTAGTATTAATTTAATATTAATCTTAACTCTCTTCTTACTATTTCTGACAAACCTGGCTTTCTACGTCTTTGCAAATTTATTAAAAAACATGATATCAAATTATAAAAGTAAGTGTTACAAATTTATCTTTTATGTATTTAAATATTGTAGTTATAGTTTTATTTGCTTTTGTGTTGTCCTTTTATGTATTTAAATTATTGTAGTTGTTTTTTTTTAGTAGAGAAAGAACAATCTCAAGGAAGAATTGATTAATTACCGTACATATTTAATTATAACTATCGTTCAGTCTCTTAAATCACGTGTCTCTCTCACTACGGGATGTTGGCAAAATTTCCGTGTATAACGGAACAAGTCCATACTGAAAAAAAAAATAATAATAATATTTTATAGGCCAACAAAATTGTTGTTTGGACCGAACCCAAGATCTCAACCGGACATTTCTCGGACGCCGTATAAATCCATGGAAGTAACCCTAAGTATAAAATAAATTCTTCATAGATTTCACTCAAAGTAATTTTTCACTTGTTTATAGTGGTTACCTAGCGTGTGACCTTATTTAGTTTAATTAATATGAATAGTAAACATGACCTCACAAAAATAATAAGTTTTCATGACATCTATATAAAAAAAACTAAATTTGAGTCAACTCCAACCAAATTATGAAAGAAAATAACATTTTTTATGCAATACCTACTTGCCAGCGCCTGGAGACTTAAACATTCGATTCCTTTTTCTTTGACTATTTTGTCAGAATTTTGTTTTGATGAATACAAATCACAACACAAGAAGGTATGTTCATCGGTATTAGACCGGGGTGCTAACCCTAATCTCGTAAGTTTGCCAGGACCACGCCAGGATCGCCAGGATCGCCAGGACATTGCCAGTATATTTTTTTATATTTCAGAGGAAATTCTCATTTTGCACTTATACTGAGCTCTACATCCGTTACACACAATGATAATCAGATATTAAATTGGTGGAAGAGCAAATGGCATATCGGCTAAAACCCCTGCGCTATACCAAGTCTGCCAAAAGATACCTACACCAACAGAGAACAGCCAAAAGCTCTAGCTAACAGAGCTATGAAATTGTTACATTGTAGGTTGTAACGTAAGCTATTATAGTTTGAAAGGAAAACGTGGTGATTTCATCCGGGACAAATATCCGTTATACCCTCCTAACTGCAAAGAAATAAATGTATATTGTATGAACCTGCGTTGAATACACAAATTGTATATGAAAAAACGACCACTATTAGGGGAAAGAAACAACCGGCGGAGCAGCTGGATCGATACCTAACCTCCAATTACGAGACGTTTTGAAAGAACAGCTTCCTTTATAAATTTACCTTCTTATGAAGCTCACACTGATCGAACTTGTGAATCCTATACATTTGCACATTCACCAGAACTTTAATTGCAAAATTTCAGTTTTTATTTACAATAAAAAGAAAAGAAAAAAATGTGTAGTACCTACTACTCGTACGAATTAATAAGACACATGAACGCCTATTTTGTTTCTCTGAAAATGAATTTCCATCTATTTTCGAAATGCTAATACGACTCCGAAAAAACTCATTACTCTTTAAACTTCACGGCTATGATTTTAAAAAAATTATAAGAATGGTTCGAAATTTTCCGAATTTTCGTTCTAGGACAAATAAAACATGCTTTCAAATGCCAGTTTAACTACGAATTGTAGTTACTTCATAAATAAATAAAGCTTTTACTTACCGTCTGAAATATATAAATCACACTAAAATATATAAATAGGCACTTAATAGATATAAATAACACACTGTTACTTTAACTCAACACTAACATAAATCTATCTGTTAGAAACAATTTATATTTAACTAATTAAATTCTATCAATAAAACTACGAAAATTATAAGAGTCGAGAAAGACGGACACCCAACACCGACAAGCGCAGAAACCCGACTGATGCGACCTCACGCGGCGTTTCTCAAAATAAATTCAAGGAACGTTCCGTTTACAATTGCAAACGGTTTCATTCATAAAATAAGCAAGAAAAAAACACCGCAAAATATTCCACTCAACCGACATGATACTTTTTATGATAGTACGAAAATTTCAATTGAGTAATATCACAGATATTATTCCTACCTGCTAATATATTTAGATCATTAAAATATATACGATTCACTTTTTAATTATTCTTTTGTCATTTTATGCTAGATACGAGTACGTTTAATTATAAATAAAGTATTAATTGATTATCAAAGCTTTACGTACGATATAGATATTTTGTTTCTAAAACAAAAATGGTCAAATATAGTTTGTCAGATTTTAATTGATTAGACTAAAATATGACTGTACATTTATGAAAATTTTATTAATGAAATTTTCGTATTTTCAAAAGGTAATGGCGCCTTCTTGTCGGCTACATCCGGTGCGAGACGATGTTTCATTGGATAATCAAAGTCGTGCCTCCAAAGAGCGGTTAAAGAATTCTAGACGATCGGTGCAATGAATTTTTTCTCTATGGATCGGTTGAAGATATCATGTATTTAATATTTTTTTATACTGATTAAAATATATAAATATAAACGTATTTAAGTATTAGTTCAATATTTTATAAATAACTTTATAGTCCATAACATAATGCATATCTCGAAAAGGAAACCATAGATAATCATACATCGAAAAACTTGTCCTCAAACTACCCACAAAAAATAATTTATTTTATTTTAGAACCGTCATTTCATTAAAATATTTTCTTATTATTCGGGATCGTTAGACTTAGGTGAGGTTTTCTGGTAAACCACATTTAACACAATAGTAAATATTTAGCCGTAATTATGTATATAACGGAAACTATTTAAAATTGAAACAATAAAACAATAATTATACCTGTCATTGACCAATTATTTGAAAATTATACAATATTCAATAGTAGTATGGCTTCAAGTAATTTTTTAACTGTGAAAACTCATTTATCAGAATTTAAAAATAATTCAGATAAAGATACGTTGAGTGAGGTGAGTTAATTATTTTTCTATATTAATTATTCGTTCTTATTTGACGCTGCACAAGTATCCGCCATTTTGATGAATTTTTATGAATTGGTACCCATTCAGAATTCATTGGCATTTTTATTTTTTAACCAAATTATTTAATTTATAGGTGGTTTTATAATTTAAGTTGATAGTAGTAAGACAGAAACAATATTATATCTTGTTCCATATTAAATGTGAATAATAACTTTCAGGCCTCTGAAAGTGGTACCAGTAATTCAGTGACGTCAGCGGAAGAGCTCCAGAAACTTGCTTTGATTCTTGGTTTAAACAGTGCCGAAGATGTATACCAAGAAAGATTTCGCGTTGACAGGCGACGATTGGAAGCTATGCTTGCGGGTAAATTAGATTTTTATTTATTTTGGACCATTAAAATACGCTTAAATTTTTATAAGATATTATACTACCTACTTGATGGATGTAAAACATGTTTTTTGTACAGAAAATTTGGAAGAATCACAGACTGCTCAAGCGTTCTTCCACCGGGTAAGCTCTCTATATCATTGTTATCACTCAAATAAAGTTTATTTGATGTATTGAAATGAATTATTTTACATAAAAATAGTCTCTTAACTAATGCATATTTTTTAATTTATGGCAATGATCAAATTCAAAAAACACGTGTATAGTAAGCAATATACCTATTGGTACAGGTGATGAACGAAACCAACACTTTAATAAATTGGCCTGCTCGTCTGAAGATAGGAGCACGCTCTAAAAAAGGTATATTAATGTTAAACCTATTTTTGACATAATTTTAGTAAATAAAATTGTGTTATAGAAGTTACATATTTAAACAGAATATTTATTTATACATATAAATAAATGGATTTTGCTTATATTGCGTGAAATGAAACACAATTTGGCGGGCAGGCGCCTTGGAGACCGCGCAACTGGCGCCGGTCGGACTGGCGCTCTTTCCAAATTTTGTATTTTAGTTCGCGCGTCCGTTAAACGTAGTCAAACTGTTTTTTAAATTTTATTAATAATTTTACAATTTTAATGAATTCACAATGGTTTTAACATGTAATGAAGATGAATTAGTATATGATGTTATAAAACAAATGAGTTCTAATAAGTTTAGTAATTGTGTTTCTTTTTTTGGTAAGCTTTTGTTTGTTCGATTAGGGATTAGTAATAATAATAGGTAAAATACAAATGCCTGTGTGAATGTTTTTGTCCAGATCCTCACGTAAGGGTTGCTGGGCGGCCTGATGATGTAAAGCTGGCACGTGAAAAAATTATGCAGTTACTGGACACCAGGGTAAGTTTTATTTAACATCATTTCATTAGCCTACATACTGACATCAAGTACTTTTGGAGAGCAGACTTCAGCTAAGGATCAGAACACCGATAGACACCGATCATACATACATAACCCACTACAGGGAGCAGTGCAGATGGGTGGGTGGAGACTCAAACATAAACTTTGTAGATAGATAGATAAATGTTTTATTGAACCACTACTATCACTACATTATAAGTTGTTATAAAATACTTAGTTGGTGTATAGAAACATTAAAATTACAAAAGACAACGATTTATATCACCGAACTAGAGTGTGAAGCAGTAGCCCAAGAGGTATACAGCTCAGTGTTGGATGTTCCATATATGAAACAGACACTGATTTTCAGCTGTACCCTAGTCGCCGTTTGGTCGCTAGCGAAAAATCAAAGAAAATGTGGAGTGAGAGTACAGTGTAATTCCAAAGTATTATATAAATCATCACTTGTCAGTAGTGTCTAACAGTAATCTAGTAGTTATTTTTTCGTACAAATATTATTGGAGGTACATACAGTGAGGTTGGTTGATACGAGTCGATTTTATGTAAAATAAATAGTACCGTGAGGCATTTTTCGCTGTTAAACGTTTAGATGCCATTTGCTAGAGAATCGGTTGGCGAATTGTTTCAGTCAATCGGAGTCAAAGCAACATGAAATTGCAAATTGTAATATTATCAACTTGGCACGGTATACATCAATAAGCTTAATATTACAATCTTAAACCTTTAGCTACGGGTATGACCAATCAGTCATCTTCTAGAAATTTCTGAAAAGTCATTTTACTTCTGTAAAGTTGAAAAAACTGCAGCTTGAATCGGTAAAAGTTGATTAACATATTAATGATATTCCCTATAGGGAATAACTATTATTAATTTATTTGTATGTTGATAAAGTTTTTAAATATTTAGAAATTTATAAGTTTGGATATCAAAATCTTGCCATTACTTTATCTTCTAGTTTTCTTATCTAAGCTATCTATTAAACAAAACTATATATTTTTATTCAAGTCTGGGTATCTACAAAATAAGCTTAAAAGGCCAAACTGCTGAACCGATAATGTTGAAATCTTATATGAAAATGTATATGCCGCAGCTAACTGGTAAAGTGATTTTATTGTATATAAAACTCAAAAACTTCTTGTTGCGATCTGTAATTGGTACAGATTGGCTGCGATATATACATAACTTCAGAACGAAATCGACAGCATCAATGAAGATAATTCGTTTTATTTTTGAGTATTTAAGAACAATATTTGAATTAACAATAATTTTCAGAAAAAATATACGAAAAAACGATGAGCCCTAGAATTTCGCGAAGCACATATGTACATATATTAGATGAAATATCGTATGCATTTTTATTTTTAATTAATTTAACTAATTCGCAGAGTAACCGTGTTACGATGAAGATCGATGTCAGCTATACGGATCACTCGCATATCATCGGAAAGGTAACTAATTTAAAGATAACTAATTTAAATTGCCACTTTCAATGTAATGCCGATATATAAAGTACATATATTCAAGGATGTTGAGACGTTGAATTTGAATGTTGCTATGAGTATAAAAAGTTTTGGTGTCGCCGACTCTGTGACCCTGGTTCGGTTTCCGGTAAGGTCAATGCAAAAGAGGATTAATTTTATACATATAACTCTGGTTTAGATTGTTATGAAGCCGTTACTTTTTCAGATTGTTATAAAATTCGAAGCCTAATTTAATGTCATTTTTTTTTTATTCCAATCAGTTTTCTTGGATTACTTGAGACTCTCGAAGAATACTAAATCTGGGGATGTAAAAAAACATTTATGTCTGGTTAAAAAGTCATGCGGCTTTGATTATACAGATTGTAAATACCTAGATGTTTTTAGTACGAAACTACGCAAAAAAAGCTGGCAAAAAACTGAATATTTATTAGAAAATACGTGTCTGTAGGGCGGTCTTACGATAAAGCGCGTAATGGAAGAGACAGGGTGCCACATCCACTTCCCGGACTCGAATCGCACCAGCACCGTGGAGAAGAGCAACCAGGTTTCTATTGCAGGCGATATGGAACGTGTTGAACGCGCCAGAGCACGCGTTAGGGTATGTATGTTCACAAAATAGAAAGTTTTACTTTTGACATTATACATCGGCTGATCTACAGGATTCAGTAATTAAATAGCAGAAGAGAGTAGAAGGTCATGGCAATAGCATCAGTGAATTTCATTCGTTTCCAAGACAATATGTCGTTGCCATGAAACACATTGCCATGTCTTAATTTTTTAAATATAACGTTGAGATCTTTGAGATCGTGACAATCTGTAATTGAGACTTCATTCAGAAATATGTACTATCTTGTTGCTAATATGAAAATTTTTGTGAATGTTTTGTTGGTTGTTCAATAAATACAAAAAAATAAAAATAATAAATAGGTACATAAAAACTATAGCCCATTAGTGGTCTAAATATAAACGTAACCTATTTTTTTAACATTGCTCTTAAGAAATATTAAGAGTTATTGGATGTTTACGTTATATTTGTGCAGGCTCTTACTCCGTTGGTGTTTTGCTTCGAGCTGCCGATCGTAGCGCCCTCACAAAGGTTGCCAGACATCAACTCGCCATACGTGCAGCAAATACAGGAACAATACAATGTCCAGGTAAAAAACAGACCAAGTCAGAATTGGACTCGCGCATGAATATTTCAGTGCCACAATGTATAAAAAAACGCAATATTTATTTTATTTTGTTTTTGTTGTTATAGCAGCAACAGAAAGAAATCCTCTTTAAAATTCTCAATTGTTCTTGCCTGGTGAAAGACGTATGGACGGCAAGCGGTGTCCTAGTAATAGGGCTATCGTTTTTATCCTTTAAGTGAAGAACTCTAAAAAAGACAAACCTATGGCCGCTCGCATGCACGTCCGTCATAGTTTTGTTCCGAAACTAGTGGACCGATTGTAATTTCGTACAATACATATGGCACTCTGTGACCCAAAGACAGACGTGTGATTTTGAGAAGTAAATTTGAAAATTGAAACAAACAGTTTTGCTAACTATGTATATTGTATTTTAAACGCATAAAAAAAAATCTTGAAGTTATTTAAGTAAACTGGTGAAAATTAAACTTTCCCATCAACATCGTCAATACTAATGTGGTTAAAATTTTGATTCAGATTCATTTATACATTCTGTAGGAACGTGGTACAATATAGACTTCAGAGAAAAATAGGATGTTCATACTTGTTTCTCTGTAGCAGCTTGCAAATGTTATATCATGAAAAAAAAATTATATACAAAATCTTAATATTTCGCTATCTTTATTATCTTCTAGTTATTTTTCCGCGATTTCGACCGCGCAAATCGTTGTCTGTAATTTTTTTCATGATTTGACCAGCATTAGACAAAATGAAACAAAATTAATATTAGTAAAGAATCCATATAATTCATTTTTGTTACAGGTGATGCTTCGCAATCGTCCGAAGCTGCACGCGAACTTACTAGTGGTGAAAGGGGTACAGTGGGAAGTGAAGGCCACTATGGAAGCCACGAGTCTACTCATGAACTACATGTGTGGTCCGCTAGCTGTGAGTATTGGTTATCCTGTGACTGCGCACGCGTAAATTATTGCTTATTTCTCCCGTCTATTATGGATAACTGAAAGAATTTTCATGAACGGAGCATTATTTCTGAAGATTGCCAACCTACAAAATTAGAAATTTTACCTTCTATAACATTAGATAAATAGACACGGTAGTATAACAGGTTTTATACAAAAAAAAAACCGGCCAAATGCGGGCCACGCGCTATATAGGGTTCCGTAGTTTGTAGTCAAGTGCGAATCGGACTCGCTAACCAAGATTTCCTTTGTATGATGTTTTTTTTTTCTAGATTTTATTTTACCACTTTGTCGGCATGTTTAACGCGTGTTATCGTGCCAAATTATAACTTAAGTTTCAAGGTCTGATGATGAAGCCGGATGATAGACACTGGCATTCCATGATAGAATATCGTATAATAAACGTAGGAATATGCGCTTGTCAAGTATTTCTAAATCTATGACAAGGTTGGATAGCTGCTCTCACAGAAAGATAGGTACTGAATTAATCGACTTCGTTTACGTTGATTTCATAACTTTTTACGGCAGAAGAATTGCGTTGTGAAACTTGTATATTGGCCGTATGTATCGACATCTACGGACCTTAATCGTCCTTTAAAGTATGTTCTCTATTTCTTTCAATATTCACAAACATAACAATTTACTGTAACAGATTATAAACTAATTTATACGTAATGTAGGGAACTGTAGGTTTTTAGTTAATATACTGTAATCATGTAATACTTATATAACAGTCTGTTCCTTAAATAAATTAATTAAAAAAATAGAAAATCGCTAATACCTATTCAAATGAGAAAACACGCCATAGTAACCTAACAAACGGTCCCAGTGCGCGTTGATGGGTGTTAACGCCTGCAGATGCAACCAGGAACTACGGCTTAACGTGGAGAAGCTCGAAATAATAAATGTTCGCCCACCCATCTTATGGCCAGCCTTTGCGAAAGTTTCTTAACGTCTTCATTGTACATCGGACGCACTAACCACCGCATCATCGAGCTGTATTATATGCAGTGGATAACTTAGTGGTATATGTTACATTAATAATAATAATAATATTTATTTCCAAAAAATTCTTATACTTAAACTCAATGTTACAATTGAGTAGCTTCTGTGCCTGAATGAGGTTTATATTCTTTTACCTGAATCTCAGGCTCCAGTGCTCACTCCCGCATTATATGGTCTTAGTAAAAGTATACAACATTTGACAATAATAAACATTTAAATTCATAATTAATCCATTTTTGTTTCAATAAATATAAATTATCAATTAATAAATATTAGTTCCGAGCCGCGAGTCATAGAATGGAAATATAACAATAACAATTCCTACCCAAGCGTGGTGACATTCGGCGCAGTCTATTTATAATTACGTCATTAGAATGTAATAATTACATCCATCCATCTACCAATGATAGTAAACATTATAAAACTTTACCTTCAGAGTCAAACGCAAGTGCAGATGTCGTTGGAAATCTCCCCGATGCACCACGCAGTAGTGATGGGCCGCGGCGCGGAGCAGCTCAAAGTGATAATGAAGGGGACCGGGACTCAGATCATGTTCCCGGACGCGGACGATCCCAACATTCCCGCGCTCAAGAAGAGCTGCGTCACTATCACCGGACAGATCAAGGACGTATACGCCGCCCGGCAACAGCTCGTGGTCTGTATACTAAACTGCTCTGCTCTGTATTCTAAACATAAATCCATAAATGCGAATGTAACAGACAATTATGTGTGTATGTTACATTTTTATACCTAAACTAGTTTATTGAAATGGTATCTTTGAACTAAATTTGATTGAAATGGTGATTGAATTTCAGCCCCTTCAACCAGGACCAGGTCATTTCAGACAAGACAAGACCAGGTTGAAGGGGCTGAAATAAGGCATGACAATACGAAAGGCGATCATATTCAATTGTTACGAGATTGAATATAATATTATAATCATTATTGTGTACACAAAGACAGTAGGAGACGTACAATTGGCAGACTTTTCAATAAAAGCTCTACAAGGAAAGTAAAGCGCAAAGTAAAAAAATAATACATTTTTCACTGAAACTTCACTTTTGATGAAGAATGAAAAGATAAAATAACAAATGAAATTAGTGCTTGAAAGAACAGTCGCCCGGATTGCGAAAGGTCGTGTGTTCGATTCCCATCTCAGGGTGCCAGGGACCAAGTGGATTTTTTAAGTATTTTGTATTAAGAATAATTTTCAGTATGGCATTGTGAATGCAAAATTAATAAAAAATATAAGAACTTTGTTCCTATCGCCGATTGTGAAAATTAATAAATAACTATACAATTTTCTTTTTCCGGGACTTTCAAAGCTTAAAGGTTTGTCGTTCAATTGCGTATTATAAATGTTTTTCGTTAAACAACAGGGGAGCTTGCCGCTGGTGGTTATCTTCGATGTATCGGAAGATTCGTGTCGCATAGAAGCGGAGGCGGCGACGAAGCTGATGCAGAAACACAACGTATACATCAATATTCGCCGCAAGCCCAAGCAGGGCATCGCTTCTGTCGTCATCAAGGGCATCGAGAGATGCGCCGGTAACATGACTAATATAATACAATGTTATTTGTGAAATACGAACGATTACACACAACTTGATAGCCGACCTTATTAAATTTCTATATGCGATGATATAATGATAGAAAGGATTGGACAAGTGAAGATATCGTACTACGAGATATAGCTCTCAAAATTAAACCCCAACGACACATAACTATGTTAAGAGAGATAGTTGAATAATATCCAAGATTTGTTTTTTATATAGTTGAAAACCACCATGGATCTCGGTAGACCAAAATGAGACTTTACTGGTTACAACTAGTCGTGTCCACAGCGGTGGATCCGCTCCTGTGTGTAAACCACGGCTCGGAAACGTTATTTAAAATAACGTTTTTAAAACGTTTCTTATGGTTCTTTGGGCAAGATTGCGTTCGAAACGAAAACGAAATGAGAACGCTTTAAAAAACCGGTTTAATCCGCAAGACGGTGCCGCGCGGGCTGTAAGGGCGGCGTACATTTATTTTATTACGTTATTTACAGTATGCGATGCAAAAAAAACGCAAAATAAATGGTTAAAAACGTTTTATTAACCGAAAACAATATAATTCTTTACACTTTATTATTATTATTATATTATTATTAATTCTGTTTTTTTCCAAAATCGTTTTTAATATCGTTCTGTTCGAACGAAATCGAAACAAAGTGTTTTTTAGGTATTTAAGATGAAAACGTTTCGAAAAATATACCGGTTTCCGACCCCTGGTGTAAACGTATGTGGTCACTCCGCAGAGGACATATACGAGGCGCGGCGGTCGCTGCTCGGCGGCGCGGAGGCGCGCGTGGCGGCGGAGGTGCCCGAGTCGTACAACATCCCGTCGCTGGGCAACGCGATGCCCGAGTTCGGCGTGTTCAACCCGTTCTCGCCCTCGCACGCCGCCACGGTGGTCTCGTCGCCCTGCTCGCCCTACATTACAGGTACGGGCAGCATATTTTTTCGTAGAAGTAAAAAACCATTGCAGAAATTTGACATTTGTAGTAACCTGACGTGCAGCTGTCTATCCCTGCGTTGAAAGCTCGAAACACGGCAAATGTCGGCCAAACAGATTAATTGATGTAACAACCCATCAGACGATGCAACAAAAAATGTTAACGTACAATTAAAATTTATGCTGCACTATAAATTTTAATCGTACGTGCGGTGTTCGTCGGAATTAATGGGTCTGCTCTGCACATCGAGATTCACCATGCGCCACATTAGTTGAAACTTATTAGGTATACTTTAGTTTACATTGTCTCACATAACTTATTTGTAGGCTTGGCAGGCGATTTACTCCTGTTACTGAAGGAGATCCGCGAGAAATTCCCGTTGTCCTTTTTTTTGATTGACCCTCGCTGGGGAGGGGTTGGGAAGAATTTTGCAAGGAGAGCAACTATCCCAACCTCACTTTGGAATCCTACTAAAATCCCACTTTGAGCGTCAAGAAAGCATGTTTTCGCGACCTCAACAGTGCCACACCCGAAAATTCCCGTTGGCCTAACGTGTAACAGCATTGGTTTCTATTTGAATGACATCGGAAAGACCGACCGCGCTTCGCAAAGAACTTCCCTACTAATAGAAGTCTGCTTTCAGTGATAGTATGTAGCGTGACGTGCGGCCGTAGGTTTCTTCAGCAATTATATTATTATAACTAGTAAAGATCTGAGCACCCAATATGTAGTAGTTAATTGTTAATATGAAATAACCGCACCATGTCCAGGTGGCAGTCCGGTGTGTGGGGGAACATCGTACCCGCTGTCCCCGCCCGTGTTCCCCGCCTGGCTCGTGCCCTCCCCCCAGCACAACCAGCCCTTCACCTACCCCACCCAGCACTACAAGCACCAGCCCGCCGTCTGGAACCGTAACTATATACTATACTCGTTATATCACACGTCTCCAGCACAATCAGCACCTCACTTACCCCTTAACTAGCACTACAAGCACCAAATCAAGAAAAAATCATACAGACAATCTACTCATTGGATTTTATTCTTATTCTATCTTAGTATATGAAGATATGACCAAAGACGGATATTTTAACTTAATATACTTAGATATGACCAAAGACGGACTCGTATGCTATAGTGATAATTAATAACATTCATTTTATCACACGTGTCCAGCAAAGGTACATCAGTATAAAAAAAGAAACACAAGGTCTCTGACCCCTGTTAGAGGAAAACAAATGTGGAACTAAAAGAAGGTTCTGCAAAAAAAGTCTTCTCAAAGGCAAGATTCACTAAGACAACGTATTTTTAAATAAATTAATTTGTTTATTATTACAAATCAATATTTATCGTCCATTGGTCTCCCTACATCCTAGATTACAATTTCTTTACACTTGAATACATCGCCATCTGGAGTACACACCTAATAATGTCTTACCATCTATAACCACGTTATTTTCTGTTTGACCTACTTCATAGCTATAAAGATAAAGCCTAGTTAAACCCATTACATATGCAATCATATTTAAAGTTCCTTCAAGTTTCAATCTCAAACATTCCAACTGCAACAGCTAACTCTAATCGACGTCTACTCCATAACGTTATTTCAATCGTCATTTGAAAAATTGTTTCTTTCAATAAAAACAAATGTCATTCGTAGCAGAATAATGTTGCTAAGGTAAAGCATTTTAATTTCTATTAAATATACACCTAGAGGAATTCATAGCTGTATTATAATTTCTTTATAGCGATAAGCAACAACGCTGAGATGAACATGCAGCAACCCATGCTGATGCCTCAATACCAGCAGATGCCAGACAACAGGCCAGTAAGTACACATTAACTAGCAAATTTTATATTAATGAATTTCATTAATTTTGCAGTTGCAAAATGCTATATTAATCTTAGCAAATTTGTGAATTGGTTATTATTATCGTTACTGTTCTTAATTCTCTAGTAAGAAATGCATTAAATATTGTTTGAAGTATACGGAGATTGAGAACTCTAGCGGCTGTAATAAGTACATTATTAACGTCACTGTTTGAAGTAACGTCTACCTACATCTAATCTATACGTATAGTAGGTATAAGAGGAGATATTCTGACATATTGACTGACAGACAACGCTCAGCCTGAACCGCTGGTCGTTAGAGACTTGAAATAAAAGGAACTTATTGCCTTTAAATAGGTATTCTCTGAACTCCAAATAAAATAATAAGTTGTAAGATTTTGAACCTTTTGTATTTTCTTGATAAATATTTAAACAGAAGTAACAAACTTACAATGACAAAGAATATAAAGAGAAAAACAAAGTGGCCTATCAAAAGATATATGAAAGAAGGTTGATGTGTAAACTAAATAGTTCCAACAGAAATTTGGAGGGGCCATTCTTCTTATTAGTAGAGGTGTACTAGGGAACGGACTTTTATAAATTCTACCCAAAGGGAGTTAAGAATGGTGAAAGCGTTTGTATGAAACTTCTTTGTTTATAGACTTAAATCGATGAAAATTGATATTTGAGTAGCTTAAGACTCTGGGAAGGAAAAAGGTTATATTTTATCCCGAAAACCAGTACTTAAAGTGATAAAAACGATAGTAGAAGTTTTGTTACCATAGCAACCATTGTTTACAATTTGATTTTTCATTGTAATAAATCTATCAAGATAATTTCCGTAATGCTGGGTCGCCAACATGGATATTTCAAAAAAACTATAAAACTGACATTATTTAATGAAAGTTCAAATGTCATTACATTTGTATGCGCAGACGAGTTTGAGCCAGCTCCTGAACTCGAGCTCTCAGGCCAGTAGTGGATACCAGAGCAACTTCACCGGCAGCTCAGTGTCTCTGGACACACAAAATATATCAGGTATGATTGAATTATTAGTAAGAGCAAAGAATATACATATAACAAAAGCAATAATTAGGTACATACACCTAACTAATTTGAATCACCGGGAACAATAGAATTTTGTCCAAATTTTAGGAAAATAGAAAAGATTGAATATTTGAGTTGTTGAATGGGCACCGTAAGCGTACATTTATATGAGCTTCGCTACTTAGATCATCAGTCGAAGTATATAATTATTTTCCACATGGATATAAGTGTGATAAGCTAAATAACATTTTAAGAATTAATAAAAGAAAATTGGCAAAAGCTTTTATAGCCAATGTGTCTTCTCTTGACTTTGCCGGTTATGTAGAGCAGAACCACACAGATATCCGTCCAAGCTACTCTGCAGTAAAAGAAAATGAAATAATTGTTAAGATCTATTTATCATAGAGTTTGGTAAATGCACTTGTTATAGAGTTTGATACTTCAATGTTTTTTATCAATATAAAAATTACAATTCGTCAACATTTACAATAAACTAGGCGGCGATGGGAGCAACGTGGTGTCTCCGTCAGTGTCGCCCATCAGTAAGGCGCACTCTCCACCATCAGCTAGAGACCATCACGGTAAATATACCATAAAATGCAGGTCAGATTACCACAATATTTCAAATTTCTCCAGTTGATTTCAATTCAAACTCTACGCTCAATACATTTTAAAGAGTGGAGAAATTTGACAGATTTTATAGTTTGACGTTCTGTTACCTGTACTTACATTGATAATCAAATATCACCCAGGCTAGAAACGAACCACACACTTTTGGCAACAAGAATGACTATGATCATAGATTTGGTATGATGGAGAAGAAATTTGAATCCGAAAGCTACAATATGATAATTATTTTTTGTTAATGTAAAAACATTTTGTTTAATATTTATTAATATTTTTATATTTGTCGTTATGTCAGTTGTCCTATCACTCGAACTTTTTCTCTTTCCTTATTGGTAAATAGTACTCTATGCTGTTAACTGTTTTTTTTTTTGTGTTACGCGGTATAATAACTAATAACAGAACTTATTTATTGTTCGTTATTTTAATATCTGTATTTAAAATCTAAATAATATTGATTTGATAAAAATCAACATCAGCATCCGCTGACACAATAAAAACCCGCATCAACAACAATCCTGGTTCAAACCCCCTTCAAACCAGACTTGACGTGTGTTATGTTTCGCATGCCCTATAAAGTTGTCTTCAACAATTCGATGGAGATTATACTCAGTGAGCTCCTGTAAGCTTTTATTTAAGAAGCAAAAGATAGGATGAATACTTAATTTTTTAATGGCAGAAATAACTGATCTGGCCAATATAATATCGGACCTGCCGCTGTCCGAGCGTAGAGCCGTGGGCTGCGAGAAAAAAACACTGGAGACCCTCAACAAACTGTCACCGTTGTCCGACTATCGCAAGATGAAGGCCGAAGCCAATAAGGTACGTTTGATTCAATTCTAATAAAATCTGAAGTAGGTAACGTTAATGCAGTCTTTATTTTCAATACATTTCTAACTTACCAGACCCGGATCTAGGGGGGACGGGAATGCATGGGGGTCATTTGCCCCGGGCACCAGTGTCAAGGGACGCCAAAATCATTATATAATACATACTTACACTTATTAGCTTCACAATTCTTTTCATATACATTATAGTCTACAGTGAGACGGACATGCTTCAAAAGTTTGAAATATGTGCACTGCAAAAATATAGTAATATAAAGATCCGCCCTCATGGAGCGTAGGGGAGGGGGTAGACGAAGGGCGCCATACAAAGTTTCTGCCCCGGTTAATTAAAAAATCGTAGATCTGAGCCAGTAATGTGTAGGTAATATTCAGTTAAAAAATAATAGTATCATAGAAAATATTTTTTAATGCTTTTTCCTTTTTTTCTAAACTAGTTCTACTGTGTACTATTAAATAAAGGTATGTTGCAAAGACGTCATAATTATAGAATATTAATTGCATTTGTTTTGCAACTGAAAAATCGATTCCAATTAAGAAGAAAAAGATTCTAACATTTCTAACTATTTCGTAATATGTAGTAACATATGATGAATATTGAGCACTCTACCAACGCCGATGACGAAAACATAAAATAAAGAATTCTGATGTCGTCCATGCATGTTAGAAGTGTATGTAGCATGGCATAGTACTTTATGTAAGGTATGTGTAACGTGTGCAGGCCATGAGGGAGAGTGTCGGCAGCGGATGGAGGGTCCCCACCCCCCGATGGGCCGGACACTACTTCAGCCACACCTCGCCCGGGCCCCTCACGCTGCACAACCCCCCGCAACACGGGGACACAGCCACGGTCAGATATTTATCTACTATATTTATACTATGTAGCACAGAACACAGAAAGACGTTTTCTGCGTTTTGTGCTATATACGGTCAGAAATCTCTATCTACCTTCACGACACCGACCGCTAGAAAAATATTAATAAATAAATATTAAGCACTTACTACTAATGAGCATATTTTCATCAATGTATATAAAATATTTGTTTCACCCAAACAGCTGAAACAAATATTTTAAACTTTCGATTTAAATGAAAATTTGTTCTAATTATTATTAATTAAGAATATTTTTCAGTATAGTAGGTAAGTGCTTGAAAATATCGTCAGTTCTGTTAGCTCTTGGCTAGCTCAGTGGTTCGAGTCCCATCCCAGAGTACCTGGGGCTTCATATCCCGCGCTGTGGCATGATCGATCAAATATAATTAATAAATATTATACAAAATGACATATATAGCTCTGATTCCTATATGCGTTACTAAAGCATTATGGAAAATCCAAAATAACGAATATACCGCACGAAGTCCTCGAAATATTTTCTGTTCACTCTTTTCTGTGTATGTTTGGCGCAGTGGTTAGCGCGCTCTGTCTGCGCAACTTTCACAATGGAACAATCATAGAATGGGTGACTTAACAGCAGTGAGGACGTAAAAGGACTGATAATGATGATGACTTGTATGTTGTTTATTATATATATAGTTTTGTATGTAATAGCCGGAGAAAGGCTGGAACCGCGTGGAACTGTCTCGTCCGAACATCGTGGAGACGTCGCCGTCGCCGCCGTCGCAGCCGCCGGCCGCCGGCCGTCCGTGCCGGTACAAACAGCTGTACGACTTGCTCGGGGATATAGGCCTGCAGAAATACATCGGTAACTACACCACCACCTGTTCCTGACTCTTTAGAGTTACACGGTTCCGCGTAACTAAAGCCTGGATAGTATTAATGTACTTGTGTTAAAATTGCGCCCTGAATGATCGATTGCATTGACATACTAATAGACGATCAATAAAAAAAACTGATTATAATAATTTTTGGTGAACCAAAAACTACGTTGTCTAACAAATTCAAGAAAAGATATTTAATTCGGAGAAAAGTACAAATTGTAAAGTGACAATAACATAAATTTAAATAAAATATATTCAATTTGGAAAGGCAAAATTATACAATCCTACTACGTCAAATCATGTGATATTTAATGAAAATTAAAATGATCTATGCGGCAAACTCAATTTAACATTTAATTAAATAACCCTGCACACGCACAAGCGTATTTGACCGAACTACAATTTTTAGTTAAGCATATAAGATTCTCAATGTATTCATTCTATTATTCAGTTAAATTTATTCAAAACTACAATAAAAAATTTAAGTGCACAGAATTAAGTATAGATATTAGAATTGTATCTCCTACTGAATTCTACCCTCAATGTAGTAGTTGGACAGCTTTGTATAACTCGACTGTACTTAGGATTTATGTTCATAGAGGTTATAGTGTATTCTACATACATACGGTGGGGATTTTTTGGTTAGATTTGTTCAAGAAGCACGAGCTGGACATGTCTACGTTCGCGTCGCTGAACGAGGCGGATCTCACGGAGATCGGCGTCACAGCGTTCGGAGCCCGCAGGAAGATGCTGCTAATCATCGCAGGTCAGTGTGACAGCAGGAAAAGTTCGTATGCTTTTAATGTCATTTTTATAGAATTTCTTCATTAGATTCACTCATTTAAAAAAAAAGCAAAAAATTGTTGGAAACAACTTGTATTTTTAGCTTTGTCTTGGTAACAGTGAAGACGGATGCATCTAATAAATAATTTGTAAGAGCAGTCTTCTGGTTAGCGAAAGATAACGGCTTCGAATCCCGCGTCGTGTTCTTGAGACGATTGAATATAAACAGATCTAACGACGTCAACTATTTGACCACGTTTTCTATAAACATCTATTTAAGTGGGTACTTACTAGATACTCCTCCATCTAACGAATTGTATGGCTTCATATTAATATTATTCCTAAAGTTAAATAAGGTCAAGTGTGCGTGTGGCCTTTAAAATATGTTTGGCACGAAATCGAGTATCGTATATTATTTAACGAATCACGTCTCATCGTAATTCTCTTATTGTTTTTTTCTAGTGACGTCACTTGCAATGCGGGTTCGATTATTTACGTGCGTTGTTTCTTGTTGCCTATTGCTATTGTCCGACCGAAGGTCTATTTTTGGCCGAAGCCGAAGCCGAAGCCGAAGCCGATGGTTTATAATTTCTCAGTAATTAATTTTGTTCAATATTGTCTACAAGCTACAATTAATATTAAAATTATTTCAAAACTTCAATATTGAAGGTTATATTGACTGTCTCATATAGAAGTTGATTTAGAAATACAGATTTGACAGTGAAGGCGCTTGTGCACTACACTGAATTTTCATGTCCGGCGGTCCGATTTTTTCCGGCCTGATATGTCAGGCCATATGTAGGTAATGCTAGCCTGTGCCAGGAATATTTTTCCTGTCTTCTACGTCTTCGCACGTACAGTAATAGAGCAAGCAATTACCAACGTTTCAAAAATCTCATCGTGCCTATTGTAAGTGACGTGTAGCTTCACAGAGAGCTACCCTAAAATGTGCCGCTCCGATCCGGAAAAAAACGGACAAGTGCACAAGCTACTCATCCGAGTTTTTCATGTCATTCGGGACCGGAAAAAGTCGGCCCGCCGGACCTGAAAATTCATTGTAGTGCACAAGCGCCCTGACTCCCCGCGGCTCTAGCCAACACGACCGGTCCATCGCTCTCTCACTCAGTCTTTCGAAACAGTTCGTTCAATCTCGACGGTAGCTCGGACCTTCGGCGAAACCTTCGGCTTCGGCCTAGTTTTGGGCCGAAGCCGAAGGTTTCGCCGAAGATGGTTTTTTTGGCCGAAGGTGCCCGATGCCGAAGCCGAAGCCGAAGCTTCGGTCGGACACTACCTATTGCAAAATATATATTTTATCATCAGCCTATTAATTTGTTGGCACAGACAGACAGAAGAAGTACAGGTTTTCGTTTACGAAAAATGTTAAACTCTTCTCAAGCGCAGATTAGCCACGCGATAACCACTGTGCCATTGAACTCCTCCACTAAATATTTTAAAAAAATGTCCACTGAATTATATTACAGTTATAATATTATAGTAATTTATAGGTATGTGTGTTTGAGAAATCATTTTTATGTTATTCTTATCTTAACACGCTGCATTTTCGTGGGAACTAAAAAATGAAAGAACAGGTACATAAGATGTATACCCTCTGTAAAAACACAATATGTTTAGATATAAAGCTGAAGTTCTATAATTTTCATACATATATGAAATTTAGCTTTATTTTCTCTCAAGTCCCAGTTTCGAAAATCTTACTGTGATGTGGACCGACCATTGTATATCTGATGTCCCCAAAATGGCAAGGCACACGTTGCCATCAAATCAGTGTTTTTAATGAATATCTATTTATTTATCAATTTTCCTGGCAGAGCTGCAAAAACAATCGTGCGGGCTGAAGGGAGCTGCAGGTTCCAGTGCACGTAAGCTACCCACATCGCCACCGTATAACACGCCAGCACTCACCGATAAATGGTAACACCTGACAGGGTGCAGGGTACCTACAGAAGGGTCACTTAATATCGCCATATCATGTATAACGCTGGACGGAACACTATATGGATTCTAAGTCTAACAATTATTTCAAATGAAACTATAAGAAACTGTTTTTTTGATGATATTCAAAACCTTCAAGATGAATTTAATTTTTAGTTTATAATGTACTTACTAAAAAATCAATTTGTGTATTGAAAAATTTCGTATTGATTACGAACTAGATAGGCGTTATACCTATCTCGTTGACAACAATTTCGTTTAATACTTTGTAGAAATCGGTATTGTATAACGGACGAATCTACGTGTTTCACGTAAAAGCCTCTCGGAATGATCACTTGACGGTTGACAACTAAAAAGCTATTGAGTAAATCAAAAATTATGATTTTTGTTGGGACCAAAAAATATATTAACATTCTATACGGACAAGCGAAACCTTCGAAAGGTGTCGAAAACGTGAAGCCTCGATCCGAGGAAAAGGTTACCTTATACGAGAGCTGCCAAAATACGTCGAAGTTCTTTTTCCTGTTATGAGATTCGCCTCGACAATATTGTGTTCCGTCCCGACCTTCACGGGGCGACAACACTGACTACACGACTCGCTAATTTATTGCCAGTGGAATAAGTGTAATGCGATAATATACGTTCCTACAGTAAGACTGATAATTCTAAGGGACGCAGCCGCACCTCTTGTCCGCGCATTTTTTCAGTTCCCGATCAACTAATTAATCAGTCGATAATCCACTAAGCGACGCCGATCGAGAGTTGCGGCCGCGCCGCGATCGATCACGTGATGTATCGTTGAATTTTTGAGATTTTATCAAGTAATTCTATTATTTATGTAAGTTGTTTTTAATAAGTAAATATTTTTATATGAATAGCTAAAAGCGATACGACGATTTGATCTCTATCATAGACAATTGTTGAAGTAAACGGGCCGGTCACGCCTTCAGTATAGTTTGTAAGTATTACTTTTTATAGAATTTTAATCATAGTTAATAAGGAGAGCATGTTTTATTTTTTGATTTTTTTTAACAAAACACTTTTGTATTACATCTTAACCGTATATTTTCCGACTTATTTATGTGATTATCAAGATATTTGGCATACCATTTTAACTTTTGATTATTGTAGAAATTTTGGAAAGTCAATCCTTTTAGTATTAGTTTGGCTAATTGAAACTTTCCTTTTGATAGCATATTTTAAATAATATGATTATAAAGGAAATCATGGGTGATTGACAACATTCCGTAAAATAAATCATTACATCAAATAGTGCCTAGTGGACAGCGAAAGAATATATCGTAATTTGACTTGATTTTAAATAGGACTCGTTTCAAAAAACTCACGAATCCGGGTGACGATCCTACTGCCTCCGCGTCACCACGACACGGCTGGAATATTTTAATCAGTTAACATGGAATATATTTATCACTAATCATTATGTTTTGTTGTGATTATGAATTTGAGTTTTTTTTTTTTACTAAGTATGCATTTTTGATTTTAACCTTATTAACATGCTAATTTATTTTGAATGCGTATAATGTCTTAAATTTTTATATTTTGTGTATTGTATTGTAAAGTTTTGGTACATAACGTATGTGTTGGTCCCTGTTTAAATATCTATTGTTACCTAGTCGTGTCTTCAATAACCACGGAGTTATGTATCAATCCTTTTATTTTAGTTCTTTAAATGATCAGAAATATGTTATTGTTTTAATCATGAACTTGTGATTTTGATAAATATTTTTAAAGTGTGATTATGAGATGTTAGACATTAGTCTTTCACTGATTATAAAATACAACATAGGTGTCTAAGTAATTACATGAAATTAAATAACTCTAGCAATCATTATACACGATGAGTTAAGAATACTTATTGATGGATTAATTTGTTTCTCCTCATATATTCAAAGTATATAAGTAAGGAAGTTTTGCACGATTGTTTTAAGTTTTGCTTGTCCGATTAAAGTTTATATTTAAATTGTTGTTTTTATTTACATTTAAAGTATAATTTACTAGCTGCTTTCCAGCGACTTCACACGCGTATGATGTAGCTATCCGTAGGTTAAGGATTGGCTCAGTTTTAGTATCGGTAACTACGCTGATTGTGTTGATATTTTTTTTCTTACACACAGATAATAAAGAGGTTTAATTTTCCAAAGTGTCAAGGTGCGGAGTTATAGTTTCCGAAACATTTCTTTTTTTAATACGTTTAATGAACTTTATCAAATATTTTTGTCTTATAAACACTGACTAGACAAAGGGTTTAATATGAATACAGCCAACCTTCGAGATTGTTTTTTAACAGACATTGATAATAATGAGGATATATTTTCCTTCTATGTCACGTGATAGTTTAAAAATTTAAGACTAAATAAGCAACGCTGCGCTTCGCGATCGTCTCGAATTTCGAGGGTTGTTTGCAGATAACAACATAAACATATCAAACAAACGAAGTTATTTTGGCCCTGTGGGTCACGTCATACCTAGGTTAGAAATTAAGAAAATCCCGAAGCGCAGCGTAGCAATCATCTTGAATTTCGTGGTAATTTTTTTTAAATATATAATAACAACGAAAACATCGCACAAACGAAATTATTTTAGCTTTTTAGGCAGCGTTTTTTGGTTTTCCTACTTTACACATACCTACCTATATTAATCGACATTTTTCATGAGAAAACGAAACTTAAATGTCTATAAAATAATGTCGAAATTTTAATCATCGGAATGGTATAGTAAAAAAATATATTTTTCATTTGCTTCTTAACTATGCTTTGGCGCTTTGGCGTGTGATGGTGAGGGGGAGTTCCCACTCCTTCCCTTTGGCGGACGGAGGCGTCGCAATATGGACCATAACCGTCACAAAACATTTCCGAAATTTCGACTATTAATATTTTTTTGTAATTGTGAACATCTGACCATATGTCCAATACATCTTCTGGAAAAATTTACATAGAACATTTATCTCTTTTTCTAAATAAACTTTGACTTAAATTAACAACTTAAAATAATGTTTTTTATCTTTAAAAGCATCCACAAGTTCACATTACTAAATAGTTAGAAAGTTTATTAAATAGTTTATTCAAAAAATACATAACTCCTTCATTATATGGATACAGGAAAGCTGATTTTATTTTTCCGAGTAACCATATTTATACGTCACTTGAAACTTTGAATAGAGTTTTGGCAGTTAGTGATGTCTACCTGTGTCGTTATTTAACTTGTGTTTTATAGTGTACATTATTTATTAAAATGAGATGACAAAATGTTTCGTTGGTCCAAATAACTAAAAACAAACATTATTTTATTACGAGGGCGTGATGATAAATAGCTAGCCTAGCATAGAAAAACTTGAATTGTTAAAAGTCTATTTATTTTTCGACATAGTCTCCTTGAAGCACTTGAAGCGCTCCTTGCACTTCAACCAACTATGCTCAAAGCCTTGAAGCCATCCCTGAAGCGGTTTTCTTCAAGCCCTTCAAAATAACTGTCCACGGCAGACGTCACCTCGCTATTATTTTCAAATCTTTGTCCACCTACAAAATTTTTGATCTTAGGGAATAGATGAAAGTCAGATGGTGCCAGATCAGGAAAATAAGCTGGGTGTGGTAGCAAATAATAATTTAATTCTTTGAATTTGCCATCGCAGTGATGCACGTGTGAACGCGCGCATTATCCTGATGAAATATAATTTTTCTTTAGCCAGGCCGGGTCTTTTTTCACGAATACACACTTTTAATTTATCCAGTAGATCAGCAAAATATTCGTCATTTATGTTTTGTCCTTTTGGAAGGTAATCAATCATCAATATACCCTTCGAATCCCAAAATACTGACGCCATAACTTTCCCCGCTGATTTCACGGCTTTTACTTTCTTTGGAGCCAGGGATCCTTTTTCCGTCCATTGTTTAGACTAAATTTTTGATTCAGGTGGTGAACCCGCTACTCGTCTGTAGTAACAAACCGTCGCAGAGAATCAGTTGTAATGCTCTTAAAGCGGTCCAAACATTCTTGTGAAATTTGCATACGAACGCGTTTTTGGCCAATTATAATTTTTTCATACATAATTCTTGAGTCAAAATGTAATGCGCCCGTTCTTTAGAGATGCCTACAGTATCAACTATCTCGGAAAATTTCAATCTTCGGTCAGCTAAAACTGCATCATGAATTTTGATCACAATTTCTGGAGTAGTGGCACTTTTTGGACATCCCGGACGATGTTCATCTTGGGTGCTGGTACGGCCATATTTAAATTCAGCCACCCAATTTTTGCCACCAAATTTTTATGGTCGCATTTTTATATGTTAAGTATCAAAGAATAATCAGACAATAATTTTAAGGAACCGTCAGAGCAAGCTATATATAATATCTAATAGGAGTTACATTTTTAAATAATTAATTACAAACATTTCTCTAACATAATCTACTTTCTTAGTAGATTTAAATACATTATATTTATCGTTGTTTATACATAATAATAAAAATAATAACCGGTCAAGTGTGAGTCGGATTCTTGGAGAAAGGGTTCGGAATATTAGCAAAAAAGTCAAGTTTGTTGTGTGGGAATAAAATATTTATTTTATTCAGTTTTAGTATTACAAGTCATTAGTTATATATCATATGTGAAAATATAAACTGTGTAACTATCACGGTTACAGATACAGCCTGGTGACAGACGGACAGCGTAGACTTAGTAAAAAATCCCGTTTTTACCCTTTGGATATGGAACCCTAAAAACTAACAGTGTTATTACAAAAAAGATAAACACGCGTTGAACACGTATTTAAAAATTGTTCTACTACACAATCGTATTTAAGCATTGGTTAAGGCAAAACAACCCTTAAACATTGTTTAAAATTTAAACACATGTGAAGGGTTGTTTATCGAGTATCTAACCTTTCAAAATATTTCACTATAGTTTTACATGTTCTTATTTTGATAAGAATTATGTCTTTGAATTTAAGTTAAAAATGATAATTTTAGATTAAATTTTTTCATTTACAAAAATTATTAACTAGTGTGTTTATAAAGATATCTTTTTACGTCTAAAATTTATTATAAGTTGAACGTGTATGAACGAATGAAAGCCAGTAGAACGAATGTTTCTTCGAAAGAACTAGTATTACTTAGACAATGTTTAAAAATGAATTTGTAATAGGGAACGTTAGACATAATTTTAAACAGCGTTTATATTCTCAAACACATGGTAAAACACTGTTTAACGTCTTTTTTGTAATAACACTGTTAATGTCTTAAAAATACTTAAGATCTTTTAGGCAATTTTTGAAAGTATAAATAAGATTGCAAATTTATACAAATAATAATTAAAAACTTAATAATTAAGTAAAGAATTAATTAAATATATAATACTTATACCTATAGCATAATAATAATACATACGTAAGATATACTCCTCTTATAAAAAAAATGAATAGGTAACAATTTATTAAATTATGGAAGTAATATTTTATTTTTGTATTTCATTTTTATACATTATATGTTAATAAGTAAATAGTAAACTTATTACTTGATTCTCTATACATTAGAGAGACGTGTCAAAATTGGCAACAAAGTTACAGATTTTTGAGACGGTATACAAGGTTTTGGATCATTGTGCGTCGTCGCCGATTCTTAAGTGTTTCTAAAGATTTTTTTAAAGCGGTCTAGTAGTTTTGGAGCCTATTTATAGCAAACATACAAAAAAATAATCAAATCTTAACTCTTTATAATATAAGCATAGATATGGCGTCTGGACTTTATTAAGAGTCTTCACTACATAGTATAACGTCGCTTTCTCTGTCCCTGTATCCCTAGGTATGCTTAAATCTTTAAAACTACGCAATGGATTTTGATGCGGTTTTTTTTTTCATAGATAAGTGATTCAAAAGGAAGTGTTCTTGTGTTCATTTTATTTTGACAAATTTTTATATTGATACATATCAGGGCAATATTTTATTTCGCATTGGCATAACACATTGTCCGTACTGCAATTAAAATTCCGCGAGGATTTTGTCAGTTTTATGTATCTCGCGGTCGAAACGAACGTCTGAAAAAACCGGCCTAGTGCAGTAGTGCTAGTCGGACTCGCGCACGTAAGGTTCCGTACCGGAAACAAGCAAAAAACAATCACGTTTGCTGTATGGGAGCCCCCTTAAATATTTATTTTATTCTGGCTTTTAGTATTTGTGAAAATTTCAACTGATTAATTTTCACGGTTCACGAGATACAGACAGCGAAGCCTTTGTAATAGGGTTCCAGTTTACTCTTTGGGTATGGAACCCTAAAAAATTATTTACAAAACAATTCTTTCCGCAACCTCGTTTTTAATTGGCTTTCATGGTAGGATGCCTGAAATTGGCCTACTTCTAATTTGCATCATAAACATTTCAATGTTATTTTCGGCGGCCCCCAACTAGACGGAAGACTAACCATGTAACATCTTTCCCCCTCTAGTGCTGATGGACGACTGAACAATCGCGAAAATCTGTAGTTTAGTAAACGTGATTTGCCACATGCAATTTTTTTTCTGCAAGTGAGTATTCCCATACAATTCTATGTGTTGCAGAATTGAGATAATAAAATCACGATGCAGACAGTCACCAACTCCAGAATCATAACAATGTTATAACACTTTTTCGCTTCACTATTTTACTACAATGGTAATCCCCCATTTTAATAGTTTGATAATGAAATTTACATTAAAATCTAATTTATCTACTGAATTCAGGTTATGAACTTGCTGCATAAACAATTAAAAATACCTAAGAATAAATATAAACATACTTTCTAAATGTTTTCAACAAACTATTTTTATGCTTTGGGTGGTGTATGGGAAATAGGTGCACCAAAATAATTTTATTTAAATTAACCAATAATTTTAATCTTAATATATTAATCTTTGGTATTTTTTTAAGACATGTACACACATTTTTTTATTATAACAAAAAAATTAGAAATGTGATCAAAATATACCTACATATTTAGGACAAAATGTTATCTTCTAATAATTTTCATTACGTTAACTATAATGTTAATCACTACAAATCTCTGAGATTCTAGCCTCGCTGACCAAATTTTGTATTGCCAGTTGAAGTCTCAGTGCTTTCTGCAAGTCCATTTTCCTCAATTGTGATGCTATGAACTTACCATAAATATCAAATTCATCCTCTTTTACAACATCTGGTGTTGAATCTGAAGAACAGTCTGGAATTGGTACTTTATGCCTTATTTTTTTCTTTTTATTGCTCTTCTTGTGAATAGACATGACTTTTTCCCCTTTTTCACCACTATCCACATTTCTACAGCTATATTCATTATCTGCAGGTGGAACTAGAACATCTGGATTTTGTTCATCTGAGCTTCCGTTTGGAATTTCTTGGTCAACCCATATATGACAAGAAGAGTCTACTTCTGGTGGTTCTTGGGACTGAAATTTAATATTTTTTTTTTTAAATCGAAGTAGTGTTTAAAATCGTTAATGTAAACTGTACTAGTTACTAGAAGTAAAAAAAATATTTGATTCTGCTAGCTTGAATTCTTTGGTTTAAAGTACATTAAATTTGAAGCAAACTAGTCATTCAAACAAATATACATATATCATTTACTCACTGTGTTTATAGCATTTGTATATCTGTTATTGGTTATATGTTTCAAACAGCTGTCCATTTCATGAAACCAAACTAAAGAAGGTTCATAAATGGAATCTGGGTTGGACTTTTGAAGAATTTTGTGTACTTGTTGAACATATGTGGTTCTTAAATTCTTTATTTTCATCTTTACTTCTGTGACTGTTAAGGTTTTAGAGGTGGAAGTTTTAAATTCCGAAATTATTTCTGAATAAGATTTTTCCCTTTGAAATTTCAGTTTGTAACCAGGGTGTGCCGGGTTCCATAAGCACTCATTTTTTAAATAAATCCTAACAAATTCTAAAGTTACTGCTTCACTCCACTTCATCTTTTTAATCAAAGATTACAATATTATACTGGTAATAGATAGCAAACTCAAACTTTAAATAGGTCACGATTACAGCGCCATCTATCCGCCAGCTAAAAAAAGTCACGCGTATGTGTGCGTGTATATGTGTGTAGCTAGCTACAGCCAGGTTTATTTGATCAGTGTTTTTTTTTGATAAGATAAATAGGTATATTTTTTCTTTTATATAGATTGATTCAAAAAATGTTTAATAGTTATTATTCATTTTGAGAATCAATACATATATAAAAAAAGCAAATGTACCTTTATAACTTATCGAAAAAAAAAACACTGCTAATTAAACCTTAAATATAAAACATAATGTAAGACCGCAGATTATTTTTCGTTTTATTTGCTATGATTAAACAAGTATATCAGGAGTCATATTTATATGGTTTATGTTCAATGCTAACTATTATAAATGTTTAGAGCAAGTAAAATAAATCAATTAGTTTATTTCAATGAAAGACTTGTTATTTTTGTAGCTTTATTAACCATCTTATTTCAGACATTCATCAGTGATCCACATACAGTTTTTCTCTTCCTATCTTTATTTTTTTAAAAATGTTTATGAGCCTTTACCTTCATTTCATCATTTCTATCCCAAAATGAAATTTTGCCATTGATTAAATGATTGATATTTTTGCACCAATTATTAATAAAAAATACTGCACATTTCTCTGTTATGAATTCTTTTAGTTGAATTTGGTGTTCTTTGCATTGTAAAAAATTTAAATCTAAATTAATCTTTATGATTAACTTTATATATGTCAAAATATTTTTTTTTATTGTAATTTTCTTTTAAAACTTCTATTGTTTTCAGCATTGGCAACATAGTCAAATAGGTTTCGGGTAGGATAGCACAACCAGCTTTTGTTTTCAAACTCTTTTAAAATTATATAAGTATGAAATATCTGCTTTTCTTTAGCTTCTATGTTGTTTTTACATAATAAACAGCTTATATAAAAAATTTTCTTTGCTAATTGTGCTATCCAGCCACTACAGTATCCAATTGCTGCGGATTTTTCTACTTATTAAACTTTCTGTATTGATTAAATCAATGCATAAATGAGCATTTTCAATTTCAACTTCACATTCAGTGGGTATATCATCTACGTCTTTAGTCAATAGTTCTTTTAGTGTTTGCAGACAAACGCTATCATCCATTTCGCAATTTGATCCCACTGAATGTGAAGAAGAAATATTGTCAATAAGCAATGTTTTAAAGGCCCCCTCAAAAGATTGTGATGTAGGCATCGTATTGCTGCAGGCATGAGCCCTTATTGCCCCAAAAAATTTCTCCAAATGCGTCTTGGTTGAAATTTCATAGCAATAATAAATTTATGCCTTTTGAATTCAAATAAATTAAAATTCTTTTGAAGTTTTCTACTGTTTTTATCCAGCTGGACAACGATGGAACTATCCCATGATTAATTCCATTATGAAACCTCATGCTCCTTAAAACTGGAAGGCTTTTGTTCCATAATTTATGATGAGGCGATGTTGGTGTCACTGCTGTCCTATACGTTTTCCTCCCTTTTGGTTTGCTAAAGCTGCCATTGACACTGTCGAATAAGTCATCAAAAAACATCAACAGGTCTGCAGTTTCAGTGCATTCTTTTTCAAGAACTCCAAACTCTGCAATGAAAATATAATGTTTGTTTAGGTTTGTAATGGAAAATATAAGTTTTTAGTTTATAGTATGTATGTACTATGTATACCAGAAAAAATTTCTATAATAAATCTGCTCTCAAATATATAATAAAACATATAGACTCTAAAATTTCATAATAATAATAATCATCATCATCAGCCCTTTTACGTCCCCACTGCAGGGGCTCAGGCTTTCCTTGTGGATGGTTAAGGAGGATGGGCCATGACCCTCCACGCTGACCCAATGCGGATTGGAGTGAATAGACGACTGTAAATGCAGCCGGGACCAACGGCTTAACGTGCCTTCCGAAGCATGGAGTAGCTCGAGATAATAATTATTTGGTCACCCATCCCATAACCTACCCTTGCGAAAGTTGCTTAACGACAACGATCGCGGGCCGCGGCGCTTACCTATTATGCCACCAAGCTATTCTCATAATAATATTAAAAAATATCACCTGTCATTACTCCAATAGCAGCTCCAACAGTTTTACTTAACAGCTAAGTGCAGTGTTTCACTCTCATTTTTAGTAATAATGATGGCACTACATGATGAGCTGTCAACTTAGGTGCCCTCTTCACTCCTTTGTAGCCTGGGCATCTTTCATATAATTGTAGAATGTGATTCCACTTAGCAGTACATTCCTTTCCATTCATGTTATATTTTAAATTTTTTGTTAACATATTATACCTGATCCCTTTTATTAAATGAAGTGGGTCATAGAGTGAAAATACTTTTTGTCTCCAACTTCGAAAAATCCTTCTGTATAGTGCTGTCCTCTTCTCAAATACATTTCGTTAGTCTCTTTTAACAACAAGTTTATAGCAGCAATATTTGATGTAGTTTGGTCACATACTGCTGCTACCACCATAAGACCAGTTTCTGCAATTTTAATAATCATATTCTTTATTAAAGCTTTAAGTTCCAAAGCTTTAAGCTTTAAGTTCTTGTACTGCCACTGCAAAAATAATAGGCCAGTGGCTGTTTATATTTTTTAACAATGCCTCTAATTAAGAAAACAAGTACATGGTTACTGTACTATTTGCTTCATTGCTCCATTATCAACAAATCATGTGATAATTTTTTTTTTTATTAAAGCTGATGCTTGGTGCTATTGCCATTTCATCAAATACCAAGGTGCAGTATTTAAATTTATCTGGCATTCTCCTAACTCTGGATTTTAGGTTGTCAAATAAAATTTCATTTATGCCTGCCTTTAACTGGACTTTATACAACAAAGTCTGCAATGTTTGTCTACTAGGTAAAATACAAAATTTTCTTAACAAACGATACGCCTTAGGTGCAGGTTTGTATAATGATAGCACTAAAATCTTTTCATCAATGGTAAATCGATGCCCTTGCTTTTTCTTATTTCCATGTGACATTTGCATTCGGCAAAATAATTTTGCAGTAGGTGACATATTTTTGGAAATTATTTGGAAAGCAGAGGTTTTCATTAAAGATTTAGCAAGAGCCAATTTTTGTTTAAAGCTCCTTTTTTGAGCTTCTCATTTTTTTCAATTTATTCACAATTATTTTATATTGTTTATGGTCTTTTAGAGAAACACCTGCAACAAATTTCATGAAATGTAAATTAAAGCCTCAAAAATAAATAGTTTCTTTTTTTGCATTACACACTGTACAAAAATATTCAGAATAACTGAATATTTTTCAGATTTGCAGATTGTTTCCAATTTCATGCAGCAATTTTCAAATTGGATAATTGAGATATATTTTTGCAAAACATACCTTTTAATTTTCTTGGCAACTGTTGTTTGGCAACAGGTGTTTGTGTCTTTCCAAGGTTTGTATGCTGACCTGGAAATAATAACAAATATAGTTATTTCATGGATATCATTGGCTTATCAGTCTCTGGCTCAAAATATGTAAGATTGGCCTATGTTACACAACATAGATTTGCAATTTTGAACAAAGGGACATTCAATTTTGTATAACTATATGTTGACTCATGAATTTTCCTTTATATAAAAAATAATATTATATTTAAGATGATTATTTAACTATTTTAATTTTCATCAGAAAAACGTTTACCAACCTGATGTGCCGGCATTTAGTTGAGAAGGTACAAAATGTGAGCTACATGGCAAATCCGCACTTGCAACTATGTGAGGTTCTCCAGTTGATTGCGCTGAACATGAAGAAAAAAACATTTTATAATATTTTATTTTATAATAAACATTAAAAATTAACATGGAAATTAGGAGCATTTGAACAATGGTATAAGAAACTAGCTTTCGCCCACAAGGTCTTATATTGTACATATAAACCTTCCTCTTGTACCACTCTATATATTGATGAAAACCACATTCAAATACATAATGTTTTTTATAAGAACTCAGCTTATAGAAAACTTATTTGTTTTCTACTATTTCATTTTTACTTTAAACTTTTTATAGTTTGAAAAATTATTCACTGGTCATTGTTAATCACATATGAATGAATTTTAATGCATAGCCTGCTGCTTCCATCTTTAAATAGATAGGTAGTCATTCAATATGCAGTATTATTTATAAATAATAAATTACCTGACATATGAAGTGTAGGCATTGCTATGTTGCAGTCTATTATTGGGATATTTATAAATATCTAGAAAATGTTTTCCACAAATATGCATGTTATTATATATTTTGATTGGATCCAGACGAGTTATTTCTCCACCAATATTGTCTAGCCATTTTTTAAATTTCTCTGTTTTAGTTCTAGGTTCAGGAAACCGGTGCAAAGGGATACCTGAGTAACATAATAATATGTATTATTCTCTGCTATTCACACAACAAATTATTAGTCCTTAATTATTTGTATAATGGATGAACAAATAACAATTCTTAAATTGTAGGCACATAATAAGTTTTTTAATGAATATTGTATTCTACGATAGCTCAAAGAAAAATACCTGAAAAACATTTGAATTATGAAACTCCATGTATAGGTATAAAAATCGGTTGAAAACTTTGACATTATAGTACAATTCATAAAGTATTTATTGTACAAACTAAAAAGCACTTACCGCTATCCTTAGTCACTGAACATTAAAGTACACAACAACGGTTTTGTGCCATGATTTTTTGAGCAAAGTTCAAATTAAAAACAAGTAACATTTCGGTACAGGATATTTCAAGACACAATACGATTGCTAACACAATATATTTCGATTACACGGACGAACTTAATCAACTCAACGTGAAAAGCAGAAAAAGTTACAGGAACTTGCAAAAACTAACAAGCACACGGACATTCACTCAATACATTTTCCATTTGCGAAGTTAGTTTTAAAGTTTAGCCACAATACCAAACCATTACATACGCGCCATTTTCAATTGATATTGCCATAGTATATTTAATATTACCACTTAAATTAGAAACATTTCTAGTGACAATTCTATAATTACTATATAATTCTGTAACAAGATATATTATTTCAATAATATTAGGTATCATAAGGCTTTTCAACTAAGTTTCAAGTAATAATAAACAAGATTTATTAATGATGCCTTTAAAAATTATCCCCAATTATAAACACATTTATTTATTGTGGCTACACCATGATTTCTATTTTAAAAGCTGGTACATAGATGGCACTGTAAAGTAAAAAAAAATCGAGTTCTAAGTTTGCATAGCATGTTTTTAATCTAATTTATTTGAAGTGGGTAAAATGGTTTATTATATTTTATAATAACGTAAATAAACCAAAGAGTAGTATAAAATAAACTACTCAATAGGTACACAAAAGTACACAAAACAGGCGAAGGAACAAAGCCAAACAGCCAAATCTTGAAGGGTTGTTATACAATAACTGACTAAACAAAGCAAAACTCAGGCTAACATACTAAGGTATTTAACACTATTAAAATAAGTTACTATGGACATACTGTTAGATAATCCTACAATAAAGTTTATTTCGTAGAATCTGCTGACAATATATGTTTAGCTTTATTAAAATACCGTAAAGAAAATGCAATATTTGTAAGAATTTTAATGAACGACGAAAACGCTCTATCGTATACGGTTCTGTTTACCGGTATGTGAAGTCCGTCTCCAATAGGACTTCTCTGTGTGAAATAAGACATGGAGAAAAAACAGCCCTTACTGCGTTTCTTGCCGATTCTTGTCAGTACAAGATCTCCCGCCTTAGTTTTGCGAACCATTGACAAAGTTTTCGACTTTCACAAGTACATTTGTATTATCTATAACAATGTAATCAGATAGATGCGCTCAGTTTTTTTTTTATTGTTTTATCTATTACCCCAAAATTCAAAATTAATAATCAATAATATACTTGAAAAAATCCGGAAAGGTGGTCATGGAGAAATCAAGAACGTACCGTAGCAATATCGTGTTTGATTATGTTTTCTTAATATTTTTTCACTGACATATTTTATTATTGTTTCTTTATGTGTAAAGACCACAAACATGACATTGGCGGAATTGTGTAAACGCAAATAGGCCACGAATTAAAAAAGAAGAAGAAAGTAACTGGCGCGGTGTTAGTAAATATTACGTCAATACCTTTGAATAATTATATATATTCAAGCAGATTACCTAAAGAAGATTTAAACACTACATTACCTAATAATCATGCGATGGGGCGAGAACGAGACTTGTTTATTTGTTAATCTGTATTTAAAAAATGACGTTTTATGGAACACTCGTAATACCAATTACAAATCGAAATTTCTAAGACAACAAGCTTATAAAAATATCATAGAAGGTCTTCGTTCTGGAGCTGGAATCTCTCTATCTGAAGAAGAAGTAAAAATGAAGATAAAGAGTCTTAGATCAACATATTCTCAAGAACTTGTAAAAATAAGAGATCGCTCCGATAGCGACTGTCGTTATAAGCCAGCATTAAAGTGGTTCGATGAGTGGCACAGAAAAATGAATAACGCGAAAAGAGGAATTAATGACACGACATCTGAGGTATGTTTACCTAATGTTACTTGTTTTAGCTTGGTAACACTTTACTTGTGGTCTTAAAAGTACTTAGTACACAATGTTGGTATTGCTGATTAACTTGAAATTGTTCTCTTTAATTGCAGTCGAATGAACCAGATGAAGATTTATGTCCAAACATTGACAATGAAAATGCTGACACCAAAATAGACCCTTTTGCATCACCACCTGGAGAAGATTATTTTATCATTGTGAAGTCAGAATGTGAACAAAATTCTGAGAAGGAACACATTCCTCATAAAACGAAAAGGCGGAAAATTATATCATATAATCAAAGTGTTGATGCTTCTGAGCGAGTACATAGAATTAGTTTAGATGCACTAAAACCTGTAAAAGAAGATGAATTTGATATTTATGGCAAATATATAGCAACACAGTTGAGGAGTATGGATTTAGAAAAAGCTATTAAAGTTCAGTTGCAGATACAAAATATTGTTAGTGAAGCGAGACTATCAAAAAAATAAATGGGACTTGTTTAATTAAATATTCATGTATTTCAGACCTGGCTGACTGAAAATTACTATTTAATATATTATTTACATAATTTATTGTTTTTCACATAGTAGATATAATAATTATTAGAGATGTGCAGAATATTGTTTTTCACCAAATATACTTACATAAAAAATATACATGCCAGTTGGACATAGAAAATCCTCCTTTCAGATTTTGAATAAATGCAAAATATGCAATCTTTCGTTTTTGTTAAATTATTTAGGGGAGATGAAATGCATATCTTGTTTTGTTATAGAAAGAAAATTAGCAATTCCATTTCGATAAAATTTATCACCTCGGTCCATCAAAAATGGAAAAATCAGTGAACATACATTAAAAAACCATAGCTGTCAAAGGTACTACCCCCTATTCGACTTTGAAGTCACTTAAAAACCTAACAAATTTGCCAAGGAGAGCCAGTAGCTTGGTGTTCCTGCACCATTAGTTACCATTATGTAATTATTAATATTAAAAGTGCAGATATTCATTTTTGCTCAACTTTTATTTTATATCTGATCTCTATGAAATTTTTTAAGTGACTGTATTTATGTATTTGAAGCTACATTGCTTTATATTAAATTTTATTAAACACATACTTCATAGGATTTCCTTGAAGAATTTTCATCTTATATTTCTGTAGTGTCATAGAGCCAAGAAAATAGAAATTCTTGGATTGCGTACATAATTAACTGCATAATTCAGCCTAATATGAATAGTGAAAAAGATATGGAATACCAAACAAATATTTGGCAAATCTCTAATAATTATTAATGCATTTAAAATGTATTAATAACGATATTTCATCTAGAGCAGTGTTCACAATCTGTGATCTCTGAAAGCATACTGTGTGGTCCACATGATACACACATGTCCACATGATTACTATATAAAAATAATCCAATTATATATGATTATTTCATTTATATGTAGATAGATACAAATGCATAGTATACTTTATTTATATAGATCATAGAGAATGAATTGACCTGAGTTGTTTACCTGAGTACTTTCTACTGACTATTGATATGATAAATCCTAATAAATGTATAAGAAAAGAACAGATCACTGAATGATCAATCTATGTACATTATACAATGCCTATTACCCCAATGGGGCACAGGCACTTGGCAATTTCCTGACCACAGTTCTAACCTCACCAATAATAATGAATAAATAAATATTAAACAACATCACATAAATAACTCAGAATACTATATGATTAGCTAAAGCCCTCATGATATGGAATATCTAAGACAACGAAGGTACAACAACACCCAGCCCGAAACTATAAAAAAAGCCCATTTTCTACATTGACCCGACCAGGAATTGAACCTGCGATGTCAGAGATGTCGACACTTGAAGACGAAGTACGAACCATTGCCATAGGTACCAACAACCTGGTGCTAGTGTACCTAATCAAGACTACAGTAGTGGTATGCTGAGAATTTTTATTAATTTTGTACGCTATTTTAGTACGATGCCATAAGTATAAGTTGATAAAATACACTACTCCATAAAATTAATTGTATTGCGATCTAATTTCAAATGAATTATTATGTTAATTCACTTAAAATCATTTTATTTACTTAAAATCAACTTGTAGACTTATACTTGTGGCACTGTTAAAATACCTAACTTAATAACTCAAAGGTGACTCAAACGTATAATTACGTTATTTTGTGATCCTGTAATAACAATGAGACATTTGTTATTTGTTGTTATTAAAAGAACTTTTTTTGTGAAATAAAAGAAAAGAAGCCAAGTCTGATTTTTTTATTGCTGTTACAGCATTTGTTATTATACAAACAAACATTATCGCTTACACTTCACTAGTGAAAATTCAGATCTTCTGCTTGTACCATTTGTTCCTACAGCAGCGCTTTATTTAGACGGGGTAATTGCATATATGGAGAAATATATCGGAGTTCGTCAGGCCAATAGTTACTGAGTCGGTTGATAAAAAAAAAACAACAAAACAAAATAGTGGGTAAATCACATCCAAATCTAAAGCTAAATTAAGTACTTTTAGTTTCACATATTTCGGTTCGACCATCAAAATAATAATGGAAGTCTGACTTCGAGGGCAGTGCGTAGTCTGATGTTAAAATAACTAAATATCTTAAACTTAGGTTTACAAATATCAAGATAAGATTACACCTGGCGGCTAATCAAATAACGCGAATAAATATTACGTATTATGATCAACAAGTAAAAAAAACGTCTAGTTATTGTCTTGTGTATATGTAAATAAACAATACAGAATTTATAGGTATACTAGTGGACGCCCGCGACTTCGTCCGCGTGGAAGTCGGTATCCCGTGGGAGTGAGAAGTTTTCCCAGTAAAAAGTACCCTATGTGTTATTCTGATGTATAACCTATATTGCTGTAAAGTTTTATCCAAATCCGTCCAGTAGTTTTTTCGTGAAAGAGTAACAAACATCCATACATCCATACTTACAAACTTTCGCCTTTATAATATTAATAGGATAGGTATATTACCGAGACAGGATGTTAACGACAGCATACTGCGCGCCCGCCAGGGTAATACAAACTCGACGAAAGACTAGAATAAGATGACAAACTTTACTGTCACAATCTCCACATTAATACGTTCCATCGCATAACTGTTACATCCAATGTGCGTCATTTCATTTACTGTGATGTATAACACTAACCTTAATACCCGACGTCTGAAGATTTATACAAACAATTCTCTATTAAAAAAGGAAGAATTGTCAGTCGGACACATTTTACACCTGAAATATTGGCACTCCCACTATTTACATTTAATATTGGCACTGTTCTTGAAACTATTTCCATTGTAGATAAATGGAAAATGGAAACAGTAGAAATATATACAGAGACAAACCTGTCCCAATATTTCTATGCGAGTAGATTATGTAAATAATTGGAATGCTAAATATCGGTCTGCTTTTTGAGGGTATTCATCCATTGGCACTTGTAGCTGTTGATACTTTATACACAAATTATTATTAAAGACGACACAAACTGACTTATCAACAAGTACCAAGTTGAGAAATTGCGAGAAGTATTATACCCTAGATTACTCAATCCAAACGGCTCACTCAATGCCCTATGTGATATTATTATCGGTACAAATTACTAGTAAAGCTTTCTTTAAAAAAAACCGATCTTACAAAAATATCTGTTCACAATACAATGAGATTGTTTCACTTAAAAATGTATGAAAAAATATTATATATATATATATTTTCTTTCATGTATTGTTTTTTCACACGATGCATTGAGTATACCGTTTCACTCAAATTCCATTGTTTACATTTATTCACTACAACAAACTTACTATTCAAGACTTAGTTACTTGTCCAGTTTAACTTTAAATAATAATTAATGGACTACAGTTTATTTCGCACCTCAGAATAAACTCAAGTATAGCATTTGCAGTTTTCTTCCTCTTAATAATTTAATAACGGGAATCTGATCATTTATAATAATTATAATGAACTTTAAGTCATGATCCACAAGGTCGGAAATTGATAAAGTATCTATCTGTTCTTTTAAAGTTGAGAGACTGAACAAATCGAATGAAATCTATAAATGTGCAGTTAATTCAAATTGTTAAGTTTTTTTTCCACCATGTGTGAGAGAAGGAGAAAAGGAATTACATTTACGATATCACTGAACGAGATAGAAGCTATACTTAAAATTATCCTATCGGTGGAAACCGCTGAGAGCCCACAGTACCCACAACACGTGAATGCTATATTTTTCCAATGTTTTCGGAAGAGAGATTGGGAAGTTACAATTTGACAATAAATCGGCTGCACGTCCTTAGTTCCTCACAAATTATAATAATTAAGGCATTTAATAATTTATAGAATCATGTAACAACTAATTTAACAAGTTATGAACACATGGGGGACATATAAGACGTTTTTTTTTATTTATAAAGTTGTACATTACACAGTGTGCACCGTCTCAAAACAAAAAAAAATAAGCAATCAACATGGATGTTTGTCCTACATAATTTTACAATAATAATTTAAATTTATTAATAAAAAAATATATATATTAATAGATTTCCATTTTCACGAATAACTGGCAAGATTTTTGGTATTATATATTTATAATATTTTAGAAACTATGTATGTACTCATTTATGAGAAACGATATGGAGACAAACACCCACTAAAGTTATTGACATGAAAGCGAGTGAATATCACAAATTAATGTCATGGTTCAGCGACCTGTTGCCTTGCATGTGAAATTATGACTACAGGTAATGCAATTAGACTGCACAATGACACATTGCAACAGAAAGATATAATAACGCCACACGATATCGCTAAACAATCACTCGATATTTTGCAACTGTTTTAAATTGAAGGATCAAAACCTTATTCCGGTATTTAATGTTAGTTTAATATTTTACTATTAAACAACACAGGACTCATTCCGGTTCATCTGGATTTCGTATGACGCCATTCAAAAGATAGTTATACTGTTTTTTTTTTTCAAATGTAACAACACACGAAAGATTGTTAATTCAGATCTATTTTTGTACAATTTATCACATAAATTTATAATGACACAGGTTTCGGTACAATGGAACGAACTTCATAAGATTTATTTATCCTGTTAGAGATCATTATGGCTTAACCCAGCCCGTGCAGGATGACGAACTCGAGAAACACTCGAGAGATTCGAGAAACGGCTCGAAAGACTCGAGAAGACCAATATCACACTCACTCTTTTCTCGAGTTCGTCATTCTACACGGGCTGAATAGTATACACAATACACATTACTGTGTATGCAATGATATACAATCATGTACGGGCGGTGTCAGGATTCGTGTACATATAGAAGTATTTATTTTAGTTCTAAGTGAAAAATCCTTCACTTTCGTTATACCATCCCTTTGTCTCACAAAACAGAAGATTGCAATTGCAAAAAATTGTTCATTGATAAATAAAATAATATTTTTGTTAAACAAATTTTTTTTCTTGTATTTCCTTTTTGTAACCACTTCACAAATTGAAATATACTAATTCTATAAATGCTTCTGTAAAAATATTGTAAGTAGTTAGTATCGCAAGTACAATTATATCATTTGTGAAAAAATAAACGCTATGTCTCATAGTCGTTATTATAAAACTAACATGTTACTTTATTATAACCGGCTTTTGTATGGATGCAAGTTATTTGTTACCTTATCTGGTTGTAAATATTACTTCACAGGCTTCCCAATTGTACTTGTGTGGTTAGAGTGTATGCCAAAATAACCATATTTAATGTCCGTAGTGAATAATTGATTCTATCTGTTTTAATAAAAATATTAACGAATGAGATCAGAATAAACGCCCGTACAAATACCAGTATTGAGCCTCGGGAACTAGACAATGGGGGAAAGTGAATTTCGGGGAATAATATTTAGAAAACTAATTAGAATTATAATCCAAGTGTCTGGTTTGCACTCATGTAATTTAGTGCTCACTTGAGCAATACCAAAATTTATACATCTGAGAATGGGAGTTCTGGAGTTTTTACAGTTGGTGTTTATAATCATCATACAGTTCAATTACTTGAAATAAAATGAGTAAATAAAGATGTAGGGAACCGACTATTGTGTAGATGTCTCGTGTCAAATTAATTATTATACAAGTTAAAATGCGTTTGTTAACTAAACAGTTGTAGAATCGTAGAACAAAAACATTCTGCTGTTCTGACAAATAGAAGTCATCGAAGAAACAAATTTTCCATAATGTACGGCAACGGGAACTTTATTATTTTGTCACTAGAATTTGGGAATGAGCATTTAGTACAAGATTATTATATTACATACAATTTAAAACATGACTTATGAAATTGTTTTTTTAAAGACACATTTTTATATATTCGCAACAAATAAAATCAACTTCAAATATACATTCAGTGTCGAAAAGTCTAAAAGTTACATCTGGAACTCGGAGCAGATAGTAGAAGTAAATTTTTCTTTCTTTTTCACAAACATTAGGATTCTCGTTTGATTATGAAAAATATCGATTTCGGTTACAGGTGAATTACCAAGTTCAAGTGTCAAAATGTGAGGGCGTGTTCGCGTTACCGTTAGAGGTTGGACAGGTGTGGCGTGATTGGTCGGTGGGGGCGCGGCGGTCGCTCACGCGTCGGAGCAGAGCTGCTTGGGCGTGTACACGCTCGCGTTGGGGTCCAGCGCGGCGGGCAGCCGCAGCGAGGGGGCCAGTTCCGCCGGCATCACGGCCAGCAGCTGGGCTTTGAGCTCCTCTATCTCTTTCTCTTGTCTCGTTATTAGTCCTACGAAGAATAGGGATGTAACTCATATGGACCTTTACAGCTTAACAGTGAACAGTATGGTAGTGTATATCGGTACTGTAACATCCGTGCACATTACTATAGGTTTGTAACGGTGCAAACTTTTTGTTTTTGATCTTCAACATCATTTATTTTTATTTTTCACTTTTCGTATATTGAAATTTTGAGTAATAATAAATAATTAAATATGCTCTCTATGAATGTCAGTTCGTAAAAAAAATCATCTGCTGAAAACATGATAATTTAATTATAAATTTAAATTATATAAATCTAATAATAATAAAATTATTCATGAAATATCTACCAAGTTCTACCTACTACGGAAAACCCAGAAACGGGTTTTTCTTATTACCGTCTAATAAATCAAATTTTCAAGCTTAGTCAGCCTTTTATTCATTTGCCTAAGCATCGAACCTGTCACAGGTTTACTCTCCGGACGATTTATGGTCAACGCTGACCGCAAATATTTTGTATTATTACTTTTTCTTCGTTCGAATTCGCGTGGTCGTATTTTGCTGGTGGATAATCTTTCTTTCTGATCGAGACCGGCATAGAGTCAGTATCTTAGAATTTAGTTGTAAGTGATTTAATTTCAAGTATTTAAGAATCGTTGAGCAACCCTGAGCTACTTCCGAGCCCACCATTGGAGTACTGACCGTCCTGTATGTGCATGTGCCGCTTGGCGTCCCCTAGGGCTGACAGCAGGTCGAGCTTGACCCTGGTCTCGGCGGACAGCGACCGCTCGAGGTGTGACGCGCGCTCCTGCAGCGCCGACCACGCGCCCGCCAGCGACGCTGACTCCTGACGAGACTCCAGTGACCGAACCTGATACGTATCCGATCAAAGATATTTGAGTTATCGGAGATCTCATTATTATATAGAACAAATAACAGGGGTCCTAAATACGATCCGTGGGGCACTGCCGAATTAGAAGTGTAACTGACCAGTATAAAGTACGACTTGAATTTCTATTTTCAGAGACCCTGTTAACTACTCTAAAAACTTTCATATCGTCGTAATCATAGGAAATTCTGAGGAAACAGGATTTTATGAAGTTGATGATTGTTACAAACAATAAAAGACCCGGAAAAGATCCCTGAGGAACCCCAGATGGTATGTCTACCCACGACGAAGAGTAACCGTTCAAGACAACTGCTTGTGAACTATTTCTAAATGTAAGAAATAAACAAAGTGAAGAAACTACCATCGATACCAAGTATTGTAGTTTAGCAGGCCAGATGTCATGATTAATTCTATCAAATGCTTTGCTGAATTTTGTATAGATAGTGTCAAGTTGTTTGCTAGTTTTCATGTGACCTGTCATGAATTCGTTGAAAATCGTTTTGTGATGCTACTAAAGGTACAAGGGTAAATGTATAAAGGTTTCTATATAAATCTTGACTGAATACAGCGATACAGTTTATTATAAACGATGCGCTCTAAAATTTGGCAAGTTAACATAATTTGGAGAGATCGTTGTAGAATTCTCACTCTGAGTTTTGGAACCTTACTTAAGTATCCATTAAAATTGACATTCATTAGAGCTTTAAGGCGTCATTAAAACTTAAATGAGGTTTGTCCAACGGACCGTAGGTGTTATAAATGCCCTTTTCATACAAGACCTTGAATGCCATCTTCATCTAATGATTTTCTTAAACTTTATAGCTATCTTACCAAAAATATGTATTACTGGAAGCATGTTGGTGCCAGCAGATTCACTGACTTAAAAAATCATGGAACCCAAGACTTTGTTTAAATTTAGTGTTTCGTGAAATAATCGCGCACGGGTCCACTGTCTGTGTGTTATGTATGTATATTTACCTGGTCGTGTGCGTGATGCAAATCTCGCTGGAGTTGCGTGATGGTATCGTGGGCCCGCTGTAGATCTCGCCTGAGCGTGGCCGCTTCCGTTTCTACCGCCACCGCTCGTCCTCTACACCATTCACTCTCGCATTCGCCACTGCAAAAAATATGAAAAAAAAACCCTGGTTGGCTGTATCATTGATACAGCCATATTTTATGCGTGAATACGTCTATGTATGAATGGATAAGAGTAATTGATAAAAAAAAAAATTCACCAACATCCAGGTTAGGAAACACATCACGAATAGCTTTTAACCACTCTTCACGTCTATCAATGTTCTTTGGCACTCTAAAAACTGAACGATTCGTTTCTCCAAAACAACCCGGAATTATGCAACGTTGTGGCATAATTGCATTTATAAATGAATAATTAAAAAAAAATAAACAAATTGAAGACACTAAACACTAAATAAATAAATATTCGTTGCGTTCATTTGTTGAATGAAAAAAGTATTCACTAGCGCCAACAGATGGCGTTAGTGCATATACTCCTGCTGACAGAATGCCCCTCCCCCTGCAGTGCAAGCATAGTTCACTTATTCGCCAATAGATGGCGTTAGTGCATATACTCCTGCTCACAGAATGACCCCCTGTAGAACGAAAACATAGACGTATCCACGTCAAAAAACATCAACTTGGCCACCTATAAAAGTCTATATGCATAAACAGCACACACAGATGACGTCATATAAAGGCGTTGACGCTGAGCACCATTCGAACTATTGGAAGAGACCACTACAAATCTGGCGGAAGATCTCTCGTGCGAATCAAGTGCAGTGTAGTGTAGTGTAGTGTGGTGCAGTGTGGACGCACCTGTTGGTGCGCGCGTGCCGCTGCTGGTGGCGCAGCAGCTGCGTCTCCACGTGCGTGCGCGCGCGCCGCTCCTCGCCCAGGCGCCGCTCCAGCGTGGCCGCCGCGCGCTCGCTGCCGCGCCACGCGGACACCCTGTCGTTGTATCAACCATGTTACGATCTTAAGTAAATTATATATAATAAGTAAGTTTAGTTAAATGATTGTGGTCAAAGGTAATATTAAACGATACAACCTCTGGGTGTATTTATTTCCCATAGTATTAAAGTAATTTAAGTTATAGCATAAGCTAATTAAATGAGTATGAAGTGTTGAATTTTAATTGGTATGGCTCTCTGTATGGTATTGCCTCACTCAAGGGGGCTTATGTGGGTTTTATATATGGTATTGCTTCATTCAAAGGAGCTTATGTGGTTTTCTATATGGTATCGCTTCATTCAAGGGAGCTTATGTGGTTTTCTATACGGTATTGCCTCGATGACAGGGATGTTAAAATGTAAAATGTTCACCTACCTTCATGTTTACGATAAAAATGTATCAGAGCGAGACGGCGCTGGTTTACTCGGGATCTTCCGTCTCGCTCTGACCACATAAATACGTCGGGCAAGAGCGCGGCGCGCCTTAGAACGATTATGAGCTTCGACGGCGCGGTCTTGCCCGACACGATACGAGTTATGTATGAATGTTTTTAACGTGATTTATAATATAAATAGAGAAACAGTAAAACGTAGTAATTAACAATAATGTGATACATAGATGTTAAGAGTGGGGGGTGGCTTCGCCAAGTAGGGGAAAAATGTGTAATTAGCTAACCAACTGATAATGTACGGAGCTAAGTGCGAGCCACCCCATCAAATGTAAGACGGGTCGTTTTGAGCGAATTTTGTAAGCTCTCCGGCCCTCAAGATATACGAATAAAGAAGAAGTGAAATTATCGAAGGAGTTTTAATTCTACAGTCCAGCATCGGCTAGCTACGTGTGAATCTGTTCAAGATCCAGGAAGATCCGCAACAAACCATATTATGTGATACTGTCCATCCATTCGTAGGAACTAAACGTTCTTTCGAGCAATCTATTGTGAGGCTTTTTGAAAATCAAAACGGACTTTTGCCTGTATACATACATAGTTTTAAATAAATATACATATTTTTGATTTGGAACTTTTTTCTAGGAATACTGTAATCGGCATTACATTAAGGATCTAATCAATTCGTATCTTAGTGTTAAGATTATGCTGCTGAACTTCTGTTATAAAATAAAATTTAAAGAAAACTCTTTTTAGTATATCGTGAACATAATGTGAATTTTTCAAGTGTTTTTAGCTACAAAAAACAAACAACACTATACATTCTACGATTTTGAAATGTAACACTAGAAAATGGGGGGGGGGAGAAAGAGACAGAGAGGGAAAAGGTAACCGAAATGAAATGTAAACAGTAGTGGTACTTGTGCTGCAGCGCGGCGTGCGCCTGCTTGAGCTGCGCGTGGTCGGCGCGGCGCTGGCGGTCGGCGGCGGCGGCGGCGGCCAGCGCGCGCTTGGCCTCCGCCTCGCCGCTGCGCGCCGCCGCCACCTCCGCCCGCAGCCGCCGCACCTCCTCCGAGCACGAACGACCCTCGCGCGCCTCTTTTTCGCGCTACGGCGGAATAAGACGAATCACGAATGTTGAATGATTTTTAGAGTTCACAGTATCTATATAGAATTTATTTTATAGAAATACTAGCTGACCCGGCGATCTTCGTACCGCCTTATATCCGTTTAAAAATATATATATATATATATAAACCGTGTCATGAATCGTGGAACACATAAAAAATAGAATCATCCAATTTGGTTCGGTCGGAACTGGAATTCGGAAGTTCTGCGCGTACATACGTTTCGGAGATTCTTTTTATTTATGGATATTTAATAGCTCACCCGGAGACTTTTCGATAACTCATTAGTTATTAATTTTTTTGATAATTAAATTTTTTAGATAGAGTAAACGGCAATTTTGATCTACATTACATACATAACGTATCTAACTTATTTATATGAATAAGGATTAATACTGTATTGTTAAAAAAAAGGTTCATAAATAACCTATCATTTTACTGTTTTAATAATACGTAAAAAAATTGGTTATTGTGGGTTATCCTTGGCATATAGACATATACCACCGCGGACTTTTTTGTTGATCTATTAAAAAGGTACAATTCCACCATACAATGTTTTGTTATAAAGCAAAAGTTTTTGGCAGAGTTTTCGAGGAAAGTTTCGATCGACTTTATTTTTTTCGACATATTGAACTAATATCGTCAGTTTGTACAAAACCTTAACTTACTATACACTAAAACCATCCTTTTGAATCACCCTATATATGAAAAAAAAAAACGCATCACAATCCGTTGCATAGTTTTAAAGATTTAAGCATACATAGGGATATAGAGTCAAAGAAAGCGACTTTGCTTTATATTATGTAGTGACATGAAATATTAAAAAAAAATATCATTCATATAAGAAGTTAAAATATGAAAAAATAAATTGTATTTTCAAAATTTCCTACTAAAATACCAACTTCTGTCATAGCGTCGCTATGACGTCACGCCCCTCTAAAACGAATATCGTTCTATGTATGCATAAAATTTAATGAGCTGTTTGAGGTCACGTGACAATGAGTAAAAAATATTTGTTATTCATAATAAATTAAAGCAATATTATAAACATAAAACGTAATAAGCATAAAAGTATGATTATCGGTAATAGTGTATTAAGCACTACCAGACAAAAATGTATTTACTTAATTAAAGAAAAATTATTTTGGTCTTTTTCCTTTTATTATACACAAAATAAATTTTTCTCAATATCCAATATTGCCTGTAAGGGGCCGTCCATTAATCACGTGATATTTTTCAGCATTTTTGAACCCCCTTCCCCCGTAATAATCACGGGTTAGAGGAAAAAATAAATACACGTGATATATTACTACCCCCCTTCCCCCCTTCATCTTTGTGATATTTTGTTTTATTTAGTTAAATAATGAAAATACGTAATTGGCATTAAGATATGTTAAATTGTTCTACTATTATTTAGATAAGAACTTGCTGAGGATTTTTTTCTTGAAATAAATTTCATGATTTTTGACGAATCCCCTCCCCCCTTTCAAGCCTCACGTAATTAATGGACTGCCCCTAACCGTTTCCATTATCCCTTTATGATGAACGCCTGTTGCCTAGCAGTGGGAAAAATAAAATGATGATAATGACAAAAATGTATGTGTCCCAGGCAGGTTACCATCCAGAAATTTTTGTTCAACAAACCATCAACATAAAAGAAACACATATTTGTGTTATATATGCAACAACAACTGGATAATTATGTGAAGCAGATAGTTCATATACCAGACTCACCTGATCGCGATCTCGTTCCTTTTCTCTTTCCTTCTCTTTCTCGCGTTCTTTTTCTTTATCCTTTTCTTTGTAACCATTACAATCTTTATTTTTTACACTTTCTTTTGTACTTTCTACTTCTTTAACTATTTGTTCTTTAGCTGAAATCAAAGTATTTGTTAATCGATCAGATGTCTCGACAGACAAACAAATAACATAAATGTATATGCATACTTTGTTCTGTACTCTTATGACTATCACTGCTCTCCTTATCCCTATCTTTATCTCTGTTTTTATTCTTTCTTTTTTCTTCTTTAATTGTACTCGCTTCTTTCTTTTCACACTTTGACGACTTAGCGTTACCTGCGATAAAAAAAAACATATTAGCAACACTAATAGTCACTATGAGTCCTAGTATCTGGAACTGTCTGGTACATTATTGCAAAATAGATTCCATTCCAGGTAAATAAAGATTATAATGCTACATTACCTTTGCTTTGGTCAGGCTTTTCGTCGTCTTCCGCGTGGCCAGGAGGCGCGCCGTTACTGTGCGCGTGTGCATTAGTTAGAACGCTAATTTGCGCGTTACTGTGCGCGTTATGATGCGCATTATGCGCGACTGTGTTTGCGCTCTTCTCGCGCAACGCTGTTTGCTGTGCTAAATGCTTTTCTAGCTTATCTAACTGTTGATACAATGAAAATTACAAAGTTAACATTTGATAAAGATATTTGGAAATTGCAGGCTACGTAGACAAAGTTAAAGGAAGCTCAAACTAATTGTAATAATTTTTATTTCAGAAATGTTAATTGTATTGTTCGACGTTATTATATTATCTTTTGAATTAATAGAAGAATAGTTTCGATTTGATTTTATTGCCCAATGATGACAAAATTAGACATTTTGTGGTATGAATTTAAGTTGAACTCGGTAGATACCAGTAAAAGTACTGCAGTACAGTACTGTTTTCTGAGTACCATGTGTTTGAACAGCCAAAATAACAAATCCTTATGCGCTAGAAACTATTACTTTCGTAACAATAAATAAGGGGCAACAATACACCAGAACAAGAAATATTTACTTAAAAAGATGTTATTATTGTAAAAAGCTTTTACCAATGAGAATATTTGTTTTAAGTGTGAAGACGAACCTTAAATTTTATCTCTGCCTGCTCCTGCGGGCAGTGCCCGTTCTGTTCGGGCTTCACGCAGCGGCGCCGCACCGCCGAGCCGTTCATGTGACGCGACTCACACTCTATACTGCGCTCGGGGTCCTTCGCTGTCTGCTGGCTCTGCTGATTCTGCATACCATACAAACGTACACGTTTTCACTCAATTTTACATTCATTAACTTTATACATTTCTGTTTACTACAATTTATTAATCTATTTGTTACACACATTTTGATTTCAAGATGTAAATATATAACTTTCTCTACATCTATCATAATGAGCTCTACGACTAACCACATAGATGATGTGAATGTTGCATAAATAATGTTTTCATGGTGAAGAAAATAAATGAATATAATAATAAGAAATGCAAAATGAATCATGAGTAGGAAGTCACTTCCTATTATATTTATCATATGACTACCACCAGAGTCGTATGATGACTTCGACTCGCAAAAGGTTCCTCAAGTTTGTCGCTAAAGGATGTAGAAAATTCAGGTGCTCCAGAAATCACGTTATTTCATAAATCACGCTAATGACACGCAATGGAGTGGAGGAACACTCGACGACGAAAGCGTATCGAAGGCGGAGTCGCCGAGCCGGAATCGTCATAAAACAAGACGCAGAAGCGGGGTAAGATGGCAGTGCTACAAAAAAAAAAGAAACAAAATACCAAAGAAGCAAAATCGAAGTTCCCAAAGCTCGAAGCACACTACTAGGGCGTACGAGGTGTACCGGTGCGGAGGACTGACCTGTTCTAGCGCGCTCTCGGGCAGCGCATCGCGCATTAGCTGGAAGTAGAACTCGTTCTCGGCTCGCACCTGCCGCTGCCGCCGCAGCCGCAGCCGGTGGCCGACGTAGGACTTGACGCCGAAGCCGAGCGTGACCGCGGGGTACCCCACGCAGTGCGCCGCCAGCGGCCGGCACAGCCCCACGCCCACGCTCACGCGCTCGCCGCGCACCGCGCCCTCCACCCACACCACCAGGCAGCACACTGCCACCGTTGGCACGCAGATGCCCTTGTCTGCGACTACACCACGCGATACACATAAAGGTACATCTATTCATTAATAATGATGACTTTAATATCTTTAATTTCTGATCGATCATTATGAGTTTAACAGTCAGTTACTCAAATGTCCATTAGGGTTTAATGATGACTCTAAGCTTTAAACAAAGTTCTACATTTGAAAGTTTTTATTGGTAATGTGGCATTAAACCAATGACAACTTTAATTAATGTTTGTGCAACCCGCCATATATCTATTAAATGCAAAAGAATACATGAATTATGTAAGTCCAAATCCCCTTCCATATGTTTATTTTTGTTTCTCATTATTCATCACTGATTATTTTTGTTGTATTATCAATTTTTTTAATTGAAATCAATTTGATACTTACATGTGTACCAAACATACTGTACCCAAACATAGGTACTGGCAGCAAACAATATGTACTGCAGTGGTATGAAGAAGTAACATATCATGTCAGATGTGAGCGCTATGCATATAAAGAATACTGAAAATGCCTACAACAAAACACAAAAAATATTTTAAAATAAACATGTTGCAACATTTTGTATGTATAGGCATATTCATATTTACAGGCAACCATTGTGAAAATATACTCACCAGTCCTTGGTATTTGAACGAGTCATAAACTGATCTAAGCATCATCCAAAATGGCCAAAGAAATTCAAATCTGAATTCGAGCATATAATCTGCGAGTACAACTGTCGCCCACAACATAACAAATTTCAGGTACAACATTGAGCTGAAATAGTATATCACATCATTAAAAGGTTGAATACACATGTATAATGGGGGCAAGTCTATTGATATAAGCTATACTAAATTATATCCTGTAAAAATGTTTCACCTGTATTTGTCTAAAATAACAGTATTCTACATCATCATCATAAACACAAGTATTCTTAATGAAAAATGCCTAAAAAATCCACTTTGTCCTCTTATGTCCTGGGTAGCTCAGAGGTTACAGCAGTCGCCGAGATTACGAAAGGCTGTGGGATTGAATCCCATCTCAGACTAGCAGGGACAAAGAGGCTTTTTTTAATTTTTCATTAAGAATATTTTCCAGTACAGCATTGTGAATGCAAAATTATATAATAAAAACTATATTTCTATTATTATAAGTATACAGCAGTATAATTACATTTCTTGGTTAACATATAGGACAAAATTGTAAACTTAAAATAAATCTTTTTAATTTAGTTTAGACAGTGGTCCAACATAACATGTACCAATTTGAATCTATTTATTAATAATGTTTAAACATAATTAATATAAAAAAAAAACATAATAAAATTCTTATGTAAACAACATTACATAATCAAAGATCAGTTCCCAAAATCTTACTTTTCATTTGATTTATTTTTTATCTGGGTGTATAAAGTATGTTACTTAGAATAAATAAACTATAAATAAATAATAAAATATAATAAAGGTCATATGATTTATAAATCACACAGCCCAGTACTATTATGATTTATTATGCATGTTATTGTTGACAGTGTTTCAAATATAAATATATTTTTTTAATAAATTTGTAATATTTTATAATAAAAGCAGTATTTATTAGAGAACTAATTAATTTATTACAGAAAATACAAAATATTTGATTTTGGTTAGCATTCACAATGCTATATTGGTATTTATCTGGTTGATGAAAACTTAATAATACCAATATGGAATTTGATGGATTAATTTATTAAAAAACACCAATCCCAGGCTGGGTCACCATTCCATCTCAGGTACCTGGGATTGCTGAATATTTCAAACATATGAGATTTTTTAATTTATCTCAAAACATTATTTTGAGATAAATTGAGAAATCTCTCAATGTATACAAAAATACATTTATACGGTTTTCAATGGAATATGTGTAAGTAGAATTAAATTGTATGTATGGAAATTGAGGTATGATTAAGGAAACTTAGAATAAGACCATTGAAACATTTATTTCACAAATACATATATGCTGAGCTACCTATATCACCATTATGTATTTTAGAAATAATTAACAGACATTATGGAACTGAAATACACTTCAAAAAATAATTTAGGTATAATTATGTATGTCTAGATTGTATATATACATTTTCAAAAAAAATATTTATCAATATATAATGATATCAAGGCCATTGTTTTCGAAACAACTGCCATGGTTGTAGAGAACTGTCGGAGTCTACGAAGTGGTACCGTTCAGGAAAGCTGCGACCATAGTAAATGTGTGAAGAACGTAACCAAACTCGAAACTAATAAGAAAAACACATGCAATATCAAATACTTTGTGGATTCACGCACGATCTAACGTAACCAAGATAAAAACCAGATGGTACCCCTACCCACACAAAATTGATAAAGTCTTGGTCTTTCTAAACGAGCTTTACGGGTGAGTTTCTACTGTATAAGATCTTGGAAACTTGGAGAACACGATAATAATGCTGGAAGCCGAATACACTCACTTTCCATACATTCCTTCGGTGATTTTTGTGCGCTTTAGGGGGCGCCGCATTTTGCCACTTTCGGCATTCCGTCTCTTCATATTTTGTCCTCCACGATGTTAATCACTACTATAGGCTTCCAATGCAGAACACTTATTTACAGAGAAACATTTAAAAACAACAATGCTCCTCAAAATAGAGCCTTTTGTTGTCAATCAGCCTATCGAGAATAAAACGAATGAGGGAGATGGAAGAAATATCGGCAAGCTTTTTGCGTTCACTTTGAATGTTGCTATTTAAAAAATATATAAAGGTGATTACAGATTTAAACAGTATACAAAGGAGGTACAATACAATGAGGGACTATTTAAAAAAAAAACACTAGTTCCTAAAATCAAGCTAGATGTCGCTACAGTACATTTTTGATTTCTTCATGACAACCCTTCCGGTTTTCTTTCTTTCATCTATAAAAGTAAATTCATTTTCAAAACTCAATAAACACCTCATATTCTATTTGTACTTTTTCATATTTCTATTGATATCGTAGTTTCGATCTTTGCAAATTTAAGTTTTTTAGTATGTTAGTTAAAAGGAACGGAAATAATTATCCTTGGTCCATTCGTTTCCTGAAAAAATCAACTTCTGTTAGAGTCGTTATCTACTGAGGCGCTTTTTCAGTGCTTTCTTTTTTTTCTGAAAATACTTCCTCATTCAACATTTGATACTCTAAAGCAGCAATTACACCACACTACAAACTACTGCATTAGGTTAGGTAAAGTGTTGCCAGCCCCAAGAAACAAGAATACGACAGTTCACAAAAGAATATATTACACCGTACTCATGTAAATAAAACAATCACACACTTTTTATTTATTATTATACATACACTTACAAAATCACAGATTTTAAGTCCAACAAAAATGTAAGTTATACAAAATGTCAAGAATAATAAGAAATGTCAAATTAAAATTCAAAAAATCTATTAGCTTAGCTTAAAAAAAATAAAAAATAATTAAAATTAATAAAATGAAAATTTTGCTAAGATTTGATAATAAATTATATTTGGGAACACTACAATACATGTTAATTAAAAGTATTAATGTCAGTATGAATACATTTAATGTCAACTATATCCTGCTACTCAAGCATTCTAAAATTTAGAAATTGTTTAATAATAGCTATTAATTGTCTTACACCACAAATAGATCAAATTTCTCGTGATGAGCGAGCATGTCACCGATCAGACGTATTGCGCGTATTGTGGGTGCTTGCGAAGCATAAACAGTACGAGTTTCACCAAACCTGCAGCATCGCTCGAACCGAAATGATCACGCTTTCTAATACATCTGGGCAATTTATTAGTTAACAGGACTTACAAGTATGCATAAACTTGTAATAAAATATTCCTGGCTATACCAATTGTATCTGGCTGGTTTCGGTATTATTAAAAGTTGTAATTTTAAAGAAGATAACTCCGAATTCAAATTAGGAAAATGTGTGATTTTCATTTGTTTTTCTAAATCTGACACTCATTTTGACTGTAAGAAAAACAAATTCGGTACATTTCAAAATTTTATTACAAAAAAAAATGATAAAATGCAACGCACATGGCGAAAAAGAATTCATGGACCTGGTGCAGTTTCTGTGAGAGATGTGCTACTCACATAATTGGTTTAAGCGTTTTCAGTTCGAAAATTTTGATGTTGTAGCGATGAAAAGTATGGATGTATAGCTATGACTCCGAATAGAAAAGCCTTACATTCAATAATCAATTTATTGCTTACTTCACAAGGTGAATCCTTAAGCTAGTGTCCGCATCAATTATATTCAATTAACATACGAAGTTGTACAATTAATTATTTTCAATTTAAAATTATATTTCACGAGCAACCGCCGTAGTCGATAGAAAAATTAAGAGTGTATTATATATAATATATGAAAGAGTAAAAGTAATAGATACTGACTGGTCAATGAATAAAATCTATAAACTAGTGTTCTAAGAGTAAAACTGCTAATGTATATAAGTGTATATAATATGTTGGGAGAAGCCCACATCACTCCCCCCCATATGTTGGGAGAAGCTACTACAATGTCAAAGAACATGTTGCTCCGGTTGCCCTGTTACGGATAAAATGGATGTCACATTTTTTAAAAAGTGGAGCAAGATCGGCATATCAGTAGGTATGACGTAGCTGAACTGAGGATTGTCCATGAAATTGAAAAAAGCTAGCTACACAAAAAAGTTGGATATTTGGGTACCGCACGAACTTACTGAAAGAAACTTGGTGAACCACATACTCATTTGTGATTCTTTATTACGGCTTAATGAAACGGAACTATTTTTAAAGAAGCTAATAACTTGTGATAAAATGTGGATCACGTACGACAAGTATGTGCGAAAAAGGTTGTGGTCAAAGGTCTGTCAGGCTTCACAGACTGTGGCGAACCCTGGGTTAGCACGCAACAAGGTAATATTGTGTATATGGTGGGATTGGAAGGGGATTATTCATTATAAGCTGTTACCGCCAGGTAAGACCATTGATTCTCAACTCTACTGCAAACAACTGATGAGATTAAAGCAAACAGTTGAGATAAAGTGACCAGAATTAATCAATAGAAGGTGTGTAGTTATCTATCATGATAACGCTAGACCTCACACATCTTTTACCACACAGCTAAACTTAAAAGAGTTTTGCTGGGAGGTGTAAATGCATCCGCCGTATAGTCCACACATCTTCAGATTTCTACCAGTTTCGGTTTCTTCACAATTCTTTACGCAGTGTCAATTGTAAGTAATGTGTAAGTAATGTCATATATCTGTTGTTGTGCTGTAACTGTAACTGGTACAAAGCCCGCCACAGGTCAGGCTTAGCCTAGTGTGGGGGCCAGAAAAATCTTGTAAATTAATTTGAAATCTTTTTGGGAAATAAATTAATTTAATTTAATTTATTTAAATTTATTATAATTAAACATCACGCTAGGATTACTTAAACCATTTATCGTGGTTTTTTGATCCGAAGACCCAAAATTTCTATAGAAATGTGATCATGTCCTTACCTATAAGATGGCAAAAGTCATCGAACAAAATGGTATCTACATACTTTAGTTAAATGTAAATAAACATTATTAAAAAATGTTTTGACTTGTCACATAAAATGCAAAGAAACTTTTTTCCCAACTTATTATTATCATATTGATACCAAAATAAAAGAAAAATTAAACTAACTGAAAAACTTAATTATTTTATGTATAGTTGACGCTTATTTAAAAACAGAATGAGGAAGTATTAAACGAAAGCACTAAAAAACACTTCTTCTAGATGGCGACTCTAGCAAAAGTTGATTTTCGCAGGAAACGGATGGACCAAAGACTACATATTTTATTGTTTGACTATATTATTTTATTGAGTTTTGAAAACTGATTTAGTTTTAAACACGAAAAAAATACCGGAAGGGTTGTCATGGAGAAATCAATTACGTACCGCAGCGACATCTAGTTTGATTTCGGGAACTAATGTTTTTTAATACTTCCTCATTTGAAAACAGTAAACAGTAAATTTAAACAGTAAGGTTCGTAACACTGGTAAGGTAGCTTACATGTAGGGCGTTCTCTTTAAGCCACCGCTATATATTGGTCTCATTTGCACCTATTGGAGCTAATAAGCCAGTGTATGAATCTTTTCTTTCCAATATTTTGGAAAAATCGGGGGACAAAATACCCTCTGACATGTCTAGAAATCTTTTTTGGGTTATATAGATTTTTTTTGTGATAAATATAGTGATATACAATAATATTTTTAAATTAGATTGATATCTTTTAACTATTTCGAATATTTGTAATATTTTATTTTCCAGATAAATAGAGGCTCTCTTATTTTTTCATTTATAATTTTTTTCTTTTATTTTTGTTTAAAGGTCTAATTGTGCAAATTGGTTTTTGGGACATTTCGTAATTAGGTCAATATTGGTCCCCTCCATTCCGGGTTTACAGTTAGTGTTATCCTTCTTTAAAAACGATGCAAGTATTGTGTGAAACCACTGTGGCTAGTGAGTGCTTGACAGAGTATATAACTTGGCTCAATTTCTGTGATAGTTTTGTATGCTGTGCGTTGCTTCAAATAGAAGATTTGAGTTGTTCTTGCAGTTTGTGCCTCGTCATATCTTTTCTGCCAAATACTCAAAGATTTTTCTCTTAATTCGTTCTGATATATGATATGGGGCATAAGTCGAACTCTGGGGCTGTCTTTTTATGATCCGCTTCTTTGCGAGAGTGTCTGCCATTCATTACCTTCGGTTTCGACCCTTATTTTCATTAGTCAGTCATTGACTGTCATTGCTTAATAGACTTCTCAAGCTCATTCACGTTGGTCGTTAGAATCCGCATGCCAATCCTTCCGGTTTTCTTTAATTTAAAAGTAAATTAATTTTCAAAACAACACATGTTATATTTCTATTATTTCGTATTTGTATTGATATCTAAATATCAGTTTTTTAATATTTTAATTAAAATAACTATCTTTGGTCCATTCATTTCCTGGAAAAATCAACTCTTGCTAGAGTCGCCTAAGTTTCGAACTTTGCCAATTTTTTTTCTTAAAATACTTTCTTAATACAAAACGAATTAGGAAGTATTTAAAAAAAGAAAAACGTTAGATCCCGAAATCAAACTAGATGTCGCTAAGGTACGTTCTTGATTTCGCCATGACAACCTTTCCGGTTTTCTATCATGTTTAAAAGCAAATTAATTTTCAAAACTCAATAAACAACACATATTCTATTTGTACTTTTTCGTGATTGTATTGATATCTAAATTTCAAACTTTTCAAATTTCTTTTTTTTAATATTTTCATTAAAAGGAACGGAAATGACTGTCTTTGGTCCCTTCGTTTCCTGCAAAAATCAACTTTTGCTAGGGTCGCCATCTAGTGGAGGTGATTTTCAGTGCTTTCTTTTTTTTAAATACTCCTTCATTGAAACAAAAGAGTTTACTCTAAGGGCCAACCCATGTTTAACCCCAAAGAGTAGTATTATAATTTTAACCCGATAGAAAATGACATTGACATCACACGTGTAAATAAAAATAAACTTACCGCAGCGCGGCTCGCAAGTGTAATAATTGTTTTTACGACTACATTTTATATTATATCAGATTACAAATCTATGAAATGTTGATATGAAAATAATGTTTAGTAAAAATGTCTGTAAATATGATAGTAAACACAGTTCGTCATTATCTGGTTTCCCAATATATGTACACTGTAGATGAATGGCTTACTGGGTATTATAATTTCTCTTGAATCCTTGATATGATTTGAATAATTAATTTGTTTATATTAAACAATGACTTATTTTTATAACAGATGTGTAGAGTTCTTAACCGATGATAATGGTAGTAACTTTAGTGAAATAGACATTAAAAATTTGGCAAGAGAGCAATGGCTGTTGAATGATTTGAAAGACATCTGCCCTGGCTGTCTGCCTCAAAATTTGAAGGACAATAAGAGAACTATATTAAATGCAAAGTACATACTTCAAATAAATGCAGTTGTTGACATAGGTAAAAAATATAAGTTCATCATGACAACTTTATAATTGCTTTTTAATATCTTAAGTACCTGTTGAAATATCATATCATTAAAGCCTTAGCTAATAAATATCTATATTGAAAACATTAATTCTGCTATTATGTATAAATTATTTAAGTGGTTTTCAGGCACTCCAGCATATCAGCAATATTTAAAATTACAGAAAGTAAATATGGAAAATATCGAAGCAACAACTACATTTGAAGATAAGGTTTCCAGCCATAGGTATAATTTGTTTTGGTTCAGTTTATAGCTTTTATTCACTATTAGCTTCCTGTCAGCGCCTTTGCATGTGGTTCTGTATTATATATATAAACCTTCATCTTGAATGACTCTGTATATTGATAAAAACACATTTAAAATTCATTGTGTAGTTTAAAAGACAGACAGCAGGAAGTGACTTTATTTTTTACTATGTATAACTTTGATATGATCATATATTGTTACTAACATTTAATATGGTCCTGTTCCTGCTTAAAAGATTATTATTAATATTTTTTTCATGTCTGTGTCTCATATTAGTATTGCTCATGTAGTCCATCCATTAGTCCAGCATAGTAAGATTTTCAATTTCTTTCAGAATGCTAAAGTTATATCTCACTGATGGCGTACAAGAGATTTCTGGTATAGAATATAGGCCTATGAGAAATTTAAGCTGTGATATTACACCAGGCTGCAAGGTACTTATTAAAGGTATTATTATTATTATTAATTTTATTTAGCATAGTGCTTAAGTGTATTCTAGATCTGTCTGGGTTGGGACAAGATTTCATAACATGTTAATGACATAATTATATTAAGTATAAAGTAAATATAGTATCTTTTAAGAAAATTGGTGAAATAAAAGTATTTTTGTGTTGTAAAGCAAGCGAGATCAATTTCTGCCTGTAAGAAAATGGGTATGATTTATTGTTTATCTATTATTTATTTTATTTAGGGCCTGTGGAGTGTCGGAGAGGTGTGCTGCTTTTGACTGAGAGTGTGATAGAATTGCTCGGAGGGGAGGTTCAGGAAATGGCCATTACAAACTCTCTTGCTGGTCTATTGTCTACAAAACTTGGACTACCATTAGGTAAGTAATTAGCTAATAAGTTATAAAGTGGATATTAAAGATTTGCAGTTACTAATTTATACCTACTAATTTGAATTGGGCCAGGGTCATGGTCCATTCTCCTTAACCATCTGTAAGGGAGACCTGAGCCCGTTTTAAACAGGTTCATCGCGTTTGTATTTATAGATATGTGAATAAAAAATGAAATCTATTTAATTTATTATTCATCATCACAAGCCCTTTTAAATCCCCACTGCAGGGACTCAGGCTTTCCTTATGGATGGTTTAGGAGGATGGGCCATGACCCTCCGCACTGGCCCATTGCGGATTGGAGGGTATTAACGACTGCGAATGCAGCCGGGACCAATGGCTTAACGTGCCTTCCGAAGCACTCATCCCGTGCCCGACCCTTGCGAAAGTTGCTTAAGGACTACGATCGCGGGCCGCGGCGCATATCCACTACGCCACAGAGCTACAAAGTCAAATTTATATAATTTAATAATTTTGCCATAAAATTTATACTCTTAATTAAAAAGACAATCAACACCTAAGTCTTATGTGAACAGGGACCATGTAGAGGGTCCAAAACATCAATAAAACTAAATACAAATGAGATGAAACTGTTTAAAAGTTGTTTCACTTATAGATAGTGTGCATTAAAATATAAGAAATCAATTTTTCAGTTCATTTCTAACTCTATCCTCAAAGCATTTAAGTTCTCAGCATTTGCAATCCATAAGAGAATTGAAGCATCTTTGTATATACATATTCAATATGTTACTACCACTTCATATCAACATTTGAAACATTTGAGAAATTTTGTTTTTGTCACAGCACATATTGGATTACCGTCATATTTGATATTATGTGTAGGCTGCACAGATCTTTGTCCAAAGTTCATCACATTGTCTTTTGGTAATTAAGTTTAGCCAATTTGTTATTGCTGTAAGACAGGGCACTATTTCATCTTTGTTTTTACATACGATAGTGTATCATCACAAAATACTATGGTTCTTTAAGAAGATCGGTCGAGATTGGCAAATCATTAATATATATATGAGAAAGAGAGCGGTCTAAGGACACTACCCTGAGGAACAACATGTGTTACGATTCTTTGAGAACATATTAATGTTTTTTCAATCCTCGTTTTACTGCATATTTTGGTAATATATGTAATTTGTGATAGCATCCTATCAAATGCAAATGTTTTAGTCAAATCCAAATAAATAGCGTAAATAGGTTGTCTTTTGTCTATTCTATTGTAAATAGCTTCTAATATATGATATATGGTCAATTCTATAGATCCCTGTTTCCGAAATCCTTTTTATAATATATTGAATAAGTCTTTTGATTCAAAAATTTTTATGCATTAATTTTTCACACATTTTAGCAAAAACTGGAATCAAAGCGACAGGTCTATAATTTTGTATATTTAATTTACTTTCTTTTTTATTAATTGGCTAAATGATTATCGTTTACAATCTTTGGTGAAAATTCCTTTTTCTATACAAAGATTAAAAATGTAACTAATGTGCCCAGTATCATGTTTAACGACTTTAGTTGATATAGGATCATAACCGCTGTATATTTTCTTAAGATTTTTAATTATATACCTATCTCTTCAAGATCTGTTGGATTCATGAAAAATGTCTTATTACACTTAGCACTTGCACATGTCATATTTGCTTTGAATTCATATTTGTTATTATTTAAAGTTCTAGGCTGTTACAATTCTACATAATAGTCGTTAAACGCCTGTGCTATTAGTTATTAGTGTACAAACCCTAGGTTTGTGATGTGGGTATTCTTAATGCATAAATAACTTATACTTTCCTTGGGTATTGTTTGTTGCTAACGGTTTATTATATTCCACGTTGCTTTAGTTAAACTTATAATTCGCATTTATAATATAATGATCTTTTTTGGATTTCTGTACAGATGTGATATTACTATATCTTTTCGAGTATTCCTTAAAGCCGATTCAATCACTTGTATTTTTAGACAGCCTATATTTCCAAAGAAGATGACTCTTATGCTTACTACACTTTCTTATTGATAATGAAATGTAATCAACATTATCTTATATTTTTATGCGATAGTACAAAAACAACTGTACTATTTATCTATAATAAATCCAATAGCTTCATATCAATTCAAAAGTATGAAAAAAATAAACATCACTATTATCCCTTTCAGTTAAGAAATATAGAGCAAAATTTAACCATTATTTGTTTTTTTGGGCTTCACAGGATAATTACTGAGTTATTTATCGACAAAATCTTTTCATTAATTATTTACAGAATCCAACCATAACTCCACAATGACACAAAGTAGAAATCCAAATATACCAACACCACACGCACAGATGCCGTCCCGCGTTGACGAGGTTCAAACACAAGATCAATCGTCTCGCCCTGTTGCTGTAGTCACGAGCCTTCAAGTCGCTCATAGCATGCCCGACGCCGATGACGATATAGACATAGATGATATTGCGGCTATCGAAGCGGAGTACTGTAATCCAGGCAAAAGACCTCTCAACGATAATAATAGTAAACCCGACAAAAAATTAAAGACAGACATTAAAAATACTGTAAACAGAGCTGATGAGTATCCTGATGACGATGAATGCTTCTTCGGTGAAGACGAGGATTATTTACGTGAAGTTGAAGCGCAAATGGAAGCTCAGGAGAAAGGATCAACACAAAAATGTGAAGGACCAATGGTTTTATCTGCAGAACCTTATGTTTATATAAAACAGATTAATGATATGAATGAAGCAAATAAATCAGGTAGAGTTTTTAAAGTGAAAGCTCAAATAATGAAATTGCTGTCAAAGTTATCAGTTGGTAAAGATGGTTGGAGCTTGAGATGCACACTAATTGATGGCACTGGATGCATAGATGTGGATTTTACTAGTGATGTCCTCTCTAAGTTGGTTGGATTTACACCCCAAGAAATGAATCTGATGAAGAAACAAATGGCGACAGACCTTACAGTGAAAGAGAAAGCAGTCTTGGTGAGTACATTGGCATGGACGGATTTGTAGATCGGTGTGCCTTAATTTGTTTGTAATAAGATTTAAGTTACAAGGTTTATATTTTTATACATGTCTATGAGTTTACCTTTAAACTTATATAAAAAAAAAATTGTTGTGATAGCAAGGAAGTATATAATCTGAAACATTTGTATTGCTTGTATCACAAATAAGTTGAAGATTTCCAGTCGAATACATTTTTTTTTCAGGCATTACAGAAGGCGAAAGACATGTTACAAGTCTTGTATTGTATTATAGAGTTGACAATATTAGAAGTGCCAAAAATTACTTCACTGATGCCTTTTGAAGAATCGCATGTCCATTTGCTTAGTAAAAGAATGCAAGCCTGTCATGGATTATAGCATTAAAGTAAATTTTATAAAACGTTTCATTATTATTATTATATAACCCAATATACAAGTGATTTCATTTAATAAATTATCAAAATTGTACTTGGAGAGTAGCTGCATTTCGTTGCCAGTATTGTGGTCGAGAACATTCCTTCAGCAACAGAGACATGTTACATACTAACCAAAGGTTACCAAATAGTGAAGCCATAGTCTTTTACATGTGTTTTCTCAACCCATCTCTACGCGTAGTATGACGTACTCGAGAACGTTTTGTCTACACCCAAATGTTACCATTCTCGGGTGCGCCCATACGATCTCACTCTCGACACGAAAAAAGGTGACATTGACTAGTAGGATATAGACAAAGAGTTTCTCGAGTTGTCAGGCTACGCGTGCAGGTCCCTTATTTATCATCCCATTATGAAATAGGGACACATAACCGAGTAACATAGTTAAGGAGTTAAACGAGATTATATATAAAAAAATACTACTACCAAAATAAACTTATACATAGAACTCTGTATTTATAGAAAATTAAAAAACTTTAAAAAATCCTTTTTATAGGGCAAGGACAAAGTGGTGGTAGATAACTAACGTAAAATGTGTTTAGAGATCGCTGCTGGGTTGAGGCAGCGCCACATGTATATGTTCTGACTTTATTTAAATTTGAAATATTATTAGCCTAGACTTTTGGCGTGTTGAAGTTTTCCATTACTTTTATCATACAGTATCTAGATATTTTATAATTCAAGTTCATAATAATGAAATACGTATAGGTATTTAATAGCATAGGTATATAACTTCACACACGCCTAGGTTGGGCTAGTCTACGGTGTTACCAGTGCCCAAAACTTAAATGAGCTCGAACATGCCGCCCACATGATTATTTTAAATGTCTAAATTAGCAGTAATTAATAAATAGTTTAAAACAAAGTTGATTCCCGCTGCTCGAGAATTTTTTAACTACACAGTGGATATTAATTCGGTTTTAATCAATATACAGATGTACAAACCATGAAAGCTTAAAACGGTTTTTAAGCTTTCATGGTAATTTACATTAGACTTGTTTTTATCGAATTCTCGATACATATTTCGCCGCTGTTGTAAAGCGGCGTGATCACGGGGTAACTGAAGTTTCCGCGGGTCGATTTTATAGGCAGATATATCTATATACCTACCTTCTTTCTAGTCCTTTTCGACTGTCACCACTAACTCGTACCTTGGGCGCGACTGCCTAACTCATGGACGTAGCCGTAGTCGTAGCTATAACCCACGCTTTATATGTGTTTCACATGAATCTGTTGATATTGTTTTAAAATTATTCATTTTTTATTATTTACATATTTAATCAAACATTTTAGTTTGTTTTTGTATCGGGTCTGTACTGTATCGGGTCGTCAAATTACACCTTTTATCATATGGTTTTAACAAATTCTAACCACTAGATTCCCAACAGTAGACAATTTAAACACGTCCTCACGATTGAAATTCTCGTTATCATTTGAATCGCTTCCCTGACCATTTTTGGTATAGGTATAGCATAGCTCTGTATATTCGGTCGAAATAATCTGTGGCTTATGTAGCACCATCCGTGGTTAGGTCCCGAACCGATCAAATGTTCCGCGATGGCTGATTTTTATGTTTATTATCCCGGACTGCTTTGATATGTTCCTTAATTCAGCACGCTATTGTTGTTTTTGAAGCTAGCAATTAATAAATCACTCAAAATGGATATAATAAATAAACGACGACATTTTTAAAACTAAGTTTATTTTAAATACACCTTTTTCATAACGCAATATTGTGGGGTTCAATGTACAAAATTTTCATTTTATAATTATTACAATAATAAAAATATAATTAACATAAGCTAACTAACGGTAAAGTGGAACTTAGTCCAGACAAATGCAAACGTTAAGAAATAATACAACATGACGAACCTGGCAACACTGGATAAACCATATTTCAAAATAATAATAAAAAAACAGATGAAAAAGAATAGAACCACACGTAACTATTACACTGTGTAGTCACGTGGATAAATGAAACAGATTAAAAACAGTTTGTTACAATATGAACATAATCCAGTGCTGTTGATATAATTATCGTCATAAGTTACACAATAACAAAGCATAACTGAATTGAGCACTCAAAAAATGTATAATTGTTAATACATAACCATAATTTAACTATTGAAATTCAAGTAATTAGTTCATCAGAAATAAAGAGCGTCTCTCTACAAAATACACGGTTATATTCAGTATGCTCGTATGTAAAAAAATGTAAACACCATGGACACATAAATATTAAAAACTCAAAGGACATTACACATACTCGAATCGCAGCAAAGTATAAAAATCTGAGTCTTGTATCGTGTGCATTTTGGTTGAACTCCCCTAATCAATTGGTTGAATTTGAAAATCAATGGTAACAAACGCGACACAAAACTGTCATTTACTGCGTTATTTAAAAATTGTCTACGTGTTTTTACATACGAATTAAATACATGGAGAATTTGACATGCGACCAAATTACATTTGACCGATCTGAAAGTAAAAATTGCATAAAATGAAATACCCTCATCTAATTCAACAAGAGTCCGTAGCATATTAATTTAATTGTTCCGCCTCTTGTCAATCATTTCAAACAGTACAAAATATATAACACGGCCTGTAGTTTTAAAAACAAATAGATTACGTATATACACAAATGAATCGCTAGTCTTCGAATACAAAGATAAATACATTATAATTGCAATGTACACATAATTGGTAGTTAAATTATTTTTAAGAGTTATCAAAATTCATTCAATATTATCTTTGCGACGGAAACTTACCTTTTCGTTATTATAATTCAGATATATAATAACCGACTCCATAATTTGTATAGTAGTGTCACAGACTACTTACACAAATAGAAGATAATTCTTATAAAAATATAAAACGTCTGCTACAATGACGATCCCGATCGTGATTTTCTCAACGTATTTTCCATTAAACGTTAGTTTAGCTTTGGTATTGTTGATGTCAAAAATCATATCACGGTAAATAAAATTTCTAAATGTTGTTATTTATGTACTATATCAAAATTAATGGATGGTTATATTCTTCAGTTTTTTTTTCAAGTCGAGCGATACCGTGATAGATTTTCATTAACGTTACGATGTGATTTTGAACGATAAAATTACCGCGATCGGAAACCGAATCACTACGTACGATGCGCAATACGTGCATTATATTTCGGTTCAAATGAAACTTAGAACAATTAATAGACCATAATTATTTAAATATGTCACAGCGACAGTACATTGTCCATAATATAGACATAATTAAAAACGCCACATTTAGAATAAATAAATTATCAAATTTATTACACAAGATAAAAAAAAAACAAAGATTGTCGCGGTATTTATTCTACATTGCACCAAAATACTGCACTATGGATCTAAGGTTTAGGAACGTATGCGACATTTGGATTAATAATTAATAGTAATTTGTTTCGTCCGTGGGACAGGCGAGATTAATAATTAGATATTTATCTGTTTTTTTTTTTAATTCAGATAATGCTAGGCAAACGGATCAATCTGTTATTGTCCAGAGATGTCGCAAAATAGATCAGTCCGTTTCTCATTCGTTCGGCATACATACGTTTGGAGCGAACATCAATCATCAAAACAAACTAAAAAATGGTTATTAATTTGAATTGCATACATAAATGCTAGCAAGACACTATTGTCCAAACAGTAGATCAAACATTCAGAAACTTCATCTTTCTCTACTTGTAGAGGATCGGACGATTGTGCGATGCCACGAATAAATCGATTATGATTGTAAATTAAACTTAAAAAATAATCCAATAGCAAGCTCAAGCTTTGAGGGTGTCTTTATAATGATATTTAGACTTCAGAAAAAAAAGTGATTTTATTCCTAATTTTTATAATGGCTTATTAGATTTATCGACTGAAATTGATTGTTACCAAGATATTTAACGCCATATACGTATAGGGACAAAGGCAATATAACAAAACAATTTTAATCTAAGATGTTGACACCTCGATGGAAGACAATGCCATTAATTAACACCATATTCGTAAATACTTCACAAATTATTACACACAATCAACAATATAAATTAAACAAACAACTTTTTTTTACAGATATCGATGTGAATTTTACAATTAGTGCAAAGAATTTTAAAACTGATATCTCTCAGTAATTTCTCGTGTTATTATGTACACGCAACAGCGCATCAGGTTATACCATTAACGTCGTTACATGTAAGCTGATGTTCAGTTGACTGCACTATGATTTATGTAAATCATAAATGTAAATCATTGAATTATATATTTTCAGTTAATTATTTATCGGTAACATTAATAGTGTTCGCGGACGATGTTATAAAAATTATAATCGATTACGTGTAACGTTGTCAATAATGTTGCCTATTGTCAGCTGGAGCTATCAAATGCATTCAATGTAAATGTTGCAATGGAAAAAACTCTCAGGGGAAATCGTCCCTGGCGTAGAACTTCACTTCTGGTTTTTTAGGAATATTAAAGAACACGATTCACTGATTTTTGCAAAATATTCTGTAAAAATTGTCATTTGCATTGAATGGATCTCTTTCAAAGCATCATTTATAAAAAAAGTATTTAAGCGTTTACTGAAATTTACGAATATCCACGGACGTCTCGACAGTTCAGATACGGTCGCGTCCCACGGGTCTAAGAGAAACGGGCGGCGCGGGCGCGGGCAAACGATAAATATAATTAAATAAAATTCATCAAGCATCATATTCATTCACACGGGGAGACACGGGACAACGGTGAATTCCAAAATGTATGTCATTCCACGGACACGTTTCCAATTCCCTCGGGGCAACGAGAAAACTAACGAGGAGAGAGCGGAGCGATCGATCCGATCTACACACGGCGCCCCGGGGCGTCAGTCTTCCCCTGAAGCGCCGCTTCGACGCGAAACTACGATCGCCGGGCGCTTATAAAATTCGCTCGTAGAAGAGGAGGTAGGCCTGGGCGCGGAGCACCTTCTCCTCGGTGACCTCGGAGACCATGCTGTCGGACACGTAGTACCAGGTGCCGGGCGGCGGGCGCGGCGCGCACGCGGGGCCCTCGCCCGACTCGTACCCGGACAGGTCGGACTCCGAGTCGGGGGCGGGGCGCGCGTGGGCGGGCGCGGCGGCGGGGCGCGCGGCCCCCGTGTTGGCCCCCCGCGGCAGGAACCACCAGCGCGCGTCGCCGGTCCGCACGGGCGCGCGCACCTTCACGTACGCGACGTAGTGGCCGCCGTGCATGCCGCCCGAGTGCTCCACCACGCCGTACAGCGAGTAAAGCAGCTCCGTCTGCCCGCGCGACACGTTCGGCAGCTTCTTCAGCTTGTCCATCGCGCAGAACGGCGCCAGGTCGAGCACCGTCGGGAAGTCGACGTGCTTCGACATCTTCCTGAACATGCACCGCGGCCCGATCTGGAACCTCTTCAGGTGCAGGATCAGGATCGCCGGCGGGCTCGACACGAGGAACCGCTTGGTCGCGTTCGTGTACACCGTCTTGCCGCCCTTGCCGTTCAGCCGCTCGGTGCAGGTCTCGCAGCTGACCTTGTTGTTGCCGGTGAGCAGCTCGAGCGCGGTGAACTGGCTGAGGCAGGACTGCACGCTGCACTCGTCCTCGTCGCACACGTACCGCGGCGAGGCGGGGGGAGCGGTGCGCGGCAGCTGCAGGGGCGCGGGGCCCCCCGCGGGCTTGGGCCGGGGCACGGGCGGGGGCGTCGGCGGCTTCCCGGGCTCGGAGTCGTCGCCGCCGAGCCTCAGCTCCCGGTAGGAGGCGTCGAGCGCGTCGGGGGGGGCGTCGGCCGCGCTCTTCTCGAACAGGGTCCGGGAGCCGCGCACGCTGATGCCGCGCGCGACCACCTCGTTCGAGTACTCGGGCCCGAACGCCCTCCTGGACGGCGGCCGCTCGGCGTCCGCGCGGGTCCCGTTCGGCTCGAACTCCTTTTCCGGCGAGGGCTCGCCGGCGCGCGGGCTCGACAGGTCGAGGTTGATCTCGCTGGACAGCGAGCCGGGGCTGCCCGGGTCCTTGCCGTTGACGGGCGAGTCGACGTCGTCGACGGTCTCGGTGGAGTCGTGCTTGGTGGCCTCCGGGCTGGCGACGCCCGAGTCGGGGTTGGAGAGGTTCCCGAGGGCGACGAGCGGCCTGTAGTCGAGCGGGATGGCGGCGGCGGTGAACTCGGCCTCGTCCTTGTCGGCGCGCTCGGGCGTCGCGTCCGCCTTCTCCTTGTCGAGGGGCACGGGGCTGGTGCGGATGGAGTCGGAGCTGATCACCTTCTCGGAGTTGTAGCCGGACTCCATGTGGTAGGCGGCGAAGTTGGCGGCGGTGTGGGCGAGGGCCTGCGTGCCGACGGTCGCCGTGTCCTTGTGTTTGGGCGCGTCCTCCAGGTTGTCCTCCACGTCCGCGTCCGACTCCGACGAAGACTTGCCGTCCTCCTTCGCGGTGCCGTTCGCCTCCGCCGTCGAGTTCTCATCTTTCGAAGTCGAATTCCCTGCAAAGAAAATATATTATTGAACCTGGAACGGGAAACCCTCAGCACCGGTGAATAGGACGAAGCTCGGCAGTTTAGTGTTCGTCAACGACGATAAAGTTAGTATTGTCAAATGTACGTTTAGCTCATTTCTCTACACGGCACATTCACTATCAAAGCTACACATATACATTAGTACCACCTTTGTTCTTGCGGGCCGCCTTCCTCGCGGCGTTTCTCTCCTTCTTCAGCTGATGCTTTGAAGGTTTGTTCTCGTCTTGTGTATTGTACAAATTATCCTCTGAAAATATGTTGTTATATCAATTTCTGCCTGCTACGTAAAGGCTTCCACACAAATAAACAAGCAACACAATTAGTTATACATTATTATCATCATGGGTACAGTCGGCCAAGAAAGTGGTTTACCATTTTTAACAAATGGTTTCTTTTTCTAATGATTTTGTCTGCTATCTGGCAGACCATATTTTTGGCTGATTGTACAATGCGCATATTAGACAAAAAGGCAGGCAGTATAGCTAATATAAGATTACGGTATACCAAATCAAATATGTGATCTCTATTCAATATTATAAACCCTCTTTATGGACGTCGATAATGGACGCCAAATATTCCTTTATTACGTCGTCAACATTTCATTATAAATGACATGACCGGATCCTGCTCAAAGAATCATTAAAATGAACAGTAATTATCAATTTGTGAAAATTGCATTTAATATAATATATATGGTGCAGATCAAAATTCTCTAGAATATGCCACAAAATATGCAATAATAGTACATTACGATATTAGTGCGTTATGATGGTTATAACATGCGAGGCGGAATTGAGCCGAGCATGTTATAACCAATACGCACGTATATCGTACGACGTTTTTTAACACATTTACGAGGAAACAGAAAAAAAAAACATTAAATAAACTCAACTCGCTTCTTTTTCAGGTATATAATTTGTGATATTGCAAAGACATAAGCTTTAATACAATCTACAGAATGTCAATGTACATGAATGTTTTTTTTTGGGCACAGTTTTATACAAATTCCGGTCATGTTATTTGATTAAAACTACAACATTGAAAGACACTAACACATTTTAACATATCAAATATGACCAGCACGCGTAGCATGACGAACTCGAGAACGTCTTGTCTACACTCAAATGTCACTTTTCTCGGGTGCACTCATATCTCACTCTCGACCCGAGGAAGTGACATTTGGGTGTGGACAAAGCGTTTCTCGAGCTTGTCATGCTACACGTGCCGATCGAGATCATGCAAGGTACATGCAAAGACCAACATTATTCAACATCAACATTACATTCACAGGATTTTTTAATTTGACAAAGAGTACCAAATCGCAATGTCGTAACTCGTATGAATTGCCTTTTCTATCTGTCTTCGAACGAAAACAAAGAAAATTTCAAATCATTTTTACAATTTCCTAAAACATTTCGCATTTTGAAAATTAATTTTCATAGAATCTGCCCTGAGATTCTGTAAAAATCCCAAACCGAAAATTCCAATTCACTTCACAAAGCGGCATCCGCTCAACCTTGAATTTGTAATAACATTTCGTGGCATACGTGAAGTGAGTTTCGATATGACATTGGAATAGAATAGAAAATCCATCAATTTTGTTTTGTATTTTTATACAAAAAAAAATGGAATCAATAGAATTTCTACACTAATTTAGGTGAATTCGGGAATGGATCTTTCAAGAATCGCAGGACAGAATAGAACTTCAGATGTCACTTTTCATACAAGCAGTAGATATTGTTACCAAATCAGATGTGTTCCATGGGTAATCTGGCATAAAAATATACATATTTGCAAACCTTAAATTTTATACGAAAATTCATCTCTTTGAAATAACTTTAATCCTCTATTAATAGTACTAGTGAATGGCTCAGAATTTTCCATAAAGTAAAGATGTATATGTAGAAATGAGTACAATAGTTACCATTGGGCGTCTTCCTTCGGAGGAGCGCGGGCGGTTGCGGCCGACAGGCGGCGACCGGCAGCGACAGATCCAGGAAGTACTCCACGCGGTCCGACTGGTGCAAGCACTCCTGACACTCCAATGTGGACACCAGGAATCCACGAAACACCTGCATTATAAACATTACAAATATGAGACTGCAATATTGCAAACATATTATAATCCGTTATGTTATAGACTATATAGTTGATGTAATAACATAGTTTCAATTACTAGTTTCCTTTGTGAGAGACTGGAGTCTACAAAGGAACCATTAAGGCTTGAATTGCAGATCACCAGGCCCTCACATACATAAAAACCAAAATAAAGTTATAAGGAAATCTCACAATTTGTGTGTCGAGTCAATGTAAAACATCATAGACTTAATTTAATTTATACTATCATATAAATCAATTTTTCATCGAATGGTTAGATATGTTCGGTGTATATCAACAAATTAAAATGATGGCACTCTTATTATTAAACAAAACATAAAAAAGGTGAAAGTAGATAAAGAATACAAATTTCCTCTGTAAATTGGGAGAGTTTAAAACAACAAACCTGTTCAGGCCTCAGCATGGTATCAGACGCTTGTTGTCCATAGAACTTCACCTTCTGCTTCAATTCACCGTCCACCTTGGCCGGGTCCACCTTAGAGCTCATACCTAAACTACTCAAAATCACTGATTGATAACGGCGAAGATCCTCCGACCTAAAAATGGACCATGTAGTTTAAATATTTTGTCTATAATATGAAAGGTAAACCTGACCAACTTATATATTAACACATAGCTTAAACTACTGTACTCAGAAACTTGAACTTGGTACATGGGTTCCTATCATGATAGAAGTGAGCACCGAGAAATTATTTTAAGAAATTCGATCTCTAAGAGGGTGAAATAGGAGGTTGGAGTTCATTTTCTCATTTTAACTTAGAAATATGAAAACTAGAACTTCTTGTACAATAGGCTGAATTGGAAAATTTCTATGAATGCCCTTAATAAATGGTCATGTCATAAAAAACTTAAGGAGTACCTTATGACACTTTCGTACGCGGATACAGAATTATTGTTTCAAGTAATGCAATAAATAAATCACAATTGAATGTTTAATACCTAGTATATATCTATCTGGATAAAATACCTAGATGTTCCTTTACAAATTTTCAGTTTCTTGATTTTGTATCTCGTTTATTGTTAATGTGTTGTGCTTGTTCACTTGAGAGTTGTATAGTAATAAATTGTAACATATTATCTAATTCATTTGGGGTGGGGCCTGGTGACCTGTAATACGGGGTTGAACCTACACAGGCACCAGTCTCCCACAAATGACTCTTAATAGAATAATCTTATTGTACATCCTTTTGTAATGTTATTTGTGGTGGAAATAAATAAATATATTATATTATAGACCACAAGATGAAGCCGCTGGCAGAGGGCTAGTTACAGTATAACTTTATGAAAATATTTCTTTTGAAGTGATATAGAGATGTATACCTGACTGCCTCCAGCAAATGTCTGAGGAGTTCGTGGGCATCATGTTGGTCACCCCCACCAAATTGAGGCAGCTTGTTCACAAGAAACATAAGGAGCTTTCTTGGTGTGTACACTCCACCTTCACCTAAAATAATGATATTCACATTAAGGATAAACTGGATTTTTTAAAGTATTTTTAATTAAGAATATTTTTTAGTATAGCATAGTGAAAGCAAAATTGATGAAATATAATGTTATATAGCCATATATATGCATTTTATTTTGGTATGCTATCTATTGGTCATTGTTATTGTAATATAATTTTCGAGTATATGTATTTATAGCAACAACAACTCAAAAATTTGAGCGAGTTTTGACTTAGTACAATGTTCAAATACTTGGTGATCATACGCGTCTATCCAACATAACTGATTCAGTAAAGGTTCGGGGATAAGCCGCTAGATAACTTTAGCTTTCTTTTGTTGAATCAACAGTGGTCGCACTCCTGCCACGTAAACAAATGTATTGTCAGACTTCCAAATTAGTTTTTTGAGTTGTCTTAGTTTAGATCTAGGTGTGCGATATATATCCTTACAAATATACTTTTTATTTGATACCCTTCATGGAATTATTGAATAATATATTTGAAAGTAAACTTTTAATGTGCTCCCTAAGAGTGTGCCATTGCCAATTTAATGTAACATCAAATAGCCTATAGCATGCAGACAACTTAGATCCTTCTAATTATACCTCATTTGTCCAGTTACTATAAGTAGTTTAGAAGTTATAAGGGAACAGAAGAACATTCATATATACCAGCCAAAATCATAATATAGTTCATATATACCAGCCAAAATCATAATCGTTTCATACAAAAAAAAAATTTTTTTGATTTTTGTCATAAATGTAAGAAAAGGAAAAAATGGTTTTTAAATATTTTTAAAAGAATATTATTTTTGATTATTGTAACTATATGAGACTATTATTAAAGTAATGAAAATATTAACAGAGAAGATAATGATAAATAGCCTAGAGCATACATCAATTTCAATCTCATAATGAGTTGATATATTACAATGCATAATTTTAATTCATAAGCAATAAGTAGTTTGCAAATAATCTTGTCAATTCATTAAAAAAGGGTTGTTTAAGATCAAACAGTTAATATACCTATGTAAAAAGTTCATTTGCTTTGTTTGTGTGAGAATTACTAATTTACTATATGAACATCAGCATTCAATAAACTATAGGTTAATATACATTATTGTCTAAAATGTCCCTAAATTAGATACTGGTACATATCCAATTTAGAGACATTCAATCAAAAAATAACATTATCCTTAATAATCATACTCAGAATATGTTCCTGGAAATTTCAGAGCAAGCTTTTCATGGACCAAAATGAAAGTAGGTCATTCCAAATTAAGCTTTGTAAATGGGTCGACCACTCATCTTACAAGATTTCAATGATTAGTATAAAACTGTTTATTGTATAATAAAAATAGAATTCATTCCATGTGGGTACAACAAATCAAAAGCCCTTGAACTTTCATGCAAATGTAGGATATATTACTGCTATAGTACAACACATAATTGTTTAATAGCAGTAACTACCAATATATGTAATTAGAAATCAGTCAGTCCTTGTATCTAATCATTTCTATTTAGAATTAATTAAGGTACAGCAGTTATCAGCAATCATACTTTATCATAAATCCTTACCTGATTGTAACTCTGTTAAAGTTTCTGCTAATGTTTTTGTAAGAGTCCCCCATTCAGCTAATTGTCCAGAAATTGGGGGGAGATCAATTTCCTTTACTTCGTCACCATCTGTCTTTAGCTTTAAGTTTCCACCTGGTAACGTGAACTTTTCCCCGGGTGTTGACATTTCTTGTAATACTTGCAGAAGATAAGGTGTTTGGGCTAAGCATTGCATCACAGAATTGAAAAAACATGTGTTTCCTAAATTTGATAGCCCTCTAACTCTTGGTAAACTTAAAGCAGACGCTTTTTCTTTACCTTTATCTGTTTTATTAATTAAAGAGTCTACTGGCAGTACAAGGTCCATTTTCAATTTATTTTCATATGGTAATTCTATAGGAGGCAAGGGTTTAGGACTTACAGCACTCATTGCTTGCTTCTTTAGGTATTCTATGCATTCATGAAGTTTTTTAGAACTAGAGGCGGTGACTTCATTATTACAATTGTAGCAATAAATTTCCCAGGTTGTAGTGTTGGTAGTGAGAGCATGGCAGTCAGAGTGAGGAGTATTGAAATGATTTAGTGCGTGCTTGTTACGTGCTCGACCACAGAGCTGAGTTCCACATCGAAGACACATCCACAGCGTGAGGTCTTCTTCAAAATCAGGGTCAGACACCTCATTTTTGGCATTTTTTTTACACTCTGAACATTCTTTTTCAAATCCTCCCGTTTTTAGGGATTTTTTTAGACGTGTTAGATCTACAGCCTTAGCAACGTGAGGACATGCGGATTTGACGTTTTCATCGCAAGATTCGGTGGATTCGTCTCCGTTTTCGCCTGGATCACTTTGTCTCTTTTTCTTAACCATTGTTGCGCCAACTCAGGAAACTACCTGTAATACGTAACGAGAGATGTGGTAATAATAACTTCACGAACATAAAAAGACAAAAATGACAAATTGTGTCGATAGCCATTGCACGCGTGACACTGCACATTCATCAATAACAGATTATTGAATTAGTCACAATATGGCAAAGTATAAGTTATAGACAACCTATTTACTTACGATTACATGCAATCTGAAGGAAATAATATTAAATCAGGAAGAACAAAGAAAAACTTATTTTTCTGAAATTTTGTCAGAAAAGAAAACCATGGCCGTCAGACATATTAACAAACAATGTTACCATAAAAAAAATGAATTAAATAATGGTTTAAATGTCTTTTACACTTTCGGATCCAATAGGGATCCAATAAGAAAAGTCAGTCATTCCAAATATCAATATCTATGGTACGGTGTCTACCTTTGACGTTTGATAGGGTCGCCATCTAGCGGGTAGTGGATTATTTAAAATTTTGAAACGTCAACATGATTGTGATGGAATCTGTTAATCAATTTGTAAATTTCCATTAATATCTTCGTATTTAATTGTATATCAATATTTATTTAACAAGCGAATTAAACTTCCGATTGTGAAGCGTGGTTAGGTGTATCGTAACATGAAGTTTGTGGCTAAACCTTTATAAAATCACTGTGTTTATTCTGCAGTGTAGATGTGTTCACCTGTAGTTAGGAAAATTTAGAAAAATGTCACTCCCTGGGAATGGAATATTCGTTGTGCAGGGTGAAATGGCGATGCTCGTTACATCGATGCGGCGGAGCACTCGCTGGGGATCTCACTCTTTCCCCAATGAAGAGTATGATGTGTTGATGAAAACATTCCAAGACTTAAAGACAATCCTCAATCAAGTCGATGATTTGAAGCTCTTAGATCCAGCAACATACCTCAGTCCATTTTTAGAGGTCATTAGAAGCAAGGAAACTACGGGGCCCGTTACTAGTTTAGCATTGTCAGCAATACATAAGTTTTTGTCTTATGGATTAATAGGTTAGTTTTCCAACTGGATTATCAATGTTATAGTTATTTAAAGATGAAAAGATGATGCAGTAATTGAGATTGGTTACTATAAGAAAGTTATGATAAACATTGTCATTTTATATGTTTTGTTATATTAAAAACAAATATAGGTTAGATTAGAAGATTAATTCTAGTAAAAATCATATAAATATAATTAAATATTAATATTTTTAAAAAGCTCTCAAGGTCACAAATTTTATATTATCTTTAATTAAAAAAGTATTTTATAAGATTTTTACATTTTAATTTCTTATTGGAGAACAATTTGTACCAGATTTATGTATTCCTATGTTTCTCTTGTTTTTATATTCAAACAGTACTTATTTGTCAATGCACTATTATTTATAGACCCCACTCATCCTAGCGTGCCTGTGATTGTTGAAGACATAGCAGATGCAGTTACACATGCTCGTTTTGTTGGCACTGACCATTCCTCTGATGGAGTAGTGCTAATGAAGATATTGCAAGTAAGTTTCATTCATAAATATATATTTATAAATATGATGTTTTACTGATATGAAACCTGTCAAGTTCAATTTTGTTATTAAAGGTTCTTCATACTCTTATGCTCAGTCCTGAAGGAGCAATGTTGACGGATGAAAGCGTTTGTGAAATTATGCTTAGCTGTTTCCGCATCTGTTTTGAAACAAGACTTACAGGTAAGTTGAATATGAATGATTTAGTTGATTGATGTAATTACTATCACTGAGATACTCATCATGAAATAATACCGTTCCAAGAGTACACACACTTTACAGGTTCTGTGTTCACATAAGTGTTTGTATTGTATGAGTACACAGAACCTGTAAAGGTTTAGAACAATGAGCTCAAAATGAAGACATTGGTGATGGGTAGTTCACACATAAATTTTTTTTTCTTTATTTTGAGCTCATTGTTCGAAATAACAACTGTGGTGTCAGGCTTGGTGGTGCTTGAAACAATTTTGTGTAAGTCTACCATGATTATATCAATTTGTTAAACTGGTGCTGTCTTTTCACTTACTATCGTAAAATATTAGCCCTTATTTTCATAGAGTTACTTCGTCGTAATGCTGAGCAATGCCTGCGAGACATGACACAGCTGATATTTATGAGGTTGCCACAATTCCCCCCAGAAGACACTTCTGTTGCTACATTTTCCACTGTTGAGTTATCATTGAAGAAGAGAGACAAATCAAATAAGAAGAAAAGTTTGACTGGTGTTAACAGTAAGTATTAGTGATTTGTTTTTAAATGTTTAACTAGCATTGTAGTTATTGCAGATAGCACCAAGCTTGAAGAGGTAAACACATCACTCTAGTTTTTGACTGTTTTTAAGTTAAAATATAAAACACTAGGTTTGCCTGATAACAGTACATTTATCCCTATGGAACTGTCTTATGAGATAAAAAGTAGCCTATATATTAATTCAGGCTTACAATTATCCATATACCAAATTTCATCAAAATATATTCATTAGTTTATACATGAAGGAGTTACAACCATACATGGTACATCTATCCTCATAAACTTGCGCAATTAATATTAGTAGGATATTATAATATTATTTTTATTTTCCATGCATTTTTACTACTAATTACTAGATGGCGCTGTACATTTCTGAATCGCGGTATGATTGTTGGTTAGCAGCTTATATATAATTAATGACTAGTAATGAGTTATCAAAAAAGGGTGTTTGCCGCTTCGATGGCACACGTACCGGCAACGGCGCGTGGGGTATGGTTATCAAGACATACTCAACACATAATTTTTTGCTCAGAGAAGCAGTTGGCTACCTCATGTACCGGCGCTTCCTCTGCGATTATCTACCGAATGGAAATAAGTCAGTCTGTGTTTTTAGTGTTGACTGACTGATAGACATGTGCGTTTTCAATATTTCATGATAGCCGATATGTAACCGTTATGAAGTTTTCATATCGGATATGAAAACCGATATCACATATCGATATGCTAATTGTATGGTTTTATCAGAAAGAACGGTTATTCGGTTTATGCAGCTACGGCTGATATCAATATTGCATAGATGTAGCGGTTTGCTAACCAAGAACGGATATACAGTAATTATATATATAAACTATATGTATATCTGAGAGTTTGCAATGACTTATTATGTGGCGATTTCCCTTCATGCTTTGCTAGGCTTAGGACTATCAGAAAAGCTTTGTTTAACCATAAACTATTTAAAATAATACAATATTACTCGAATAAAAATATTGAATGAGGAGTTTTGGAAGTTATTAATTCCATTTTCGCTTAAAGAAGCTTTTCTGGCGCATTTAAAAATCGAGCTTAATTCCTCTTTGCAATGAGTAACCCTTGCGAATAGTAATAACCCCGCGAAATATCTTCCAAACATAATGAATACAAGATATATTGACTCTTATTGCTAGCAATTATGGTCGGAAATCGCCTATTTACACATCATACTATCTGAATAACCGCGTCATCTCTTTTACTCTAATATAAGGGTATCGACTAAGAAAGAGAAAAAGTGAATATCAATTGAACGCTGTTACGTTTGGTTATGAATACGAGTAGTTGCGCCGATATGAGTTTCGTTTCGTTGTTTAGTTCATTATAGTTTTTCGATATACCGTTTTGCTACGCATTTTAAGTTTTGATTTGATAATATAGTTTTCTAAGAACGGTTACGCAAAATCTGATATCGATACGATATGATATCTAACCGTTAGCCGATATAAGATACGTTTTGATATATTGGTCCCATGTCTACTGACTGAACTAAACGTTCGTCAACTAATTAATCGTTAATTAAACTAGTTTACGAATCATTGATTTTAGTTATAAACTATCTCAACGCATGAAACCGTTAGACGTTTGTCCATTGCATAAATTTTTTATTTGCATTAGTTGAATCCATGCGACGATATATCGTAAGATGAAGTTTTTAGCGTTGTGTAACTCACTCTTTTTTAATGAGGATGAGTGAGGGAGGACTCATTTTCCCTCGTGAGGGTGAGGATAGGTAATGTTACAGTAGCAGGCGCGCGCAACGTTGCCGTTTGGTACAAAATGAAGGAGGGAGTCGGTAATGCTAAACAAAACATATTTTGTCTTTAGATTCTAAGAAATAAACTTTATTAGATTATTATTTAACAGAATGACCACAACACGCAACTTATTTTTATTAGTGTCTAATGTTCCATTTTTAAAATCAATTAATCATTTATTTTTCGAATAGAATAATAATCATTAAATAATCGATTTTAAAAAAGGAACAACGGAATATATTTCTAAATAAAACCGGTACATTTTTATTAAATTTGGTTCTTACTTAGACTAATTAAAATCATTTATCTATAAAAAATTAAATAGGTATTTGCGAAGAAACACAGAAACAAACATGAATCGTACCAAAAATCTCATAAAACTTAACCCGTTCCCTTAATCTTGAATATATTGAGTAAGTACAGAGTCGCCTTTTCATGCTAAACAACTTGCTATTCCGTTGCGTGAGGTGTAATATCTGTGCTCGCGCCTCGTGCTTGAAGCCTCAACAAGTGAGAAGCTAAATGAGGTGGTTCAAAATTGAAAAACGAGTGCTCCCTCATTTTGTCGAAATGAGGACCTCAAACGAGGCACTTCGCGAGTGAGGGGCTCATCACTAGAAGTTTTACCTATATCTTTTGCCAAATTTCAACTGTACGTAAATGTGATGATGCTATGTCCACGAAGGATTATTATGTTATAGTTTTATTTCCAATAGTATATTTGTGGTTATGTTTAATGATCTTCACGGTTTCCTTCGTTTCGAATTGCAAGAGATAAAGCTAGCTTTTTTTTTATTATTAATCAATAAAAATATTTTGAGTGATATGTTTCGTTTACACAGACTGACGATGTTACTTCCACTGGTTTGCTTATCAATAATACCACAATAAAGAAGTTTATATCTTTATCGCAGTAGTATTGTGACCGGTTCCTATGGTGTTATCATTCAATCTAATATTTTTTTATTGTTGTTATATTTATTTTTATTACATACTTATATACACTGAACCGTTGACCTGACTTTCCACTGACAAAAATCAAAATCGAATTATAAATAGATTTAATGAAATCATTAGGAGAGCATCCACCAAAAATAACTTAATTTGTTTGAAGTACCTATCAAGTTCAATCTCATTCCATGTTACAAAAACAAGATGACCGAGATTATAAACTCTATGAAATCATTAAAAATCTACAAAGGGACATAAGCAATATTAATAAAAGTAGGTACATTTTGGAAACTGAAATAGTACAAGTGAAAGCACAAATACTTAGACCAAAACTCTCAAAGACTACTAATGCTCAAGCACCAAATAATCATCGATTGATCGACTGGAGTCGTCTCAAAGACAACGTTAGCTGGAAAAATGTGAAGCAAACTTCAAACAACTTTACATTATAAAACCAGCCATGGGGGGATCTCTAGAATCTCTCTCTCTCTAGCCCTCACTCTGTATTGACTAGACGAATACGAGTATGAATCGCATGATAGGATAATAAACGTGTTTTATAAAATTTACAGTAAAGACCCTACAGGATATATAGAAGATATGGCTCGTATTGGCCAATGCGGGTATCGCAGACCCCTCAAAATATAACTATTTAAGTAAGCAAATGGCGAAGTTAATGATTTCCCTTGTTTAAGAATTCTGTTTTTTTGTTGTCGGAATATCCCGATGAAAAAGAAAAAGTACTACAGAAACTACAGGGTAGAAAACAAAAACGTCACCAATATAAAAATAACACTTTCATAATCACATCATAGTAAATTGAATTTAGAATACACGTGTACTAAGTTTGTGAATTTAAAAGCATTAAACCGATTCACTTCTACCTCCATGGTGTCGAATCTATCATACAATTTTTTTTAAATTGTTAAAATCTCAGACTCCGAACCTTCTTGAAATACTTATGATAATGTAGTAGTTAATATCTAAACAGAAATAAAAATACCTTGTGATTGTAAATGTTTTCTTTCCATTTAGACATTTCCTCGCTGAGGTGGAATGAAAAGTTACGTGCAAAGATTTTTTACCTCATGCTCTTTGATTCCCTCGGTTACGTTCAGGATTCTAATTTTAGAATCCTTTGCTTGCTCGTTCATGAGCACGCGCATGAGTTGCTTAAAAAGCAACTTTCCACTCTAATATTTTATTATAAAGCAACTTTTACAGTTCTGTGACTGGGCTACGACTGGTATTTATGAAAGTAAAAACAAACTTTATCAATTACATATATGATTTAAGAAAATTTAACCACGGTCAAAACTTCATTGATTCTTCATTCGTGAAGAACTATTCGAAGGTATTCAAAAAGGTGTCTTCATCAGCAAAATCAAAGTAAAGAGAAAATAAAGAATTCCATAAACAGTATCAAGACAACTTATAATGTAATAAACCATGAAACCGGTAAGGAACGATGTACGTGAAGATATTCTGACCAGTGATGGAAAAATGCTAGGGCGTTTTGGGTGAATTGGGTTTTTCCGATAAGCGCCCATAATTTTTTTAACAAGGTTTAATTGAAAATTAAACGAAAGATCAACTAATTGACTTATTTGTGTTTTGTTGTCATACAAAACACAATACAAATAAACAATAAAAAAATCATAACTCTCCTTTTCGCTTCGTCGTAATCTGGTAAATATGGTTCGAAAAAGTTAATAAGAACTTATAAATTTAAAGACATAAAAGTAGGCGGGTATATAGTAGTATATCAGGTCCAATTACTTGAAAAAAATCTAAAATCGCCTGTATCTTTTGAACGACCCGACGTGATGTCGTCTGTACACTAATAATATAATGTTATAACTACGGAATACTTCAGTAAATAAAATAAATTGATTTAATTCTTTTTTTATATTTAGTATTTTGAAATTATTGTTTTAGGTAATTCGTTGGAAAGAAAATCGCCGACATTGGACCCAAACGTATCAGAGAATGACACAATCAAAGCTGAAGCCGCTCTAAGGCATAGGTATGAAAATGAAAAAGCTCAATAAATATTTGATACATGTCATTAATGTTCATAATTAATTATTGTCAGAAAATGACAATAAGGATAGATAGTTCAAACGAACCATGAACAATATCCATACTTATTATATTCTACATTACACACTGTTTTACTTGTACTAACATGATATCCCCTGTCCAACGCAAGTCCTTAATAATTATACCGTTTGTTGTCGATGTAACAGCCAGTATTTGTTATATCATTATACATGAAGTATCGGTACTAGGTTTCATATTTGGTATGTGTCCTGAGTCTTAATGCTAATTTGGGAAGAGTGATTTTGTTATCATCTAAAGTTCATAATCATACTCACAATTTCTTTTATTGAATTTGGTAGATGCAAATTTTTTCAATTGCTTCTTTTCTACAATTTTTAGCTCTGTATACATACTAAAAGAAATTTAAATGCGTAAAAGCCCAATTAGGGCTTCTAATCTCGGAATATCGAGATATCGATATGCATCATCTTTTTTCAAATCCTGTGTTGCGGGATTACGGACTCGGGATCCGCTCCATTAGTGGGACTAGAAAGAAATATGCGCACGATATCTCGCTAGCGCGATCGATCGGTGTCGGATGGAAAAAATGCCCAAACTGTGTGATTTTCAGTTGGAAATAACATTTTCATATAGATCTAGTAGCCGGAAAAGGTTTATATTTCAATTTAGTAGTAACTTACGATCCCCGCGAACTCTGTACGGAGCAGATTTGGAATTTCAAAATTAATAAGTGATAAATCACTATTGTCACTGATTTTTGAGTCTTTTATAATTATTATTTTGTTGATAAAATATAATATTTTAATACTTATTATTCTATTCCCGATGTAGACAAATCCCAAGAACACAAATATCATAAAAATCAGTCTTGCCGTTCTCGAGTTAAACGGTGTAACTAATGCGACTTTTTTTAAAGATATATTTTGTAGTTAAAAGGTTTGTGAACATAAGCTGCGAGATTAGAAGCCGTATGCCAAGTTCATTTTGTATTGAATAACTAACTTAAATTACAAATAATCATTTTACATGCATCAGCCAAGACAAGAATTTGATCAATGAAGCAGAGATAACAATAGAACCAGTGGAATCTCCCAAGAGTCCAGTCAAGAAGCATGGTCGTCATTCCTCTATGGATTTAGCAGCCGGGAACCAGTCTATCACACAATTGTTAGAGAAATGTGTGGGCAACACCGAAGTGCAGACAGATGCCCCCGCTGAACCACAGGCTGATGAACAAGAGAACAGGGTGGAAGTCAATGAAGATAAAGATGGTGAGTACATTTCTTTAATTTTCCTACATTACTCATTAGTTCTCTTTACTAAACATATGTTGTGTTAATAAAGCCATACATTATATACTTTATATACTATTTCTAATATATTGTATGAGTAGATTCTGAAACGATACTCTTTGTGTTGTTAGATTCTATCAAACAAATCATGTCTAATCTGATTCTGGTGCAAAAAATTAAGGATTAAATAGTGTTGAAAGTTTTAAAATTTTTAATTTGGTAGTAATGTTGTGTGGTGCTATATTATATTTCTAATTGATATTTCTAATTGAAAGGTTTTGTAACCGAAGAAGCACCAGATACGGAGCCACTAACCGCGGAGAGTGGTAGAGTGGAGGAGTATGTGAATCCGCGCGGCATTAGGTTCACACCCCACCATCGCCACCAAGCTCCGCAACCTTACGGCATCGTTTGCGTCAGGGAATTGTTCAGGTCTGTTCTAATTCTGTTCAAAAACACTAACGTACACAAATAATGAAATTAAAATATCTATTCAAGTAAGCTTGTTACAAGCACTTTTGAATCGTCCAAAATTTTTTTTTCCCTTACCACTTGTTCAGGACGTCTTTATCTGACAAGAATAACAAGCGAAAGAAACTTACCAGCTCTTTATCATAAGTAATGACATTAACAAAATCATGTCATTACCAAAATAATATGTATTATCTCAATAATTAACACAGCTTTAACAAGTCTAGATCATAGTTTGTACATATAATTAATCGTTAAAGAACAAAGCGAAGGCTATTAATTCCATGCATTGTGGTCCTTAAAATAATCATAAACTTTATAATAGCCTTTACTTATAAGTTCATTATTAATTATTTTTGTGAAGGAATCGTAATTTATTCTTGCCTACATAATATTTTCATAGATGTATTGAGAGGCAACAGTCAAAATATTTATTTCTTTAAATATTTCTCTGAGAGATTCCCTAGACCGTAAATTATATATCGCTCGGACAGCTCTCTTTTGTAGAACAAAAATATCCTGAATGCTAGCCGCAGAACCCTACAACAATAGACCATACGTCATTATACTATGAAAATAACTAAAATATACCAATCTTGCCGTTTAAACATTTGTCAAGAGTCTAACTATCAATATGGGGATCCCATTGCAGTCGGGAATCTAGTGTAATACCAAGGAACTTTGTAGATTCTACCAATTCAACTTTTTCACTATTTACATTTATAAGTGTACTAACATGCCTTACATTTCGTAATAAAAACTTTATGCATTTCGTTTTATTTGAATTAAGATTTAAATTATTATTATCAAACCACTGTAGAACTGTGTCTAGAGCATTATTTACATCGTCAAAACAATCATTACCTCTCTTAACTTTAAACACTAAAGAGGTGTCATCAGCAAATAATACTGTCTCGCACAAATTCTTAGTAAAGTGAGGAAGATCATTAATATAAATTAGAAAAAGCAATGGTCCTAATATCGATCCCTGAGGTACACCCATAGTAATGGGTGCCCCTGTAGATTTCGCTTCATTAATTACTACTTTTTGAATTCTAGCAGAAAGATATGATAATATTAGATTTAGTGAATATTAAATAACACCGATAGGTTCCTGATATCTCTGTGCAATCCGCTGGAGGGTCAGAACACGTCGGGCATGGTCCAGCTGGGGCTGTCGCTGGTGGGCACCGCCCTGGAAGTGGCAGCGGACCAGCTGGCCACCTGCCCCGCGCTCTACCACCTCGTGCGCGACCCCCTCTGCAGGAACCTCGTCAGCGTGAGTACTGCACTGACTACTGTATATACTGCCTAGATTATATGCAGTTTTTTACATGCAAGTGTTAGGTGATTAATATAAGTAATGAAAGTATTAAATAATGCTGTAAATATTTTTGAAAGCCTTTTGCTAATTTTATGTACGGTTTTCAATTTAATGTTTATATAGGAAAATTAATTAAATAAAAAAGTCTGAATAATAATAATATATGTTTATTATTCTTCTAGTTGTTGAACACAGAAAGGATATCTATATTCGCGTTGGACCTTCAAATATCGTTCCTGCTATTCGAAGCGCAACGTTTCCACCTGAAATTCCAAATGGAAGCATTTTTCAAGAAGCTAATAGAGATCATATCGACAGACACGACCAAAGCTATATACGAACTGAAGGAAATACATCATTTAACCCTAGAGAGTTTAGCACAAATGTTTAGGATACCTGGCTTATGTACAGAGCTATATCTGAATTACGATTGCGATATTTATTGTACGAATATCTTTGAGGAACTAACGAAGCTTCTGTCTAAAAATGTCGTGTCTTCCACTGCTTATAATATCCACACACTGTCTCTGGAAGCTTTGATGACTATCATAGACGCTATAGAATTAGGTACGCAACCGGAGAAAGTGAGAGATACTAAGAGCGAGACGGACGTAGCTGTTGTGGAGGAACAGAACCAGATGACGTACGATAGGGGAGGTCACGTGTCCTTGGAGCTGGGCGGGATGGATGACGCGTCCGTAGTCAGTGATCACGTGACGCATGACATAAGTCAGTATATAGGTGGAAGGACTGGGCGACATAAACCCTCGCCCAATTTGCCGTCAGAAGCAGAGCTGGACAACATTAGGAATATGAAAAAGGTGAATTTACGATATAGATTATTGTATTAATTGATATTATAACACATTGCGTTTACGGAAACTTCCACACACCAGCCCTTTTACGTCCCCACTGCAGGGGTTCAGGCCTTCCTTATGGATGGTTAAGGAGGATGGGCCATGACCCTCCACGCTGGCCCAATGCGGATTGGAGGGTATTGACGACTGCAAATGCAGCCGGGACCAACGGCTTAACGTGCCTTCCGAAGCACGGAGTAGCTCGAGATAATAACTTCCATTTGCCTAATATTATATTATTTATATATTATATTTATTTTCATATATTTATATTAAGACTAAACTACATCCTTGAATTATTTTTTTGCGACTGTTTTTTTTTGCAGTTTAGTTGAAACTGTTAATTGCAACAAAAAAATTAAACCACGGTCATCTTTTTTTATACAAATCAATATAGACTATAGACTTTATTTCGTTATATTTGTGTTGAGTTTTATTTGTTGCCTAAAAAGTTCAGTGGAGAGCAAAATTGATAAATATTTTTTTATTTTGATAATCTAAGTGAACCAAACGTTTTTTAAATTTCTTATATCCAATCTCATCATTAATACAACATTTTCTTGATACAATATGTATAGGTGATGTATGAAATTAAATTTTCAGTGGGTGACGCAAGGTACAGAGTTGTTCAATCAGAAACCCGAGCGTGGCATAGAGTTCCTACAAGAGCACGGTGTGCTCAAAACTCCTTTAGATCCATATCAAGTCGCTATGTTCCTTAGAGAAAACCCAGATTTGGATAAGAAAATGATTGGTGAGTGATGGATGAGTGATCGCAAACGATTACTAATTAACTGCAACAGCTTTCTTGTTTTGAATTACCATACCAGAATATGAGCATAGAAAAAAAGAATAGTATGCCATTTCGAGCAAACATGTAGGGCTGATGATGTATGATGATGATGATGATATAGGAACCCTAAACATGTAGGGCTGTTGGTTATAGGTTCTTCAATCGTCAGAAATGCATAAACCATCTCTATAGAAAACAACTTAGGGTAACCATCAGGGATCTACAATACAACGTTTATTAACTATTTCTAAAGTAAAAAAAAAAACTGAATATTTTAATTTTTTACATGTAGCAAATAATTGCTATTGAGACCGCCATAAATACTACAATATTTTTTATTCGAATTCAAAGCCATTTTACACGTACAAATTATAGCGAGTGGCAACGTAGTATGCGCGGCCACGGCGTACTAGCCACAACTGGCGAGTTGCCACTCGTACCTTGAACACCTTTCACATTGATAAACGACGCGTACGAATTTGCCCGCTCATATACAAACCATTTTTAGTGCGTATGTATGAAGGAAACTTACTCTTTGTACTCTGGTACGAGCCATTTGGCTACGGAGATCGTTTTCTGGTTTCAAGGTGCCTAATAATAAAATTACATTAATAAAAAACATTTCCTATAAATTATAAATATTCGCGACAGGCGATTACATCTGTAAACGTTCGAGTCGCGATGAGGAGGGTGAAGGTCCCAGCGTTCTGGGCGCGTTTGCCGAAAGCTTCGACTACGCGGGACTCCGAATCGACCAGGCGCTGCGGCTCTATCTGGAGACTTTCCGTCTGCCCGGGGAGGCTCCGCTTATATTCCTAGTTATGGAGCGATTCGCGGAACGGTGGCACGTAAGTCTGCATGTCCGATTTCATGAGGCCTACCGTCCTTTTACTCACTAGATGGCGGGACAGTCGCGTCTTACCGTAGTTTGTTAACTACGAGCGTGAACTTAAATCGTATATAAATAAAACTATTTATTAAAAGTATCGAAAATTCCCATTCATTATACATGAATTGAATCAACTGTTTGTTCTTGATTTCGCTCTACACTAACGCCTCTACGGGGAGCTCATTGAAAAGAACAAAAATTAAATTATTTTCGTGGGTTTTCTTTTCCGCCCTTCTTACGCTTGCGTGAGCAGAGAGAGACAGGTGGTTATCATGATCTTTCTCTTACTAGGCAAGTAATGTCTCGAGGTTGGCTAAAAACTAATATAATAAATAGTATAAAATCTAATTTGATAATTGCGAAAGTTTAGTTTTGATATAATTAATTTTTAATTTCAATAAGATTGAGAATTTTTGAACTAGCGGTCGTGCAATGTAATCTGAAGATTCTATATGATATACAATGTTGCACGTGTAACAGACGACGAACGGCGAACCGTTCGCGAACACGGACGCGGCGTTTCGTCTCGCGTACGCGGTGATCATGCTGAATATGGACCAGCACAACCACAACGCCAAGAAGTTGAACGTACCCATGACCGTCGATGACTTCGTGAGGAACCTGAGAGGATGCAACGGCTCCGGGGACTTCGATCAGGCGATGCTCGAGGCCATCTACCATTCTATCAAGTGAGAGTTCTATTCGTTTCAAACATAAAGCTGCATTATCATTACGAGTTGGATTAGGAACCGTTGTTAAAAATTATGGTTTTTCGCTAATAGTTGTTTGTTTAGGGTTAGTCGCAAGCGGCTCTGCGATTCTATAAAAATCCAGATCCGAATTCGAATTCATTTATGTGTCCGAGTTCACGTCATTTATTGTAGAAATTCTATTGACTCCTATTTTTTTTGTATAATAATACAAAATAAATTTATTGAATACACGTGTGCCAGATATTCTATTCGTGTCATTCCGAAACTCACTTCACTTATGCCATGAAACGTTATTACTAATTCAAGGTTGAGCGGATGCTGCTTTTTGAAGTGAATTCGGACACCTGAGTGAATTCGAATTCGGGTTTGGATTTTTACAGAATCGCAGGGCAGCTCGCACGTGTCGGTCGGTGTACGTTTCATGCGTATATTACGAGTACGCGGCTTTAGCGATTGTGAGATTGAGTTTAATAAACAAATTTTGGGAATGACTTTTCTTTTTATACGATTCTCTAAAATAGGAGTTATAAAGGTTGGTATTTTGATTTTTGAACTTTTTAAAAATTTCTAAATATATCCGTTTACCGGGAGTAGAGTGTGTCTTTTGGTAGATTAAGGTATGCTCGTTACGCACGAGCAGAGAGCAATTGCGAGCGTACGTTTGTATGTATGGACAGGAACGAGGAGATGGTGATGCCCGCGGAGCGCGTGGGCCCCGTGCGGGACGCGTACCTGTGGCGGGTGCTGCAGCGGCGCGGGGCGACCGCGGCCGCCGCCTACCGCGCCTCCCCCACCTCGTCCGCCTCGTCCGCCGCCCGCACTCACCACGCGCGCCTGTTCACCGTCGTGTGCCCGCCCACGGTCAGTGTGCACGCTCGTATTTATCGGAGTCATTTTAATGCGTATATATAATTATCATTCGAGGAGCTCTATGGTGCAGCGGTGAGTTCGTTCGGATTGCAATACTATATGAATGAATGAATTAATAATTTATTACAAAAATTACACAAATCACATTACACAAATATAAATTATGTAAAGCACGGTGTGTCCAAAAGGCTCCAGCTCGATATGAGCCACAGGTGGCTGTGGCGTCGATTTTCAGATGACTATGATGGTGAATGATCATAACATTTCACGGACAGTCTACGGTCCGTCGTGTTGCAAATTTCTTTAAAAGATTTTAGACCGTAATCTGTCGACAGTTGAGTAAAAATTGATCGCAGCAAAGAGTGTTTAGTAAAGAATGTGTATGACTAGGTGACGGCGTTATCTGCTGCGTTCGAGCGCGCGCCGCCTCCCTCCCCGGAGGAGGCGTCCGGTGGCGGGGGTGGCGGGGGCGGGGCGGCGGCGGCGCTGTGCGGGCTGGAGCGCGTGGCGGGCCTGGTGGCGCGGCTGCCGCGCGCGGGCCCGCAGGTGGCGCCCACGCTGGACACGCTCGCCCTCACGCTCGCCAAGTTCACCGCGCTGCTGGCGCCGCCGCCGCAACACTACAACTACATCACCATAGGCGAGTACATATACCAGGGGCGGCCAACATAACAGACCAGGGCAAACTGCGTTAAACGATAATGATACTTAAATACTCAATTTATATAGGATATAATAATCGATAGACTAATAAGTGTAAATAAGAACAAGCGATTCAGCCGAATGCGTGCCTAATGCGACCACTAATTTGTTTTAAAAATATTAATTTGTTTTAAACATATTGGTCTTGTACGATTGCTCGTATAGATATGTTTGATATACTTCGAAACAATTTTCTTTTCCTTTTACCGAGAAAACTCCCGAACGAATCGTTCGCCTTCTTAAAACCTGCCGTCTGCTGCTGTGGACTCAAGTCTAGGACGCCTCGTGTACTCGGAATAGATAGGATGAATCGAATCTTGTAATGATTTTTTTAATGAATTGAAGATATTAGTTCACTCGAGGGTGAATTTAAAGTTTTTAATTTGCCTGGGAATGAAGGTCCAATTAAAATTGAAAAAAGATGTTTTGTGTTATTTCACGCCACAAGCAGCGATAGTTTCTAGCAAACTCAAATAAGGGAAATATTCAACAATACTATCGGACTCAAACAGCCCTTTGAATAAATGCAAGTCTGAAATTTGCCATCTGGTAGACGTTGCCTTTAAATCTGGTAGATGTATGTGTTTATATCTAAAACCGCGTTGCGTGCTTTTAAAGGCAGTGTAATCTCAACCTCTTAATAGAGTAAGAAGAATAAATGTGTAGAAAGAAAACAAAAAGCCGAATTCACAAAATCCTGCATCGAATTATTACAAAGTAATAAAAGCACATTTTATCTTCATGATTTTATTTAAATTTTCATACATTTGAACCGCTTCTAAGTTGTAAACAATATAAAACAACTAGTTATCGACGCCGTCTTGTTATAATATAAACACCCACACCACTAGCACTCTCATTAACAGAAAAATGCTTATTCGAAGTTATAGCGCGTTTCTACTTAGTCGCAGTTTTAAATTATTCGGTTTTAAATTCCATAAACGTTAAAAAACAAAACTAGATGCGTAGAGTTTGTAAAATTAGAGCGTGTTGATGGTATCGTTGTTCTATATGAGATCTGATAATTTTGATATTGGCTAGTCATATGGTTTCCTCTTTGCAACATTGAACATGATAAGTTTGTCGGTTCAGGAGTGACATTAGGACAGTCGACTAAAGCTCAGATGGCGTTGCGTCGCTTGTGCGCGGTGGCCGCGCGGCACGCGGACTGTCTGCGCGAGTCGTGGCGACATCTATTGGAAATTGTCAAAACACTGTACATCGGTCGTCTACTGCCAAAGGTGAGTTAATATAAAAAGTAAAAAAAAGTCTCTAACTATCCCCAATGTTTCAAGGCAATAAATATTACTACATAGTAAAAAAAAATCGCTTTCTCTGTCCCCATATCCTTATGTAGGTATGCTTAAATTTTTATAACTACGCAACGGATTTAAAAATTTTTTTTCGTAGATAGGGTAATTCAAAAGGAAGGTTTTAATGTATAAATCAAGAGCACGCGAGCGAAGCCGCTGGCGGAATGTCTAAATAAAATAAATATATAACCTAATAATGGGGATGTTTACTACACACAGTTTTAGAAACAGTGCTCTGCATGTATCAAACGCTTTATGGTAAACCATTGATCCTATCTTGACTTAGATGTCTGTTTATAGTATATTCGAATTTAACTGAATGAACAAAGCAGCCATTGCTGAGTTTCTTACCGGTTCATCTCGGTATTAGGTCTCCTGCCTTAGATTTACGAACCGATGGCAGAGTTACGACTTTTGCAAGTGCTTGTAACAGTCTAAACTGAATAAATCATTTTGATTTGAATGGCATAATTTAAGTAAATGAAGGAATATAGAGTGTTTTATATCGCGCAGTGTATGGTGGAAGCGGAAGATTACTTGGCACCCAACGGGACTGTTTCATTGATCAGAGAAGCGGCGAGAGGTTCTGATACCGGATTACTATCTAGTTTGTACTCATACATAGCCCTTGGAGAATCGGGTAAGTTATAAAAGATAGGATATACAGGACCCTTTATACCCTTTGTTTCTTTTTTAATATAAAAACAAGTAGATTTGTAACCTAAAATCAAATCTTTAGTTTTAAAAACTAAGCTCTAAGGTAACGTCCATATTGCCCTAAGTCCTTGTGTTCTGAAGTATTTGCAGATAGATTTGACTTATATTATTAAATAAATAATTTATATTATTTTATTGTGCTAGGTATGCGTGCGCCCACACCGCACGAGAAAAATCTAATCGACATAGCGACGGAGTGCGTGAGCGGATGCAATCTGCCCGGCCTGCTCGTCACCGAGACCAAGTTCCTACAGTTGGAGAGCTTACAGGTGATGATCATAAATAAACTTCATATCTTTATTGTAAACAGTGAGTAAAATTGTTAATATATAGTCTTTATTTTTTTATTATGTAAGATGTACGTTATCATAGTATGGATATGTCTTAGACTTTAAGTTTCAATATAGCAGTGTTATTTTATAGAAATTAAAAATCCTAAAATTATATCTGAAAATGTTTAAAGCTTATACTAGTATTTCAGATAATACATTGAAAAATACCTCGGCAAAGATTTTACTTTATCCTGGTTAATAATTTCGAATCAGTCTGAACTATATGCATACTATCATAAGTTTAAATAAAATAAAAAATCCAATTGAATGTTATTTGTATTAGGAATTAGTACAAGCAATGGTGACAGTGGGTACACCCCCGGACTCTGACAGTTTGCAACTCAACCCTCAGCTGGAAGACATCACAATCTTTTTCTTGGAATTACTCGGACAGACTCTCATACAGAACAGGTGACTATACTCTTTATTAGTGATTTATGTGTCAATTAAATGTTGAACTGAAACTAAAAGCGCAAGTTGTCAACATACAACATTTCATATTTATTTATTTATATATTCACCACTCGTAAAGAGTTCATCATCATAGATTTTTGAAACACTCTAGCAATTATAAAAAGAGTAATAAAAAAGAATATAGATAAATTGATATATACTCTCTATTCGAATTATTTTCCGAATTTGTTTCAATATTATATTTTTAAGACTGAAAGCTAGAAAATGTGTATATACAAATTTTATTGAATTTTGTTTGTAAGATAGTGAAAATATTTAGTTATTTTTATATTGTGTACATTATTAAGAGTTTTATTTTCGTCGTTCGTACTGCCATAGTCCAGATTATAATTTTTTCTTCATCATCATCATCATCATCAGCCCTTTTACGTCCCCACTGCAGGGGCTCAGGCCTTCCTTATGGATGGTTAAGGAGGATGGGCCATGACCCTCCACGCTGGCCCAATGCGTATTGGAGGGTATCAACGACTGCAAATGCAACCGGGACCAACGGCTTAACGTGCCTTCCGAAGCACGGAGTAGCTCGAGATAATAATTTTTTTGGTTACCCATCCCTTACCGACCCTTGCGAAAGTTGCTTAACGACAACGATCGCGGGCCGCGGCGCTTATCCACTACGCCACCGAGCTACTCGAGAATATTTTTAGAAACTTTGAATCTTTAGCCAGATCGTTCGTTGTTCCGCAAGAAAATAATCGCGAGGGGGAATAACTTTTCTTCAATTCCAACGATCATGAACGGTGTTTTTCGATAAAGAGGAGGTTTAAGCTCCGAGTTTGAATGTAACATGATATAATCTGGTTCGTCAGGGACCGTTCGCTGAGCGTGTGGGAGACGGCGAGCGCGCACTACCGGCGCGTGGTGTTGTGGGCGGGCGGGCGGGGGGCGGGCCCGCTGCGGCGCGCGGCCACGGCGCTGCTGCGCACCGGCGCGCGCCTCATGCGCTGCCACCACTGCGCCGCGCGGGTGCTGCACACGCTGCAGCTGCTGTTCGCGCTGCCCTACCGACTGTTCTACCAGCAGGCGGACGTGGTCAGTATATATGTACAATAAGGTGATCACGTATTGTGAGCCATCAATTCAGACATGATGCTTCATAAACCTCAACGTAGACATTAAACCGAAACAATGGAGGAAACCGTCTTTGTAAAATAAACGTGGAATCAAGTACCCATGCAAAATGGCCGAATGTCAAACCGAACTACGGTTCCTACACAAAGCACTTGACTTGACATTCTTCTTTGTCATATCAAAGGATCGTACGAAAGTCTCCCACGGCTTTACTCCGTGAACAGTGATCCAGCTAGATATTGTTTTACAATAAATAAAATAAAAAAAAACTATTAATACATCAAAGATTATCTACGATTGTGACCTTTAAATCCATCACAATAAAACCTTATCGTAAAATTATATATCGCTTCTAAATTCTTTCGTCCTGTAGTTTCATAATGTAGATATATCGATATTTATCCATGTATTTTTTAGGTGTTAAATTAATTCAGAAATACATACTTTTTATTAATATTTTATTTAAAAAGAAAATTGGCCAACAATTCGTGGCGGCTGCTGATTTAGGAACAGTCAACTTTCGTAAAACTTGTTCCTACTTGTTCCTGTACGCGAGCGAGACGAACACGAGGGCATTTTGTTTATACCAAAATGTCACTTTTCTTCGATGTACCCATACATTACCTTACTATACCCGAGAAAAGTGACGTCTACCACAAAGATAAACAACACATTCCATGAAGCTTTTCAGGCATACTTTGCGTGTTACTTTTAAAAAATGACTTTCAAAAGTCTTATTGCCACTTTAAATAGATTGCGATGGGATTGGATGATGATGTAACAAATTATTTTGAAATTGAATACAAATTATAATAATAAAAACTACAACAAATTTAAAAAAGTAAAAAATCAGGCTTTTAAAGTAATTTCACTAATATCAGATTTTAGAAACCGTTGAATGTTAAAATTTGGACATCTTTTAGGTTTAGAATGTTGGTATTTTTCGATATCGTTGTTTCTTCAATATTGATATATCGGTTTTCCGATATATCGGTGCATCCCTATTATATGTATATCTTCTCATCCTTCGAAATTCTGTTATATTGCTTCATGTGCTCGTGTA